ACGAGGTAAATTTCACATTTAATGGCTGCGAAATAAAACAAAATTGTCACGGATACATGTCAATAGTTTTAATATGAATGAATACAATAGTATTATATCTATTATCTATAAATTACTTCATTCACGTTTTCTATTCTTAAGTCATTGTGTTCTCATTTTACACGCAACAATGTCATTACAAATACGAGTAAATACGGCGATGCGTATTTAAGAGTAGGTAAGTAGGCAAATTATATAAAGTTTTTCAATAAACGTAATCTAACGGAAATTGATATGACTTTAAAAGCTCAGGAACCTATCTCATAAAAAAAATTGTGAGTGTATTGACTATTCAGTAGATATATTAATTATAAAGTAGGTACAACGTCTATACTAATATTATAAGAAGGCAGAGTTTATTTATTTGAATGCGCTAATCTCAGGAAGTACCAATCCGATTTGCAAAATTATTTTTGTATTAGATAGTCCGTTTATTGAGGAAGGCGTTTGTAAGATCCGGGGATACCAATAAAAATATTTATAACACACTAACATTAAATTATAAAACACAATGTTCACGCGTGTCGTCCTGTCACCATTATGACACAACATCCTTCTTTGGTTTTATTCATTTTTCATTCCATTCTATTCTTAAAATCATATCATTCGTTTTCTTTTATTATTAAACTAGCATTGCCCGCGGCTCCACCCGCGTTCAGATGAACAAAAATCAAATTCTTAGGTTTTACATATTAGTATACTCTTACATTGCAGTTTTTGTACTTTTTCTCAGAAATGAGACATTTTCCCGCGGTAAAAAGTATCCTATATGTTGACTCGGATAACTAGCTATCATCATACCAAATTTCATCAAAATCCCTCCAGCGGTTTTTCCGTGATGCGGTAACAGACAAACAGACAGACAGACAAAAATTCTAAAAACTATAGATTCAGCCTCTGTATCAATAATAATGTCTATTTTAATAAGATTTTCCAAAAAATATTTAATGTACAGATTCGGCTTAGTTACAATTTTATTATAGTTGTATAGAATAGCACTTCACGCATACTTATCTCATCACATGCTATAATATGTAATATAATATAGTCTATCTATTCCATACTAACCGTTAAAACGTACCTAGGGACGAACCCGAGCGAATCGAGGGTGACTCGCTAGTAATATGTCCTTCTTATATTAGGCAGGTAGGTAGGTATATTGTTGAGTAAGAAGTCTCTATCTACTAAATCTCATCTCCACAATTTCTATCCACATTATTGTACCTTGTTTTTTATATAATCTAACTACTTGATTAAATAAAATTCTAAAAATAACATGCCTATTTATCGATAAATCATAGGTATACCTACTTTAACGTTGCTTGAATGTGATGCTCAGGACGTCATGATCTAATTTCATATAACGCTAACTGTGATTAAATACATAATTATGTCACACTAGCAGAACCCCGGCTTCGCCCGCGATGAAACTACGAGAAAACATACTTTCGCAATACATACCTTTTTTTTCAAAAATAAGTTCGTGCTTCATAATATTCCTTAAAGATATATGGAAAACAAATTTAATTTTAGCGATCGTAACTCAAAATGTTCAGTATCTTTAAGATATGTTAATTAAACGTAGGTACATATATTCTGTAAATAAATTTTCATTTTAGGTATTTAGCAAGCTCCACTATCTCTATTTTTTCCACATTTTTTGCTCAATCTTTACAAAGTTAGAGGAAGAGTATACAACGATACAAGTTACAACTCGCATACAATTGTTGTATGCTACATCACTACTCGCATACAATACCAAATTTCAAGTAATTCTGATCAAAAATATTATTTTGCCCATATAAACTTTATTACCCCCTTTTACCCCTTTACATCCTGTATTTCGAAAAAAAAAATATTTCTTAATTTTTATCTTAAAGCTAAGTATCACTTTCTGTGTATTTCACATTAAGAATGTCAGAGTTTCATACTATCTTTAATCACCTCTTTTTCCCACTTAGGGAATGAATTTCGAAAAATCCTTTCTTATCAGATGCCTACATACCTAATATAAGGAATACGTCCTCCAAATTTCACGTTTCTAAGACTAGCGGTTTCCGCTGTGCGTTGATCCATCAATTTTGTGACGCTCAGAAATACAAAGTTACCCGATTTTTCTAGCACCTTTTAAATAGGTATTAAGTACTCAAAAAAACCTATGTTACTCAGTCATTCATATCATAAAATTTTCTATAGAAAATAAAGGAAAGCAAAAATTATATACTAAGCATATTGTTCGGATATTAAATATTATAGATATTATATAGGCAATGTGTTGTTACGCTTCTTGCGCTACTATTGTAGAGTATCAATATCCCTTGTCGCTAAGCTGGCAAACGAACCGTTTAATATGAACTACATTTCACGCATCGAAGTACTGTTTTTATACATTTCTCTCATAAACAATGACCGAGTATGATTTATGATTATCTTCCTTAAGCTAATCCGGGTTTTTATATAGTCCACTTTTTAACCAAATAATTGACTACTGGCCGATTTCACCAACGCCACCTAAGTTTAAGGGATCCCCTAAGCATGGTTAGGGGGCTGTTTTTTTTTTTGGTGGTTCTAATACCTCTGACATAATCAGAGACTATGTTTGCATAAAATTTTAATACTCGTATCTTGTGTCTTACAATTATTAACTCTTATAAACTAATAATTCTTATACACTATTACTTTTAATTCTTATAAACTAATAAACTAATAAATCTTATAAACTATTACTTATAATTATTTTAACATAAAACTTTATTCACGTACGAATTATTATTATATATAAAACTTTTTTTTTTGTTTCCCTTACGTACTAACAATGTAATAAAATTATACAAACTTAAATCTAAATATACTACTAATACTAATCCAGAACTGCCTGGGTGCTATTTCTTTTATTTACAATTTTGGTTAGGGGGCTGTTAGGGGAAAGTTTCTGTTTCACCGACAGTTAGGGGTCACCTAAATATTAAAAGGCCCCCTAAATTTAGGTGCTCGAAATATGGGCTTAAAGACGATCACAAAACGAAATTTAATTTAGAGGCTAGTTTAGGGGACTTTTAAGCTAGGGATCCCATACGTAGGGGGTAGCTTACGGGTTGTTGGTGAAATCGGGCATACCACTCTTAAATTGCACTTTCCATGGAAGACTCAGAAACAACTTACAAAAAAGACTTACTTTATTTCATTATAAACTTTCATTGACGACACGTTTGGTTCAGTTTGTAGTGACCCTACTTGCTGTGCCAGCGGTCGCGGGTTCGAGTCCCGCTTTGGGCATTCATTTGTGTGATGACGAATGTTTTGTGCTCCAGTCATGGGTGTTTATATTTATAATATGTATGTATTTAAGGTTATATATTATGTGCAGTGTATTAACTATCTGGTATCCATAACACATGCCTCGTAGCTTACCATGGAACTAGATGGTGCTGTGTGTTAATGTCCCAACATATCTATTTATTTCATCATCAGCAAGCTCACCCCATGTACATCTCGCAAGGATGAAACAGATTTTTAGTTTTTGCCAATTAAACATTTGAAGTAAAATAAATAAATGTGGTTTTAATTATCATTATTTTAAGTAATATAGGGATGTTATACCTTTTTGGAATCCTTGTTATGAGCCCTTTAATTTGATACCTATATTGCAGAAAAAAGAAGATAAAAACAATTTATCATAAACAATGAAATCTAGCGGCCCCCATATTTTTTTTATGTCACCTATCTAAGAACACTTGGACTAATGAGACGAATTTAACGATACCTTAATTAAAGATATCCATCGAGTGATTTAGAAGATATGAGGTAATAAAGAATATTACAAACATACAAAGGTAGGCAGGAAAAACATAACCCTTTCCTTGCAGTCGGGTAAAAATCAAATGTAAGGACTCATGTTTTTTATAATTTAATTTGCTTATTTGAAAAGATACTAAAGATATTTTTAACTAATAAGAATGACTAGTTATAACTACTTACTACTTTTTTATTAAACTGGAACATTGACGTAAAAAATTTCTCCTTCATGTTGAAACTGTTGGACGGATTTGGATAAAATTAAGTACACGGATAGACCATACCTGGAGTAATAAGCTGTTTACTTCCTCCAGGATAATATCTAAGATATTAATTGTTAACCGAGCAACTGGTGGCTTGGCGATCGTTGACAGGATAAACGTACCCGAGAAAAGCAAGCGTGAGTCGCTAGTACAATATATATATAGTTAATCTTCAAAATTATGCCATCCTTAGAACAAGAATTTTTCTTTACATATGATCACCATTATATATCATATATATTGTGATGAATAATATAATATTATTAAAATAAAGAAACAAATATTGTTTTATAATACGCGAAAATAAAGCGTAACACAAAAAAAACATAAGCGAATTAATTAATACATCCAGTTAAAAATATACAAAAGGGTATTCTGTTTCTTATTTATGAATCTATTATGATTTAGAAAAAAAACAGAAAAACCTCGGAAGTAGGTCTCGGGGCCTGGTTTATGAAATTAATTCTCATAAAGTTCAAAGATCTCGAAAATTATAAACTTAAAATAATATTAAATTTAAAATAAATATTTAGCATGATATAAATTTAAGTATGCCTATTATACTTAAATTTCTTTAAACTTATGGCTATATTTTTTTTTATTACTCCTATCTAAAACATTTGCATATTAGAAAGCCATTTTCAAGACAAGCTGTAGTAGGTAATGCTTAAGGGCGAAAGGAATTACTAACGAGGTAGATTAAACGTAATAGCTGGTTGGAGAGCTGGATATGTAACTCGAACAGTCGAGTTGACCTACCGGAGCACGTTAGCGTGAGCGTTGAAAGCGACATCATCGCATAATGATGGTGGCAGGGAAGGTGGTCGCTACGCCGGCGCAGGCGAGTCGTTAGTGAGTAGAGTACAGTGCGCGCGCACCTCGCCATGCGAACACGCTCACCACATGGCGCGTCGCCTGGCGCTGCTTGCGCTTCTGGCGTGCGCGGTGCTCGCAAATCCGACCCGCCCGCCTTCACGCCCGTTAGACGCTACCAACTCCCTCGACCTTGCACTGTGGGATGATTACGAGGAGTCCTTAGAAAAGTCCTTTCCGTCGCGACAAGTCACCGTTAAACCTAATAAAATCAAAGTGACGCTCAAAGTTCCCAATACAAAGTTCAATGTGGCATTGAAAAGTACAAACAGTGGTGAAAAAAATAAAGTTATTAAAACTACAATTAACATTTCAAGTTATACGAACATGGTAGTGACGGAACCACCTCCGACTGTGGCAGCGACGCCTGTTACGCGTTTTCCTCAGGGGACATATGCTAGTTTCAGCAATAAACCATTATTGTTAGATAGTACAGGTCAGGGATTCATTTCGGGTACGAAAAAACCGATAAAATCGAGAATAACTACTACTCGGCGACCGCCCAAAACTTCCCGCCCTCGTATCACGACGACTACTCGCCGACAACGTACGACCACAACACGACGCTCTACCACTCGAACTACACGCCGCACGTTGAAAACAACCAAAGTGCCTAAAAAAACACAAGTGCCTTGTTCACAAAAAAATAACCCAGGATGGATATCAACATACTTTCAAGATGTAAAAATTAAGAAATCTCCAAAGAAAGAAGAAAAATCAGGTTGGTTCGTAGGTAGGTTTTATGTTTTAGATGTAATTTGTTAAACTAAATAAAAGTAGCAAAACAATAGCTTTTATTAACCAATTATATTTGTGCTTTTTAAAATTCTCGGGTTTTTATTCCTAGAATTGAACCTCTATTAAATGTTTTTTTAACAAAATAATTATCGGTTTAGAAAATATATTAATTTTTATATAGAGAATATCAGATATCTAAAATATGTGAAATAAACATTGAAACATTTTGCCAACTTTAACGCGTGCAGGTCGCCGCTGTACTTCACCTAATTAATGCATGGGTGCTCATTAAAGTGTTAGATTAATTAGAAAGAGAAAAGTCAAACCAGATTTAAATCTATTATGATTTAACTTATTTTGATTAAAACCAGAAATAAAATTCAGTCATATTTTTATTCTACTGCGGCGAGGAAAGTCAAAGGAAGGTTATGTTTTTAACCTGTATGTATGTCCGACCCTATGCTCCCTCGTAATTACTAGCATTTTAGTTTAGTTTACGCTTAACCGATTTTGGTGATTCGCCTTGATAACACGAGTATCATAAGGTATATAGATATAATCAATAATGAAAATGGAGGATCCTAAGCGCCAAATAATGTCTTGAAAAAAAAAATGTTCGTCCCAATAAATCGAGTGGGGTATGAAAATATAGGTTTTCAAAGAGGGGTTTATAAAAAAATACAACTTACATGTTTAAGCGGAATCTATACATATAATAAAATTGTAACTAAGTCAAATCTGCACATTAAATATTTGTGAAAATTTTAATTGAAATAGACATTATTGTAGATACAGAGTCCCAATCTATAGTTTTTAGAATTTTTGTCTTTCTGTCTGTCTGTTACCGCATCACGAGAAAACGACAGAATAGATGTTGATGAAATTTGGTATGATGATAGCTGGTTATCCGGGTCAACATATAGGATACTTTTTACTTCGGGAAAATTTCTCATTTCTCAGAAAAAATACAAAAACTGCAATGTAAGAGTATACTAAAACTAATATGTAAAACATAAGAATTTGGTTTTTGGTTATCTGAACGCGGACGGAGCCGCGGGCAATGCTAGTTTAGGATAAGAAATTGTTAAACAAAACTAAAATTTAAAGTCTAACTGACTAAAACTAAAAAGCTGTAAATAAAAAAATATTAATTTTTTACATTTCTTTTATTACATAAGTATAAAAAATGTCTCTTATTAAATACTAGTGATTTACTGTCGCTTCGCTCGGGCGCGTCTTTAAGGACGTTTGTTTTTATTTATTTAATCATTTATTTCAGGCAATATTTACAAAAGGATCTTAAATATGTAAACAGAGGCACATAACATACTCGTATATACCTTAAAACTAACATATATATTCATTATAAAACTTAAAAACTATTTACCACGTAGTGCATTTAAATAGACAAAAATATTTATTGTATTCATCCTAAATGTTGGCCTGAGTTATTACTCGATATCACTACAGAAAATTTTATTAAAATTGGTACAGTTGTTTTTGCGTGACACACAGACAAAAATTTTAATAACTACCAACAATTTACCCTCGCTTTGCTCGGGTGCATCCTAGGTACGTTTTAATTTTTTTAAGCGGAATCCTAATTCTTTTTCTAAAATAAAAGTAGCCTATGTTATTCCCTATAACATCAGCTATCTTCCAGTGAAAGTCCCGTCAAAATCAGTTCAGCCGTTTCAGAGATTATCTGAAACATATAGACAGACACAAATTAAAAAAAAATATTTTTTTTATAAGTACCGTATATAATTTCATATGCATTTAGTAAACAGCTGGTATTTTGACATTACAAACAGACACTTCAATTTTATTTATCTGTATTGATTATTTTGGGGTCTATGTTCTACACAATACGTTACAGTCAATGTTTCTTTTTAAATTATTTCATGTACAGATTTCGCATTGCTACTATTTTATTATATGTATAGATAGAGGTATTGTATAGATGTTGTAGGTAATTGTAAATTATAATGTAATTGTACTTAATAATTCATTTCAGGCCTGATTGATTCCGATATTAGTAGAGCTTATTGCACTCAATTACTTGTATACTGTGCAATAAACAAAACATGTTCATGTTTTATATCTTCATACTTAATCTACATATTTATAAAAGTAAAATTAAATTATACTGTTATTATTCATAATGATACAGTGAATAGAATTTTCTTACATGTTTTATGATAATTTCCCGAGAGTTATCGGAATAGATACAATCAAACTTTACTTAGGTACAGAATAAATAATTATTATAGTGATATTTTCAATTATAAAGATATCCACTACTCTCATAATTGTCTTAGACTGATTAATTTAAAACCACAATATGATTTTTAGACAAATTTTAAAAAATCCTTAAGAGAAAATCATTACTATCAATCTATAGTACCTACGGAGTACTTTATAAAAAATGTAATACTTTTGCATATATAAAATATAAACGATATTAGAAAGTTGGTATGTACGTATTAAGGTTTATTTTCATAACTAATCTATGTACCCAAATGTTATCGTGTAGTAACTTGTAAGTTTTAACTATATATCTTAAATACTTAAACTAAATAATTTTAGTCTAAATTACCTATATGATCGTTTTGAAAATTATTTTAAACTGAAAAACAAAAATCTATCCCACGGGAACCGTACATTTTTCCGGGATAAAAAGTAGCCTATGTACGTATTAGGTATTCCAGACCATAATCTATCTCTGTGCCAAGTTTCATCAAGATCTGTTAAAACTTTAAAAATGTCGGTTTAATTATGTCTGGAAGTCGGTTTTTATTTTATTTTTCCATTTTTAATGTAGACTTAGTAGCGTAAGAAGATCGAAGTACTCGTATTTTAATAAAATATTATCTTTAAGCCATTTAAGTTAGTTTGATGTCAATTTTTATATGAAGACTAAATAAAAAAACTCGCTTTTATTAGTAACACTAAAAATCAGACTCTAAAATCCAATTCTAAGGTCCTGAGCTTATCAAATTAAACCAAATAAGCCTAACTCAAAATATTTAAAAGCTGTTGAAGAGTTCCACTATCAACCTCTGGTCTCACCATAAGATCAGCTCGATGATACCAAATCACTGTACTATCAACGAAAATACAAACATTTGCAAAGTTTCAAATCAATATGAAGTTGAAGTTGGTATAAAAAGGCTTATTAAATCTGTTAAGTTTTAACATACCTCACAATTCCTGATTTCTGATTCTCTCGAAAACAAAAAAACAAACAAAAAGTTTTGTCCCTTAAAGGGGTGAAAAGGGGGGTGGAACTTTGTATTTGGAATCAATCATTTTTCTCAAGTAAGGGTTTAAAACTCAACATACCTTTTAACGATGATTTTTTTTCTTCGCTCTCACCCCAAAATATCTCAGAAAATGTCCCAACAAAGCTCCTGTTAAAAGCGGAGCTCAAAATTCCAATTCTAACAGGTTCTTCATCGAATTTTTGGTATTCCCGTTTAAATAACATGGAAAACATGGTTTTTAATACTTTTTTGTCCTGCAAACTGTGAAACAAATATTTTTCAAGAAAATGAATGAATTGACCGTTTTTAGTATTAAATTTAGTACAAAAAGTTCTATTGAGTCGAATTTCTGTCTTCAATATTAGATTTGTTATATAGCTTTGAAGTTCAAATTTATGTTTTCTGGAATTTTTTAGCTAAACTGTAAGAAAGAAAAATGTTAAATGGCCAATTTGTAGTACGTTTATATTCCTATAAAAAAGTCTGTGTCAACTTTTTCATATCATCAATAACCACAAAGTTAGGCTCATGAATATTTATTATTTCAAATATTTGCTTTTACGAACTAAAATATCGATAATTAAACAAAAAAAATTGGTGCCAATTTGCACTTACATCAAATTTGCAATAAAATTGGATAGGTCAGATATTTTGTATTATCAATAGTTAATAGTGTACTTATTTAGTCATTTATGGTACTTATCGGAAGAGTTGATTGGTTTGGCTTTGTTCGATGATGCAGATTCTTTAGAAATTAACAGACTGACCGTAAGTACCATGAAAACGCGCGAAAGTGATGCATTAAAACTTCAAAAAGTTTACTGCCACAGATATAAGCTTATTGTTATTGATGAATCAGCGATTTCGCGAGTAGGTAGGCGTTATTTTTATTTGAATAGTTTGAACTGGAGCTATATATGTATATACATAATATGATGTTCTCTTGACCGATTCCGGCCACGGCGGCCAATCTCAATTATTTAGTCAACAATCAATATTATGGTGCACAAGTGTACGCGCAGACACAAGTGCACTCTCTATTCCTGTCACTCTCATACTCCGTTGGGACGACTACTCGACATGACCAGTGAGAGTTAAGGCGCAGGACCGACGGCTTTACGTGCTCTCCGAGGCACGGGGATGAAACACCGCCTACGTCCCAACTCCGGGCTGTTACTGAGGCATACTATACAGAAAGACTCAAGTGTAGTCCATACTAACCGTTATTAGAAAATAAAATTATTTGTTCAAAATGATTTTTCAATCATAAAAGGTTTTTATTTGTAAAAGTAACCTAATGTTAAACTTACTTGAAGTGCACATACCTTAAGTTTCCCCAGAGATTGCTGCTTGCCTCCGCAACCTCTAACTCCTGGGCTTCGTCCGTCAGATTATCTCGATGACACCAAATTATTGTATTGTCATCGGAAATACATTTGCAAAATTTTAAATAAATACACCAAGGAAGTAATTAAAATACTAGTATACTTATAACATGTTTTTTATTTTATTTTCTCAATAATATGTTTTACGTCTATCAAAATAATATGGGATTATCTCGAAATCTAAGACCACAAATTGTATGTCCACTTTTTTTAAACTTGATATTTTTGGCATATAAAAAATTTAGAAAAATAAAAAAAGTCAGATTGTTTCTGAATAAAATATTGATGATTAACAACTAGAAATTATACCCTGTTTAGTTAAATAAATCGATTTCACTCAGCTTTACTATATTTTAATTCGATAAAATAAAAAGTTATACATAACTAGCATTACCCGCGGCTCCGCCCGCGTTCTGATGACTAAAAACCAAATTCTTAGGTTTTACATATGTATTAGTATACTCTTACATTGCAGTTTTTGTATTTTTTTTCAGAAATGACATATTTTCCCAGAGTAAAAAGTATCCTATATTGACCCGGATAACCAGCTATCACCATACCAAATTTCATCAAAATCCCTCCAGCGGTTTTTCTGTGAAGCGGTAACAGACAGACAGATAGACAAAAATTCTAAAAACTATAGATTCGGCCTCTGTATCGATAATAATGTAGTATATTTCAATAGGATTTTCCAAAAAAATATTTAATGTACAGATTCGGCTTAGTTACAATTTTATTATATGTATAGATAAACATTACATAAAAATGTTTCATGTTACTGAACCCTCGGTGTGGGAATTTGACTAGCACTTGTACGATTTTTTAACGCTAGTCACAGTATAAGGCAATCGTTATAGGAAACTGAGTTACAGAACTAAAATTCCAATGGTGAATTTCTTTGAAAGTAGGTATGCCATTAAAAACTCTATGAAAATTCCAAAGTAGGTAAAAACCTTTAAGTGTAAATGCTCATTAACTAGAAATACTTAATCAATGATTACTAGCAATTAGATACAAAGTTAGTTGAAACGTTCCCGGTAAGCTTATTTTTTCTGTGGAACGTACAATATTATTGTCTGTCTTATCAGCTCATAGTTTATAGTTAGATTCAATTTTTATCAATTTTTTTTAACATTTTCTCCGCTTCTAAACCTTTTTTCTAACAGCTGCGGAAATATTATAACATTTCTTTAGGTGTAAACTGCAAATTTGATGATTATTATTTAGTTACGTGACTTAATCCAACAGGAAAATGACATACACAAGCAAACAAGCCGTGGAAGTCCCCAGCCAGCTCTCGTTCTACTTTATGCCCCACTGACATATAAAGTTTCTCCTTTTTATAGACTCGCGTAATTTCATTGGCATCCTTTGAATTTCTTTTAGAATATGTACCTATCGATAATAACTAGGTACCTTAGAATTAACTAGCATTGCCAGCGGCTCCGCCCGCGTTCAAATGACCAAAAACCAAATTTTTAAGTTTTACAATACACAGTTACATTACAGTTTTTGTATTTTTCTCAGAAATAAGACATTTTCCCGCGGTAAAAAGGATCCTATATGTTGACCCGGATAAACAGCTATCACCATACCAAATTTCATTAAAATCCCTTCAGTGGTTTTTCTATGATGCGGTAACAGACAGACAGACAGACAAACTGACAAAAATTCTAAAAACTATAGATTCGACCTCTGTATCGATAATAATGTCTATTTCAATAAGATTTTCCAAAAAAATATTTAATGTACAGATTCGACTCCGAATTTTAATATAATTGCATAGATATATCTAACTTTCTTTTATTGTGAATTTTATTAGTTCTTTAAGTTTTAACTAAACTAATTATAATGAAACTTTGTGGTCTGTTGTACTCGAGTAATATCTCTAGTAGGTATTGTATGATACAATATTTAGTCTCGAATAATTTTAAACTGGATAAGAACAAAATCAATAGTCGAAAATCGCAATCAATAATTTAGACATATGTATTTATTTGGGTGTGCAATCTGGATGTACATTATTTTTCTTAAAGTATACAAAAAGAAATATTTATGGTCCAAAATACTCCTGTTCAAATAAAAATAAAAAAGCAGTCATGAGGACTGCTGACAGAAGTAAAAACTTAAAACTATAAACAAACAGTTGTTATTTTTGGATATTCAATTAATTGTTTGATTTTAAATTAAAATTTGTAAATCAAAACTGTTTACATTTATCTAGTTTTGACATCTATCGGCACTCAGAGTCTTAGTCTGGTTTTTATTTTATTTATTTAGCGGTTCCCCGACGCGGCGATTTCAAGTCTATCGAATCTGTAAAAGTTAATAAAATCCTTTTGCCAAGTAGGAAATGAGTGATGATCAACATAAATTAACCGTCTGAACAGATCTTCATAAATTATAGCTAAGAACCATCTCGATCCCGTCCGCTTTCACCTCAAAATCAGTCCATTTGTTTAGGAGCTACGATGCCACATGTGTGTCTGTACATTGACAGACAAGTCGAGCTTATAACACCCCTCTTTTCAATGTAGTACTAGGTATCCTAAATGTTGAGACCCGATAAGTTATCTCTACACAAAATTTAATTAAAATCCGTTCAGTACTTTTTGCGTGAAAAGCACACAGATATATAGACAAACAGACATGCAGGCGAAAATTAAACAAATATTCTTTTGGGAACTATTTTCTGTACACGATACGTAACAGACATTTTTTTTTAAATAAAACTATGTTTTCGGATTTTTTCGCGAATTTATTTGGATTCAAAATAAATTCAAAATAAATTCGCGAAAAAATCCGAAAAGATAGTTTTATTTAAAATGTCAAGTATTCGCGTAAATCTAAGAAAGTATTATAAAACTATCTTTTCGGATTTTTTCGCGGATTTATTTGGATTTTTGGTTCCCGACGTTTCGAAAGCTTTACAGCATCTATGGTCACGGGAGAGACTGAGGTGTTACATGTCTCGAAGGTATAGTTGTTACAGACAGCCTACCCACAATTAACAAAATGAAAATTGCACCAATTACCATACAATATTTTTGAACTTTAAACATTTTTATAATTTTAATTAGTTTTATAATTGAATATGGAATATTATTTCTTTAGTTTTTGCTGTTATTCTTATAATTATTACAATTTTAAAAATATTAATTAGTGTTCTATATTTAGTGTTGCCATTATTATATTTATAACCATAAAGAAAAATATAAAATATAGTATTAATTATTTGAGCCTTGTAATTGTTTCATTTGTGTGTTGAGCACGAATGTTTGTACTCCAGTCATGGGTGTTTATATTTATAATATGTATGTATTTAAAAGTTGTATATGTGTAGTGTATCAACTATCTGGTATCCATAACACAAGCCTTGTAGCTTACCCTTACCATGGAACTAGATGGTGCTGTGTGTTAATGTCCCAAAATATTTATTATTTATTATTATATTAGCCTAAAACTAACAGTATCTACATATACTGCAAAATTTTTACCTGACTGTGGCCAAAGCCCAAAAGAGGGTTAATAATACGTTAACACAATTTTCAACATAACTATATTAAATTACCTTCATAAAGCGAATTGTATTTGCAGGTTTATTTTCCAGAATATATAGCTGGTTTGTAGAGCCTGCATTACCTGAATCTTCTTGGTTTGGTAGTGGTTGGTTCGATAAGAAATCTACTCGACCAACTACGACTACGACACCCATACCTCCTTCGACCTCGACAGGAAACTGGTTTCAAATATTTCTGGATTCAGAAGATACAGACAATTCAAATACAGCAAGTGTAACCAGTATGTTTGCTTGTAATTTTTTAATGCAACTGTTTTAGTTTTTTTGTGCTATGCTATCAATATATTTAATAAATATTTGTTGTAAATGCTAGTTTTTGACTATACTTTTTATCTTTTTTAGTGAAAAAATCTGCAAAAAAGTCAATAAAAAAAACGTATACAGGATATCAACTACTTAGAGCTTACCCAGATGTGCAATGGAAAGTGGATTCCTTACTAGATTTACAAGAGGAAGCTGAGGGGTCCGGTCTAATGTGGTGGACTCCGCCATCATTAAATGGTTTAACAGACCTCTTAGTTCCACCAGATCTGCTCGTTGACGTCAAAGATCATTTAAAATCGTCTAAAATAGATTTTGATGTGGTTATTTGGGATTTGCAGGTAGTTTATTTTTTTAATTTCTATATGTCACGTTTAGATAGGATTCGAAATTATCATTTTTGTTACAGAAAGCTATTGCATATGAAAATCCGAAACTTTCGAAAAAACAGCGACTTGAGCTAGAGCAAATCCGAGGGCATCCAATGACTTGGCGACGTTACCATCGGTACGCTGACATACTAAGATATCTAGAGTACTTACAACATTCATATTCTGACATTGTTGAGCTAGTGCCATTGGGTCGCTCTTCTGAAGGACTTCCATTGGTGGCTGTTAAGGTAAGGTATTTCCAGTAATCGGTTAAAATAAATATTTCTTGAATAAAATTGATTTATTAAATTATGTTAAGGTTTCTTCTCCTACAAATGAAACTCAAACAAAAAACTCTAACGGTAAGGACCAAAAGAAAAAATTTAAATTGCGCTCGCATTTAAAGCCTGCTGTTTGGCTAGAAGGCGGCGCTCACGCACGTGAGTGGATAGCTCCTGCAGTGGCCACATGGATGATACATAACTTGGTAGAAGGAGATAAAGGATCAGGTTCGTAAAATTCAAGCATATAATTTGAAAATCATTTTTCCAAATGATAAAGTATGATTATGATAAGATGCGATGATAAATTTATTATTATGTAAGGTGCTGATCACGAAATGCTTAATATGGCTGATTTTTATATCATGCCGGTAATGAACCCGGATGGCTATGAACATTCGCATACTCATGATCGACTTTGGAAGAAAACTCGTTCACGCAGCCCTGACCACTCTGATGATTACTATGTAGGCTGGTGAGTACACTCAGACTATTGCCTCAGTTATCTAGACATATATGAAAAAATTAAAGTTCACAAACATAAAATATATTAGAATAATATAATAAATTTAAATAATTTATTATTATTTCTATAGTTAATACAGGTAATATTAATTAATTAATCATATAATTGTATGTAGTATTAGTTATTTATGACGTATGTATGTATTATTACGTATATGAAATGTGTGACGAGTTCTAGAAAAAGTATTTTAGAGCAAGTTTCTTTTAAAAACCGGATGAAGTTTGAGACTTATCACTATATTTAAGTAAGACACTTCAACAACACTCGTTTCCTGTGAAAGCGTTGATTATTTTACTTTAGAATGACTTACAGAAATAAAATTTGAAATGATAATCATACCTTTGTTGACGGAGTATTTGTATGTTTTAAATAATGGAAACCTTATGCAAGTATATATCGAAATACCCCAAGGGACAAAATATAGTCGGGCCATATACATTGCTAGATAATAGCTCAGAAATGATAGTAGAATACGCCGCGGGGTCACTTTATTATGATGCCTACAGCATAGTAAAAACTTACTTTAAACAATGTTAAAACCATTTTTTATAAAATATACGTATTTATTATTATATGTTTACCTATATTTAGGAAAACCATTTAGGTGCTGATAATAAGAAAATAACAAGTTTTTAAATGATTTTTATTCCGTTAGGTTTCCCTGGAATTGGGGTCGTACGGAATGCGTGGGTGTTGACGCTGACCGCAATTGGGACTACCACTGGGGTGAAAAGGACTCCTCGAAGGATCCCTGTGCAGACAACTATGCCGGCCCGCATCCATTTAGTGAGCCGGAGACGCGTGCTGTTTCTGACTTCTTATCAGAACACAAGGGACACATAAAGGTAATTCTGTTTTTTCCTAAGCCTGCGTTTTTTTAGCTTTAATTTGTAAAAAACTTTTTTTAAGTATGGAAAAGGGGTAGATAAACTCTATCCTGAGATATATAAATTTAAATATGCTTATCTATACATATAATAAAATTTTTAACTGAGTCGAATCTGTACATTAAATATTTTTTGGAAAATCTTATTGAAACAGACATTATTATCGATACAGAGGCCGAATCTATAGTTTTTAGAATTTTTGTCTGTCTGTTACCGCATCATAGATAAACCACTGGAGGGATTTTGATAAAATTTGGTATGGTGATAGCTGGTTATCCGGGTCAACATATAGGATACTTTTTACCGCAGAAAAATATCTCATTTTTAAGAAAAAATACAAAAACTACAATGTAAGAGTATACTAGTATGTAAAACCTAAAAATTAGGTTTTTGGTCATCTGAACGCGGGCGGAGCCGCGGCCAATGCTAGTTATACTATATTAGTCCAGTTCATAAAGAAAAAACGGCGAAATCTACATAAAGTAAAGCAATTTCCGCCATATTGCCATTCGATAAAAGAGCATTTTCTAAGCCTAAAGCCAAGTTTGAAGGTTCGGCCGAGAGGCGCTGTCACCACTGTAGCAAAAAACCTGTTTTATTCAATATCTCCAGAACGGTATGTCCTAGGTAAAAATTATAGAAATTACTTACAACTTTTATTTTAAATTTTTTTTCTATCAAAAACAAACATTTTCCCGGGATAAATATCTTTTAGTAAAATAATAATTGGAATTATTACTGACCCGGATAACCAGCTATCATCATACCAAATTTCATCAAAATCCCTTCAGTGGTTTTTCCGTGATGCGGTAACAGACAGATAGACAGACAGACAAAAATTCTAAAAACTATAGATTCGGCCTCTGTATCGATAATAAAGTCTATTTCAATAAGATTTTCCAAAAAATATTCAATGTACAGATTCGGCTTAGTTACGATTTTATTATATGTATACATAACAAAAAACCGTTTCTAACTGAATATTTCCCTATTAAACGAAAAATAAATGTTGAAAATATTATTTTAGGTTCTTTATCTTAAGTTTTATCTGTCTAGTTTTTTTTTAGTTTTTTTTAATGTAGATGCACGAATTTTGATAATGATTGCAAAAAGTTTAATATTCTATATTAAATATAATAGCTTTATTTTTAGACTCTGTACCGAGATATAATAACGTTTTGAATATCGTGGCCCCGATATAATTTATGTATGTACATACGTTAACGATTGCTCGACGAAGCTGTAATTGACCATTTAAAGTGTGCATCCTACGGCGCATTACAATTTTCTTTGATTTTTTTTTACAAAATACAAAGAGGCTTTTTACTTGACTTAATGTTTGAATAATATAAATGCTATTTATCATAGAATATATAATTCTAACACGGGATGGCCATATAGTAGAAAATGTGTAACCACATGATATACATACATAACACTCAAAGGAACTATGATAATCATGACGTAGACCATCTTAAGACTTGTACAACAATTTGTCACACGCTTAAAACTGAGGTAGACCGCACATTGCTTGGGAAATTGTGACGGAATACGGTATTTGCCCACAATATTACTTTCAAAATATTTTCTTCTACAATTTCGACACTTCCTTTGAATAGATAATATTTAGACTGATGCAATTTTTAGGTACTCGCACCTATTTTAATTTAAATGACATCTCAAGATAAATTATAAGCTACGCGTTCCTACATTAATAAAATATTCATTGTATAGTACAATAAATCATTTTGTTATGGCAAAATTTTATCGTTTATGGTGTATTAACTTGAAGTAGGAGCAATAAACGCTAGTTGTATCGATCGTAACTTTCAAATTACTTTCTTGTTTTAAAGAAAAAAATACTTATAAGTATTTTGTGTTTTGTTGTTCAAAAACTAATACAGTTGAATTAATTTTATGCAAGTGATAAACTCTAAATCGTTTTAAATGGTAAAATCTGTTATATACACAATGCGCATTTTTATTCATTGACTATATTTATTCTTGTCATATTCAAAATAATTAATGTTCTTGGAGAAATTTTATTTGTTCAGATTTGTTGATTAATAAATTATTAAAAATATTATTTATATTGCCTCTTTCTTACCTGACTGTGGAGAAGACTAAAGAAGGGTTATGTGTTTGATCTGTATGTACCTAATATGTATGCCCGCTCCTGCTGAACTGTACAAGTCGTTGAACTCGTTTCGTTAACGCTAGTGTCAAAGGGTACCTATAGTAAAATGATCAAAAAATCAAAATAGCAGATTTTATGCGTCAATTTTGATAAAAAAAATTCTTCCAAACTTATTAAGTGTGGTATCAAAATGAAGGTACTACACGTACATACTAAGCAAATTAGTGTCTCCGACTGCATAATACGGAATAAGACGTTCCTTCGTCATCTTGTTTTTACCTTTTGAGTTCGCATTTTACGCAGTCCGATGTTTTGTTTTGCAAATATATTTTTTTATTGAAGTTTGTATGGACGTATTTCATATTCGCGACAACACGTGACACAGTATGACTCTTAGGAGTAGAGAAAATAAAGAATTTTCAAATTCTATGAAAGGCCTTGGATAGGGGATGATGATTACATACCTACATAATTACATACTTCTAATATTTAATCATAATTCTTAAAAATAATCATTTCCTATAGCTTCAAGCTCGGTTTTTCCTGTTATTGGAATAGTACAGTAATTTGAAATTCAAAAACTTTAGATATTGCACAAGTACAAAAATATAAAATTTTAACAATGAATTATTATTATTTATTACAGCTGTATCTATCGTTGCACGCGTACTCACAAGCGTGGCTGCTGCCCAGTTCGCACTCACAAGCGACATTTACCGACGATGGGATCTTAACGGATATGGCCAAGCTTGCTACAACCGCTCTCGCTGATATGTTTGGAACTAAGTACCAGGTAATATTATCAATATTTGTCTATATGGCACAATGTATATTTAATTGTATTGAAGAGCATTAAAACAAAGTTTCAAGTAATTTTGATCATAAACAATTTTCAACCGACTTCAAAAAGGAGGAGGTTCTCAATTCGACTGTATGTTTTTTTTTTGTTTTTTTTTTTTTATGTTTGTTACCTCAGAACTCCGTCATTTATTAACCGATTTGAACAATTTTTATGTCGTTTGAAAGGTTATACTTCCAGATTGGTCCCATTTAAATTTCAAAAAAAAATACCACCCCTAAGGGTGGAAAAACAACGAATGATGAATTTAACCTACTTCTAATTGTCATATTGACTTGAAACTTTGCAAGTATTTCTATTTCCGTTGATAGTACAGTAGTTCGGTGTTGTTGACCTGATCTGATGGCAAGGCCAGAAGGTGGATGGTGGAACTCTTCAACGGCTAATAGTAGATACTTTGAGTTTGGGCTTATTTTGTTTGATTTGACAAGCCTAACACGTTAGAATCCTTACTTTTCTACTACTGTCTACACTAAAAAGGGAAAAATAAAAACTTTTTAACAAAAAAATAAAAACCGACTTCAAACAAAAGCACTAAAAAGTAATAAATAACTGATTGGTAGTTTTCATTTACTATACATACCTAATCAAATATTTTCGAAGTCGGTGTGCTTTGGCTAAGTAATTAAAGCCTACCTATTAAATACATACCTAATCCAATATTTTCGAAATCGGTGCCAGCCCATACAAAGCAAAGCACACCGACTTCGAAAATATTTGATTAGGTATGTATAGTAAATGAAAACTACCAATCAGTTATTTATTACTTTTTAGTGCTTTTGTTTGAAGTCGGTTTTTATTTTTTTGTTAAAAAGTTTTTATTTCCTCATATAAACAAAACAACCCCGTTTATTTCATACACACTTTCATCCCCCATTTTATGATATTATATTTTATATCTCATGGAATAAATTTCGAAAAATGCTAAAACATATACCTATTTATTTAATTGTATTGAAGAGCATTAATATTAAGTTTCAAGTAATTCTGATCATAAATAATTGTTTGTCCATATAAACTTTATCACCCGCTTTCACCCTTTTAAAGGATGAATTTCGAAAAAAATCTAATACACATATTTATTATTTTTCATCTTAAAGCTAAATACCACTTTTCGTGCATTTCGCGTTAAGAATAACAGAGTTTCATACAATCTTTTATTCCCTATTTTACCTCCTTAGGAGATGAATTTCGAAAAATCATTCTTAGCGGATGCCTACATTGTATAAGAAATACGTCCTCCAAATTTAACGTTTCTACGACCAGCGTTGATCGATCAATCAGTCAGGACAAAGCATTTTATGTATATATAGATTAAAATTAAATACCATAACATACAATTTACTAAAAAAAGAATTAGACGTCCAAACGTAATACTTGATAAATAAACAGAACTTTTGTCTAGGAATTTTTAAGATGTGCTTCATAAATGTTATATTTCATCAAAATACGAGAATATAAGACAATGTCGAGTACAGATTTAAATATATTTTATTTAATATTTATTTAAGTACCGTATTTCCAAACTAAGACTTATAAAATTTATATTTTTAACACAAATATTTAAGTTTTGAAATCCGTTCCCTGAATGATGTTATCATAAGTACACCCAGTCTCTTTGAGTCTTTGGAATCCTGGATAAATTATTATTAAAATTTGAATATTCTGCGCGCTTCTTTTACAGCTCAATTATTGATAGTAACGTATACTTGTAAGCTATTTTTTTGGACTTCCAAGACGTGATAATATTTAAAATTTGTAATTTTTTTTAATAATTTGTCATCTTGGTGATTATGAGTCATGTTTTATCCAAACCCATTTATTTACAAGTTTACCCATAATTGAGTTACAAAATAGAAACATCCAATTAATAGGAAATATAACTTACACCAACGAGTAAAATAACATGTTGTATTATTTTTACCCGATTGTGGCCAAGCCCAAAAGTGGGTTTTGTGTTAAACCTATATATATATGTATATATGTCCGACCCTATGTTCCCTTGTAATTACTAAACGGCGCAACAGATTCTGATAACTCATAGATACGTCGTTAGATTCGTCTGCATTTTTATACTAGGTACATGTTTTATAATAGCTGCGCGTGTGTATGTCTCCGACATGCTTGTGCATACCTATTACTATGTTCCTTCGTCTTCTTCTCATATTCCATCATCTTGTTTTCATATTTTTTGATAAATTTTACGCAGTCGGGTCTTTTTATTTTTTAATTATTTTATAGATATTATATATTTTTTTTCTAGGTTGGTACAGCTGCAGAAATCCGACAGCCAGCTTCAGGGATGTCACACGATTGGGCAAAGGCTCGTGCAGGAATAAAATTTTCTTATCATGTTGATTTGAGAGATTCAATTGGACCATATGGGTTCCTTTTACCTGGATCGCAAATTGTATCAACGGCCAAGGAGACTTGGCAAGCTGTTAAAGCAATTGTAGATAACATTACACCTTGATTTTAATGTAACTTGCCCAGTTACATGATGTGTAACTGAGTTTTATAGTTCGTTATATAGTTTAATTACTATTCAGATTTCTATAAATTCACGTGTTTGTATGATCTTTAGAATGTTCCTATTAAACAAATTAAAATTTATGATATAACGATCTACAGTAAAAAATGTTTGTTAAAAAAGGTTAAACATTAGATTAATAATTATAATGGTGTTTTTCTAGGTAATTTATTTCTAGTTTCTAAAATAAAAAATAATAATAAATATAAGTTTAACAAGTGTTTCTATTATTAGTTATTACATTTATCCTAAATATGTATTTTAAATAATGAATAATATATTGTATAATACCACAGATCATATAATACTATACTAGCACAGATTCCCCATTCAATGCAAAGATAAAGATAATGACTTCAGTACGCGGGAACTAGAACTGTAAAAATGGATAACGAAAGCCACGGACGAGTGGTCATAATATTTTTTTATCAAATATACCTATATACTCGTAGATTAGATTTAGATTTGTGTATACAGACTTAGCAAAATATAAAATACGACCCTTGTTTCACTCTGATGCGTCCATTTTTATTGCTTCGTTTCAAACCGTTTACACTTTACCGGCATCGTACGTCTGTATCTAGAGGCACAGCAGTGCCCCCGCCAAGTAGAGCAAAAAAGGCACAGCCGTATCATACTTTTCTCGTGGTCATTCAGGATATTTTCGACCATCCTGTAATTTCGTTGGAGATAAAGCTAGAAGGCTGTATTTTTAGCGACTAAGAGAACATAATATAACTAGCTAGGTATATTCCCAAATTACATTCAATTTGAATTTGCAGTTTATGAACTTATTGCAAGTCAAAGTTCTTTAATTCGTCACTGGCTTATTTATTTTTATTATTCGAACATCAAAATTCTAAGGTATTCTAAGGTACTTCTAGCAGACACACGAGTTTCAAATTTTGAACACAATTAGTGTTTATCTATAAATCAAGGAAAAACTGAAACATCCCGCAAATCCAATCGCGTTTTCTAGATATACAATAAACTGCATAAGTAACTTTGTAATCATATAAACTGATTCTTACTTAGATCCTATTCAAACTATTGCAAAGATACTTTTGCCGTTCACATCTATGAATTACTCGCGACTCACCCTCGCTCCGCTCGGATTCGTCACTACTTACGTTTTACGTTTAGTATAGATTTATCAGAGATAAGATATTTTCTCGCAGTATAAAGTATCCTATATGTTGACCCGGATAACCAGCTATCACCATACCAAATTTCATCAAAATCCCTCCAGTGGTTTTTCCGTGATGCGGTAACAGACAGACAGACAGGCAGACCAAAATTCTAAAAGCTATAGATTCGGTCTCTATATCGATATTCGATACTAGTCTATTTCAATAAGATTTTCCAAAAAATCTACTCTTTATTTTTTTCTTTCAACACTGAACCTAGTGCCCTCTGCTGGTGCATTTGAAAACTAGTTCACGTTCCAATTAAGCGTTAGCACATTTCGGTATTGTGCGCCAAAGTACGGAATTATGCTCTGTAATTGGAAAACAGGATTTGTTGTCACCGTGCGCACCAGCGGTAAGCACCGTATAGGGCCGATTTTATGGGATGTGCAGTGAACGTGTTAAAATAAAGTTTTTTTAATTATACAATAACCTCAAATGAGTGCATAGCTATTTTAAACAAGCTACGTATATCAATCATACAAAAAGGAAAAAATAATAACTATTCTGTAATCTGTTGAAAAAAATATCGATCCTATTGATATTTAATTTTCATGTCCATCACTACAATAAATGTTTCATCAAATGTGACGTTCAACTATTCAATCAAATTACACTTTTTTTTTTAATATACGGTTTCTACTGAGGTGATCTAATTTATAGTAGCATTAGGGTTTTTTTTTTGGATTCATGATATATGGTTCATATAAAGGGGTTTTAACTTTAGTTACAAGTATATTTCCAACTTTATTTCAAGTTTTGTGTCTTATGCTCTTTAGGAACTTTTTGACGTTTGTTATTGACAGATGACAATTGACAGTTGAAGTGTTGACAAACAACCTTTATATTTGTTTCTGTGAGAAAAGTTATTTTAAATCTCATAAAAGGATTAAAAAATCTACTATAGAAATGGCTAATGCAATTAATGAAGTTTGCAAGTTACCTACTAAAAATCTTATCGACCCAACAGGATTTGATGTTACGATGAGTGCTATATTGATCGGTTTAGGTGCTGAAAAATATGTTGAAATTTTTAGGTAAATATAAGCGTCTTGCTGTATTATGATGCTAGTATTGCAAGAGGTAGAAAAAAGTATACATTACTGATGTATTTTATTACAGAAAACAAAATATTGGGCAACTAACTTTAATGGAATTATCAGATGAAGATTTTGTTAAATTAGGAGTAGATGATCCAAAAATTAGAATGAGTTTGATAGAAGAAGTTAAAAATTTACCAATATATGATGAAAAACAACCGTATGTAGTTATGTTTTTAAATATTTTTTTTACTGCTGGGATTTAACATTATTGTTTTTGTCAATATAATGATGCAATTCATTCATTACAGAGTACTTACTTCAAATTTAGACCTCTTGGAAATTATAGATGTTTTAGAAGAAAATACTCAACACCTGTACAGAATTTATTTGAGTATGATGACAAACTCCTTAGCCTTAAAAAAGAAAAAAGTTGAAGACTGTTTATTATGCAAAGATAAATATGCATCTAATATTGCGATTGCTACTCTAAGTAATATGAACAATATACTAAATTCAATGGACATTGCTTTGCACACACAAGTTAAGGTAAATTGTAAGAAAATGTTTATTCCTTTATGTAATCTTTTAAAAAGTGTTTATTTTTTTATTTTATTTTTTACAGATGTTATCAAAAAATTCAAAAAGCACGAAAACTAAAAAAATCATTGTTGGGACATTAGGTAGTGCTGTTGTAGCTGGAATAGCTGTTTTATTTGTTCGTTCCTTAAGAAATATTTAATATTTTTGTGTTAATTAAATGTTTTTAGAGGAAAAAAAACTTTTTTGACAAATGCTCTCTATTACATAGTTGCTAATTCGAAATTCATTATTGTATAAACTTTTATATTAATTAAATTGAAACTTGAGTAAAATTAATTAATTACAAAAAATCTTTTACTTATACATATCTCATTTTATTCTTATCCATTTTTTCATCATTTTTTAAATTCAATTACAATTATATTGAAATGTCAGCCACACAGTTAATATATTTTTTACTATATAATGAGAATTTTTAGCTATGTATCATTTCAACTAAATATTTAAAAAAAAACTTTGTCTTAAAAACAATATAATAAAAAAATCGTCATGGTATTCCATAACGATTTTTTTCCATTCAAACAGGGTATGAACCAAATAAACAAATCGAAAGTGCAAAGTGACTCAAAAGAGCCGCACAAATAAGTAAATCCAGTTGATGTGACCCAAATCGCAATTGTTTCGACCTCATCAATTAAAAAGTGTAAGGTAAATGATGAGGCGGGCAGCCGTGAGCTGGCAGTGTTTGAGCGGCGCGGCGGGCGGGCGTGACGTCACGGCCGGGCTCCGGAAGTGACCCGGAGGCGCTCGCCGGTAGATGGATACGGTACCTCAGTCGCTTGCTCCCTGGACCGACGACATCGTTTATTGCTACCAAACGCGCCAATTGAAACGCGTGTCCGCTGCTCGCCCACTCGTGCGATGCTCGCACTGTATCACGATTTCGACTTCTAATAATATGTGCAATTTGCCGCATAACAAACTAATATATAGAATCAAAATTTTATGTTTTATAATCGTGTAAAATGAAAAGTTTGTGTATTTTCGTATTTGCGGTTGTGTTACTTAAAAATTTAAAAGCACAGGATGTTATTACAGGTGAGTAAAGTTTTTCCTTTTAATATATTTTAGTTATCAAATTAATTTATTATATTTGAGACATTCAAGATATCAAAAGTGTACCTATGTATGTAGATAAAAAAAATTACAAATAATCAATAGATTATAATAGCAGTAGCAGTATATTATATATTAATATTTGTTACTAATATAAGTAAACCTCAACCTCGATAACAATACAATCAATAATAAATAATACTTAAAAGACCGCAGGAGTAATCTGTGCATCCTGACGCGAAATGTTCACACTTTGTAATCTTCAATTTATACAATTATTGTCACTTGAGTGTGTACAACTTTACCCCACAACTCTACCCCAAATTGTTTTGATATTTTAAGAAAGACTTGTGATATTCTTTACCCAAATACGATGTACATACAGAACAACGTAGGCACATATATAGAAACAGCAGATACAATTAAAGATATAAATTATAAATAAGTAAAGTACTTTTGTTTATGTAATAAATGAAGTAGATATTTACTTGTTTTGGTAAATAATATGTAGGACAGATACATGCAAATGCATTATAAGAATTAAACGTGCGATAAAGCAATTAAAAATATCTCATTAAATTAATAGAATATTTTATAAATAATCATAATTTGAATTTAAGAAAATTATGTTGTGGTTTTAGTGGAAGGTGTCGTAGGAAACACTGCAGAATTACCGTGTAAAGTGGTAGCGGAGAAGGAAAATGACAAATTAAATATTTTGGCGTGGTATCGAAATGGTTCCACAACTGCCTTTTATAGGTGATTATACTAATCTATTTTTATTATATTATTATATTAAATATTATATCCATGATAAGTTCAAACAAATGGCTGAAAACATAATCTGCTGCTCAAAAAAAATGTACTTGTGGATTTTTAACTTTCCTTAATAATATATAATAACTTTGCCTGCATTTAAGTCGATTACGCAGTCAGAATGCGCAGAACATCATTTAGCTACCCATCGTAACTAATTGGAAAATGATTTGTGACCTTAAACGCATGGCGGACCCTACCTACAAACCCACTGACATTGTAATTACACCTGTTACATCATTCATTGGCGAATTAGAATACGTTCAATTACCTAATAGAAAGTGCATTAAATAAAAAATAACAAAAACCTTCACAAAAGCTTACGTATCGCACTCCTAAAGGCAGTTCTAACTTATTTATCTGACGTTTTCCGTACTATATAGAGATTTGGCATAATCTTTATACAAATTCTGCCAATTCCTTTCGCTAGTAAGGAAAACCACACATAGATTATTGGAATACGCCGTGAGAGAATGTAGTCTTACTCTCTCTTGGTTGCATATTACCAAATCAAAGCAAGCTTCAAACAAAAATCAATGCAAGAGGGAATCAAACCTGCAACCTGCGAACATGAATGTTAGGAGCACAAACTATCAACATAACACAGCTCTGCGATACCATCAGATTTATTTTAAAACTAGCGACTCACCCTCGCTTCGCTCGGGTTCGTCCCTAAGTTGATTCCCCATACAAATTTTCATCCCCATTTTCACCTCTTTAAGGGATGATTTCCGGGATAAAAAGTCCTTCCTAGGGTCTCAAACTATCTTTTTACCAAATTTCATCTAAATCGGTTCTGTAGATCCAGAGATTATCCCCTTCAACGTCACAAACTCACAAACTTTACCTCTTTATAATATTAGTATAGATAACTAACGCTTGAACATATAAATTTTCAATGAAATTTTCATTTTTTATAATAAGAGAGCATCATAATAATTAGAAATACATAGTCAAACACTTGTACTAGCAGTCGAGACCTGCGCGGTAAGGGGAGTGTGATGTCGTCAAACAAACGGTACCGGCTGGTGTCTCAGAATGACGGCGTGGATAAGCTGCAAGTGTTGAATGTACGTCCTTCTGACGCCGGCATTTACCTCTGCCATGCGGACTTCGCCGGCAGTCCCACTGTCAAGACATACTCACAATTATTTGTTATTGGCAAGTTACTAGTATAAGTCATGTTCATGGTCATGTTCCAAATCTAATCTTCATCTATAGTTATTTAACGGATGGTTAGTGATTGTATTTTAATTTTTAGAAGTTAATGTATGCTTATTAAATATGTTTACGAGTCGAAAAATATTAAATACTAGCAGCTCACCCTCGTTTCGCTCGGGTTTGTCGCTAGGTACGTTTTAAATAGATATAAATAGTTATTAGCCAGCGTTAGCCATATAATTTTTTTTATTAAAACCTTCCGAGGGCCTTAAGGAACATACGAAAATTTTTTTTGCCGAATTGGTCCAGCCATTCTTGAGTTATGCGCTTACCAACATTCATTTTTATTTATATTATATAGATTTAACATAATAAGTACTTACTTATATCTGATATAATCATTATAGGTACGAATATTATATACATAATATATAGGTAGCTTGTAGGTATAAAGTGATATGTAATAATGTAACTAGTAACTAGACAGATTGTTAGTTGAGACGAGATTGTAAATCGATATTTTATACGCTGACGATGATATGCTGCAAGACTGTAATGCCGATATAATTTAAAAATAAGTTGAATAATTTAAAAAAATAATAATTTTCACTTAAAAAGAAAAATATTATGATTTATTTATAAATCTAAATAGAGATAACCGTAGAACTAACAGGTCTTTCAGATCTTTATTTTATAACGAATGCAAGCGAATTGTTGAAAGTTCAATTGCAAATATTTACCTTTCTAGTAAAATAGCTATCTCGCGGCTCCGATTAATTGGTCCGCGGGCTAATGAGGAAGCTGACAGCGCCGGAACAATTCATTCCATTTACGAACAATTACGTGTTGTAAATATTACACCATTAATATATATTTTGGTATTTTAAATTCTAACGAAGTTTCTTATAAATAGGTCGCAAAAAATATATTTACGGAAGAAAATAGATAGATACCTATATGGTTTTTCTATTTTTGTACCTATAGCCCAGTCGAATTAGAATTTGACATTACAAAATTTTTTAACAGCAATTTTCCTTCGGAGTCCTTTGACTGGTCACTGGAAGTCTAAATTTAGATTTTCGGGGTAAAAGACTCGTTGCGTCAAATTTGATTTTAAACAACTTTTGTTTATTACAATTTTTCGCGCAAAATTGAAAATAAACGAGTTGTTCAATAAACAAAAATTTATCCGGGTTTTATCGATTTATATTCGAAAAGAATTTCGGGTGTAAATCAAAAAATATCGGTCCTAGAGAAAATTTGATGAATCAAACTGTAGGATTTTAATTTCAAACAAATTTTGTAATAACTATTTTTCATGTAAAATTGAAAATAAACGAGTTATTCAATAAACAAAAACCAACCCATAAATTTAAGATGGCGGATGACGCAATGGGTCTTTTACCCCGAAAATCTAAATTTAGACTTCCAGTGAACACAACCCCCCCCCCCCCCCTTCAAAGAATTCCGATTGTAAAAATTTTTGCTATGTGTGCCCCTTTTTGGAGCTAATTCGACTGAGCTACTTACTACTCTATACTTATACAATATCCGCAACATCTGCTTCATCTATTGGACATTAAAAAATGTGTACAAATTATATGAAATTCTAATGTTATAGGATATTTTTTAAACGGTCCTATTTCATGTTATAATTTGTATCAACTATTTAAACTAATTATTTTATACAGAACCACCACAAAGATTATGGGTGGTACACGAGAATGGAACACGAATTGCTATGGCCAGTATTGGCTCTAACACGAGCAAAAATATTGGTCCGTACTATGTAGGCGATACCATTCACCTCGTCTGCGTCGCTTATGAAGGTACGTAGATCAATTTACAATACGTGTTGTTTTCATATCAGTAATGCGGATTAGATCCATCCATGTATTATAGATGCCAAGATACCATGTAATACTGAATATTTACATTTCAATAGGCATTAAAGGTTAATGATAGAAATATAAAGGAAGGGATTGGACGAACTTTTCGATTCTGTACAAACAGTACTTATAAGTGCGAGAAAAACTTTTGGCATTGCGTTCTTTCTATTTTTTATAAAATAAAGATAAATAAATGTAGAGTTAAGACTTAGCGCGCAATACGTATTGCGCATTCGTAGATAGAGCTGTTTACATTTTATAAGTTGCTTGTAATGGTTAAAGTGAATGAAATTTGTTTTATGAAATGAACTATGAATTTAAATCTAGAAAATAATAAAATTAATTGCGATTTTATTATTTTCCAGATTTTAATTCATAGTTCATACACAATTATATTATAGATATTTTAAAATAAAATAATTCGACAGTTTGCAGATCAACGCCAACCAACTATTAAAGCAAACAAAAATAGCCTCACCGGAATTAGAGCCGTCCAATTTCTTTGTATGAAATAGGGTATCTGTAATAATGTACTAGTATCACGGCGCTCAATAAGCGTTTCCTGTTAAATAAAACCTAAATGATGGTAAAAAGCCATTAGGAAGGATAAAATTAAAGGGCTTGTATATATAAAATACTAATAATAATATTATAAACGCAAAATTTTGTGAGAATGAATGGATGTATGTTTTTTACTCTATCACGAAAAAAATACTGAACGGATTTTAGTAAAACTTAACCTGTAATAGGTATGACTTAGACATCTTAGTATTACATAGGCATAAATTATATAAAATTTTAAAAATATAGTATGTAATACATTAACAAAATTCGCGGGTGGAACCGCGGGAAAACGCTCAGACTTGTTATAACTAGTATATGATTTTTTATTTTAGGAAAACCAAAACCTTCGCTATCCTGGTTGACGGACCAACGGCTACTTAAGGACACTAAATTGCCGCTGTCAGAGCAGCGTGTACGTAGTGATCTTATATTTGGTCCATTGGGCAGAGAAGACCATGGCAGAGTGTTCACATGTTACGCTAAAAACAACGAAAAAACGGAAAAGCTTGCTATTGACGTTATTGTAGATATGTACTGTAAGTTTGTAAATGTTATGATTTTTAAACTTTTGTTAGGATTTCGTTTTTAAAATTTTTACAATTGTAATTTGGAATATAATAATTACCTCGCACGTGAGCAATTTCGGCCACCGTTCGTTTGCGTGCTCTGAGGGATGGGGGTGAAACACTGCCAAGTTCCCGAGTTGTTACTGAGATTTTTTTGACAGATTGTATGTAAATTTTCTAATACAAATTTAATAAATTATTGATAATATTGCACGTTAAAGACCACAGAAACGGTTTTCTCGTTGTGCTGAGCTAAATAGATATACTAGTCTCTTTACTGTTTGCACTTTCCAGTTTTTTTATGAAATTGGAAATTTTGATATATAAATTTTAGAAGTAACTTCTTTGATCATACATATTATGTGTGATATAATTTGTTTTCCTTTTAAAAATAAGCTTGAAAGAGCTTTATGATTTCGAAACTTTTAATGATATAGGTGCTTGTATACTTGGCAAACAAGTAAAATGGGTACTTTGTTGTGTAATTTGCGTGACAATTAGCATCGTATAAAATGAAGTCGCATAATCTGAAAAAATGATACTTTATAAAAATCTAATAATAAGTGAGTATGGACTTAATAGGCAATTTCTATGTCCAGTACCACCGCAGCTGGTGTCAGTGCGGCCGGTGGCAGGGGAGTTGCGAGCAGGGCGCGTGAAGGCGGGCGAGCCTCTGGCACTGCAGTGCCGCGTGCTCGGCGCGCGCCCCCTGCCCGCCGTCGTGTGGCGACTGGATGACAACCAGCTTGTTAACTTGGAACAGAATATAACGGTAATAGCCCCAGACACAAGAGTATCCCTATAGAGCAGCCATACTCAGATTTTTTTTCATAGGAGCCACAAACACGTTTCAGTCATGGTGTCGAGGGCCGCAAGCAAAAATTATTTAGGTCTTAATGAAAAAGTAATTCCAAGTTAACGACGTAGTTACTTTTTTGACAAAGATATGTTATAATGCGATTTTTGATGCTGCCGCATGCGGCCCGCGGGCCGCAAGTTGAGTATAGCTGCTATAGAGGTACAGCTTTATACAAACAACCGCGCAACGACAGGTACTACTATACATATGCTGGTGGTGTGCGAGAGCTGAGAGCTCATCAAAACACGATATCAACGGAATACACGTACGCCGGCTGACTAACTTTGGATTTGACAATTGCAGACGAAAAAAGGATAAAAATTCTTAAATAAAAATAGAGATAAAAAAGTCTTAGCCGTGCGAATATTAAAATAGTAGGTAGTTACCGGATAAAATCAATCCCTTGAAATTCGTATTTAGCTCTTATTAACGTCAGACTGCTGGGCACGGACCTCCCGTCTAAACAAAAGGGGATCCAATTAGCAAGTGGTACGTGGTAGTGGGTACATTTTTTGTGGAAAATGTTGTGCGAGACCAGAAATTGGACCCTGCTTCACTTGGGTTTCTCAAGCTGAGCCCACTGGGCTGCTACTGCCACACGGTAATTTTGTAATAGACATAAAATACGTACAATAAACATTTATAAGGTAGTTTAATTCTTAAACCAAGTCGTCCCATATAGATAGACTCGTCTCAACGACTGGTGGTGAGTGAGATCCAGTTAAGCATCACACACGAGTACGACGAGTCGCAGGTGACGTGTTGTGCGCCGGCGCATCAGCCTCGCGCAGAACGCTTCATCTGCGCAACGGCGTTACCTCTCACTGTTACGTGTAAGTTAATACATATTCATTAGGCAGCAATTTCGATTTTCGAAATAGAAAGCGAAATATGATACATATTAGTTTTAATTAGGTTAATCAGGGTATGAAATTATCAAGATAAATATATCTTTTGATAATTATCGCGATAATTATCAAGATAATTATCCGATAACTATCCGATAATTATCAAACAGATATAAACTTAGCAATCCTTGTGTAGGTATTGGTATTTGACTACTTGCCTATCATAACTTACGTTAGAATAAATTATACACTTTTAACATTCAAGGTAATCTTTTATTATTATTATTTTTAACCGACTTCCAAAAAGGAGGAGGAATTCTCAATTCATAAGAATCTTTTTGTTAATGTATGTTCACCGATTACTCGAAGACGCCTGAACCGATTTGATTTTTTTTTGTTTCAAAGGGTATACTTTTCAGGTGGTCCCATATAAATTTTATCGAAATATGTCGAGTGGTTTTTTTAAAATCAACAATTAAATTATTTTTTTAAATAAATTGCTTAATCGAACATGTTATTGAAAAAACTTTCTTCTAACAAATTACCTGCTTATTACGTCTACAATAAAAATGGACAAATAAAAACTTAAAAAAAAAACGACTTTCAGGCACTAAAATGAAAAAATAACTAAACGGGGGTTTTCATTTAGAATAGATATCGAATCAGATATTTTCGAAGTCGGTGCCAGCCGACAATATTTTAAGATATGAATATCTAATAGGTAAATATGTGTTTTACGTATCGAAATGTTTGTTTGTGTAACTGCTTCTTTAACGGTTTAATTGTTTAACTGTGAATTTGCTTAACTGTCAGTTAATTAAACTGTCAGTAATATTAAATGTTAGTTTTATGAACGGTTAGTAAGTTTAACTGTCAGTTACTTTAACTGTCAGTAAGTTTAACTGTTAGTTTTATGAACGGCTAGTAAGTTTAACTGTCAGTTACTTTAACTGTCAGTAAGTTTAACTGTCAGTTAGGTAACTGTCTGTTTGATTGTACTGTCAGTAAGGTTAACTGTCAGTTTGATTAACGGCTAGTAAGATTAACTGTCAGTTAGTTGAACTGTTATTTTAACTGTCAGTTAGTTGAACTGTTAGTTTAATTGTCAGTAATGTAACTATCAGTAAGACTAACTGTCAGTTTTCTTAACAAACTGACAGTTAAACTTACTGATAGTTAAACCAACTGACAGTTAAGCAAACTGACAGTTTAGTTAACTGACAGTTAAACCAACTGACAGTTAATCAAACTGACAGTTAAACCAACTGACAGTTAATCAAACTGACAGTTAAACTTACTGGTAATTAAAATAACTGACAGTTAAACTAACTGACAGTTAAACTTACTAGCTGTTAATGAAACTGACAGTTAGTCTTACTGATAGTTACATTACTGACAGTTAAACTTACTGACAATTACACTAACAGTTCAACTAACTGATAGATAAACTAACAGTTCAACTAATGACAGTTTAACTAACAGTTCAACTAACTGACAGTTAATCTTACTAGCCGTTAGTCATACTGACAGTTAACCTTACTGACAGTACAATCAAACTGACAGTTAAACTTACTGACAGTTAAACTTACTGACAGATAAACGAACGGCAGTTAAGCTAACTGACAGTTAAACTTACTGACAGTTAAATTAACTGGTGGATAAACTAACCGATAGTTAAATTAACTGACTGTTAAACTTACTAGCCGTTCATAAAACTAATAGTTAATCTTACTGACAGTTAATCTAACTGACAGTTAAGCAAATTCACAGTTAAACAATCAAACCGTTAAAGAAACAGTTACACAAACAAGCATTTCGATACGTAAAACACATATTTACCTATTAGATATTCATATCTTAAAATATTGTCGGCTGGCACCGACTTCGAAAATATCTGATTCGATATCTATTCTAAATGAAAACCCCCGTTTAGTTATTTTTCACATTTTAGTGCCTGAAAGTCGGTTTTTTTTTAAAGTTTTTATTTGTCCATTTTTATTGTAGACGTAATAAGCAGGTAATTTGTTAGAAGAAAGTTTTTTTAATAACATGTTCGATTTAAAAATTAATTTAATTGTTGATTTTAAAAAAAACCACTCGACATATTTCGATAAAATTTATATGGGACCACCTGAAAAGTATACCCTTTGAAACAAAAAAAAAATTCAAATCGATTCAGGCGTCTTCGAGTAATCGGTGAACATACATTAACAAAAAGATTCTTATGAATTGAGAATTCCTCCTCCTTTTTGGAAGTCGGTTAAAAATAATAATAATAAAAGATTATTTTACCAAAATTAACGAAAGATCACGATTATTCAATATAATCCACACGTATCGTAGATAATGGTATTATAATTAATAATACCGTTTCTTTGTTTAATTAGGGTTCCGTACTTCGAAAGGTAAAAAAAGGAATCCTATAAGATCATTCTCTTGTCCGCGTGTCTGTCCTTGTCTGTCCTTATAGGTACAATAGAATTTGCTTAGTATTTGCTATAAATTTCAGCTTGGATTATTGACTATATAAGATTATTATATAGGATTATTGACTATATAAGATCATTCTCTTGCCCGTCTGTCTGTCCGTGTGTCCACCGATTTTCTCAGAAACGGGTGAACCTAGCAAGTTGAAATTTATAGCAAATACTAAGCAAATTACAGACAGTTATAGAAACTGACAGTTAAACTTACTGATATTTAAGCAAACTGACTGTTAACTACAGACAAGCTAACTGTTTCAAGTTGTTGTCTCAAGTTAAATTAACTGCCAGTAAGTTAAACTGTCAGTTAGCTTGTCTGTCAGTTTGTTTAACTATCAGTAAGTATACTGTTAGTTTGATTTACTTTCAGTAACGGTAGTTTCAGTTAGATCAACGGTGAGTTTGGTAAATGGCTAGTAAGATTAACTGTCAGTTAGCTAACCTGTCAGTTTGTTTAACAGTCAGTTGGTTAACTATCAGTAAGTTTAACTGTCAGTTTGATTTACTGTCAGTTAGATTAACTGTCAGTTTGATAAACGTCTAGTAAGATTAACTGTCTGTTAACCTCCAGTTAGTTTACTGTCAGTAAGTTTAACAGTCAGTTAGTTTAACTGTCAGTTAGTATAACCTCCAGTTAGTTTACTGTCAGTAAGTTTAACGGTCAGTTATATTAACAGTAAAATAGATTAACGGCTAGTTAGTTTAACTGTCAGTTATTTTAACTACCAGTAAGTTTAACTGTCAGTTTGATTGTACTGTCAGTAAGGTTAACTGTCAGTTTGATTAACAGCTAGTAAGATTAACTGTCAGTTAAATTAACTATCAGTTAGTTTGGCAAATTCATTTTCAATGTACTCTAAGTTCGTGGCAAACATCTCAAAATCTGTGATTTTTTTTATTTGAAGTACCCTTTATAATACACTAACGTAATCTGGAGTTTATCTCGCTACGTCCATAAAATAATATAAGTGCCATTTTTGAAATTGTTTATGGTGTATTTACAACGCCGAAAATTAAACATTCTGTCCCTCGTGTGATATATAGGAGTGTACTTACTGCAAATCTTAAAATACCATGAAAATATTATTTTTAAATTCTTAATAGATAGTTGAGTAGTCACCATTTACCTTATATCGATGTTAAATACCTTATTTCAGATGCACCAGTGTTGGAAATTGTCGTAGATAAAGAACTAGAAAATAATACTTTGTCAGTAATAAAGGGGTCTAACGTTTCTATGAACTGCAGCTACCAGGCCAATCCTTCTGTTTACCAACTTACATGGTTCCATGAGGTAAATGGGAAAAGAATAATTTATTAAATATTTACTTCTTTTTTATATTTGCCCCATAATTATAATAGTTCCTAAATTTTATATTAAAATTGACTTATTATACCAAAATTAACGAAAGATCACGATTATTCAATATAATCCACACGTATCGTAAATAATGGTATTATAATTACTAATACCGTTTCTTTGTTTAACTAGGGTTCCGTACCTCGAAAGGTAAAAAAAGGAACCCTTATAAGATCATTCTCTTGCCCGTCTGTCTGTCCGTGTGTCCATCGATTTTCTCAGGAACGGGTGAACCTAGCAAGTTGAAATTTATAGCAAATACTAAGCAAATTCTATTGTCCCTATAAGGTGATTAAAAATCAAGGTCCTGATTCAACGCGATAAAAAGATATAGGGAAATTTAGATTTTCGCGAAAACTTGTAAGTACCAAAATTTACCCTAATCTTCTACATTTTTATTTTTCGGAATTTTCCCTTTACTTGTGCTGAAAGACCTGATTTTAACCAAAATTGACAATTCTAGGTCAACCGGAAGTACCCTATAGGGTTGAAAACCTATATGGTAGTTCCCGTTGACCTAGATTCACGAAATTTGACAAAAAGCAAGGTCTTACAGCAAAAATAAAGGAAAAATTAAAGTTAATCCTTCCACGACCGCGGACACCCCGGCGTTACAGTTAACAATAGATTTCTTAGAAATTTACCTGGAGGTGTTACACATATTTCCTACAAATTTGTACGGAACCCTCGGTGGGCGAGTCCGACTCGCACTTGTTCGGATTTTTCTTATAGGTAAAAATAACTTTAATACAGTGTAGTAACATACACGAGCTTAATTTGCACTTCATTTCTTATTTTATTTTAGGAGGATATGTTAGTCAAAAATGCAGAGCAGAGCGAGACAGCAGTGTCGCCAACGCTGACGCTTACGAGTGTGAGCGAGACGGATGCAGGCGAGTACGTTTGCGCCGCCACCAACGACGAAGGCTCCACCTACAGCGAACCTGTCGTCATTGACGTCTTATGTAAAGTTTTTATAAACTATTCTATTTATTTCTATTTTATACAATATTATTCACTTTTCTATGCATGAATTGCTAAAAACAAATAATAAAACATAAAATTGATCACACTCCAGTAAGAGAATACTCGCTGTATTTTGTCTCTTTTCTGGTTACTAATAACCATTGAAAGACGAGTACGCCATATTTGAGCCAATAAATAGACCAATCATAATTTAAGCGAAAGACCATTACTAGCAGCAAAATCGATTATTTCTTCATATTTTTCAGTCCAAAATTTGGTAACGAGACCGTTTTCAACGCTTAATCCATTCTCTTATATGTGTGAAAGACAGAGTAGAGAGTTGCAAGTGATCATATTTGAATAGAGAACCTAAGTTGTAATTTATAGAAGTATTCAGGGACTAGATTAAGAAAAAAACGGACTATATAATAACGATAATCTTCTAATCTCAAGTGCACAAATAGCCAGATAGAATTTACTATTAAATGTAATGCAAATATATAATACGAAAAAACTTGAAATTTTAGATCCACCATTTTGCGAAGACGAAAGGATATTAGAATATGGAGTAGGGGATGAGGAATGTGTTAACTTGACCTGCAAAGTAGTTGGTAACCCTAATTCCACTGCATACTACTGGTTGCTGGTGACCGCCGGCGGGAAGCGGGAGAATCAGTCCGTCACCCTGGAGACACCAGACCCTGTGCTGGTATACAAACGTCCTAATGGAACATCGTGTAAGTGTAATAAAAATATTATTTACGCTCTTACATTAAGGGAGGTCAGTCATGTTATTTTATTTGGACCAAAAAAATATATATACGCGAATGGAGCAATGAGAGTTGCGAAACTGACAAAATATTGATCACACTACTCTATAAATGCGAACATTTTGTATGTTTGTAACTCCTTCACGCTTAAATGGATTTTGATGAAAAGTAGGTACACAGAAAAATTGTAGCCTGGAATTAAAACACGTTTAATTTGGTAAAAAATGCTAAAAGATGGCGCTGCCTGACATAAAAATACAAAAGGGAGATTCATAGGGATCCGAGGGTAAGTCGCTAATCTATACTAATATTATAAAGAAGTTAAGTTTGTGTGTTTGTGAGGTTATAAGGGGTAATCTCTGGATCTACTAAACCGATTTAGATGAAATTTGGTAAGAAGATAGTTTGAGATCCTGAGAAAGACATAGGATACTACTTATCCCGGAAATCATACCTTAAGGGGGAGAAAATGGAGATGAAAGTTTGTATAGGGGATCAACCTAATAATAATTTGGTTAATTAGAAAGGCAATAATTTGATTTCAGCTATTATATATTGTTGGGGAATAAACGGAGTGAACAGCAACGAGCTGCAGCCGAGCAAGTGCACGTTTATGATCACGGACGAGACGGCGCCGCGCGCGCCCTCCGCCTGCCGCGCCGCTAAGAACAGGCTCAAGGAGATCACCGTCATTTGTGAGAAAGGCCATAATGGGGGATTGGAACAGGTACTTATATTTATCCTAACATAAAATTGTAAATGCAAAAGTAACTATCTATTTGTTACCTGTTTACGCTTATTCTGCTGCACCGATTTAGACGAAATTTGGTATAGTTTGAGAAGGGGAAGGACATAGGATAGTTTTTATCCCGGAAATCATTCCTTAAGGGAGTGAAAAGGGGGTGGAAGTTTGTATGGCGAATCAATCATTCTCAAGTAAGGAATAAAAAACTCATCATACTTATGTATATTTATAGTTCATCTGTTCCATACTAACCGTTAAATATTATAAATGAGAAAGTTTCTGAGTATGGATGTTTGTTACTCTATCAAGCCAGAACGGGTGATCGGATCTGGATGAAATTTGGCACAGAGATAGATTATAGTCTGGAATAACACATATACTTTTTATCCCGGAAAAATATATGGTTCCCGTGGGATAGGTTTTTGTTTTCCTAGAGGTGAAACCGAGCGAACCGAGGGTGAGCCACTAGTTATATTCATAATTCCCCGATTATACTAAACAATTTCATATTTGATAATATGATTATGATTTGATGAATTACTTTACATACATTAAAAATTAAAAGTTATTTTTTTTACTGCCCTCCGTACCGCCTTTTACCGCCTTTATGCAATATACAGGCTGAATACATTTTCAAATTCCGTTCAAAGTACATAAAATATCTATTCGGAAAATAGTTTAAAACTAATGAAAAAAATGTTTTGATTGTTCCAGAAATTCAAATTCATAGTAATGTCTTTGGAGTCTGAAGAACAAATCGTGTCCATAATCAATCTAGAACCCAAGTTTATGATTGAAGAACCAAAACAAGAAAATTATAAGTTTGTCATACTAGCATTTAACGATAAGGGGGAGAGTGAGAGCGTCGAAATTGAAAAGGATAGTATTGTTGATGAAAGTGAAGGTATTTATCTATTTTAGAGTTTTCATAACATTATATGTTCTACGTAGGGTAATAAAACGATCTTGTAATATTTTGGTGATATTACATCACGTTCATTGAATTATTACAACTCTTTGGTGAATGTACTAAATGTAATTTTTCTCTTAAAACATTAGAAAGAGACTGACTGTTCCAACATTTTCTATATAATGTGTAGGATCCCTAATAAAACTTCGAGATATTCCTTGCTTATATCCTTATATTCAGTACTTTTATAACCGTCAGTAAGATACATTATTTATAACCATAATTTTCAGTATTACAAACAATTCGCGACTAGTCTTAGGGTGGTAACATCTCTGTGCAAAAGCGCGGGAACACAAATGAATATCCGCGCCCTTTTATTTTTTTTAAAACACATTCCTATCGGCCAAGGTCACATAACTAAAATGCCTTATTATACATAAATCATTACAAATTAATCAAATATATTATTTTCTATTACAACGCTCAATATATAAAAATGCAACCTTACATACATATGTAACAGTTCTAATTACTTACTTAACGCCTTGGGCTACTTTTTATGCGCGCAAACGCAACGTGGATTCTCTTTTTCTTTCACTTTCCAACTCAGCGACACCGACCCTACCAGAGAGAGATCAGGCGCAGAATCAACGGCTTTTTAAGCTGAGGCACGGTGGTGTAAGCGTGCCAACTTTCCTATTCCATTACTGGCTATGTCTAGATAGAAAAACCTAATGATTATACTTGGTATCCCAGGACCACCGTATCTCGTACCACCGCATCGCCGTACATGCTAACATCGTACATGCTAATAGACCAACGAGGCGTTAAAGTTTAGATACATATCTATATTTACATATACTTGTCATTTTTTATATAGTCTAAGTTAGTTTCAAAATTAACTCTGTTCTAAACCTTTGTCATAGTGAGAATTGCGTAATAAAACTATAACCTGAAACACAGGTTGTTAACCTAGTTCGGGTGGGTTCCAAATTGTATTGTGTCCTTTGTAATTTATTTTGTAAATATTATAGAACTTTGTAAAAATACTATAAAAACACGTTATAATAAAATCCAAAAAAAATATGTATTATCAGAATTATTTGAAACCTGGTATATGTACTCGTCAATAAAATTAAATAAATAAGTGTCTTAGCATTTTTCAAAATTCATCCTATAAGGGGGTAAAATAGGGGATAAAAGTTTCTATGAAACTACCTTTTTAGAGATTTTGTTGTAGTTTTAGCGCGAGTGAACCCGCGGGTTCTGCTAGTAGATAATATATCTCCATAAAAACAACTAACCATCTAATATATTATGTACCAGCTATGGGCGAGACGATATCCGCAGTAACGAACATCACGACGCTGGCGCTGGCGCTGTGCGGCGGCGTAGCGCTGCTGGCGCTGGCGGCGTGCGGCCTCGTGCTGTGCGCGCACGAGCGCGCCGCGCGCGACCCGCCCGCGCCCGACCCGCCCTTGTGCGCGTATAACACTGATGGTATTTCATTTTTTTTCTTTATGGCTTAGAGCTGCGTAACATATGCAATTCATTCTGCTAGTGTCGTGTTATGATGGTACTTCATTTAGCTTTTTAGGGTTTCAAAAAGACAAAAGGAAGCCATTTAAGATCACTTTGTTGTCCGTTTATCTGTATGTTAAGACCTTCTTTCTCAGAAATGCGTGGCGGTATCAATTTCAAATTAATCTCAACTTAATAAACAATTAGACGGGGTCTAAAACTGACTCACGTAATTAATGGATGCTCTCTTATCTCGCTGAGAACTTACATATTATTTTTATCAGAATCAAACTGCGAAACGTACCACGACAGCGACGACGGCAGCGAGTGCAACGTGCGCCGCACGGAGTCATTCCGCCGCGCGTGCCGCCACGCGCCGGGCAAGTACGACGTGCAGCGCGCGAGCTCCTTCCACGCGGTGCGCGCGCACGACGCCGCCTGCCGCCGCTCGCTGCAGAACCTCAGCCGGCGGCGCGACGACCTCGTAGATCACTTCGTCATGCATCTGCCGCCGGATACTGGTTATAATGTGCCTAAACCGGTAAGTGTCCGATTTAAAAATACACAGATATAGTTTCACGCTATATCCCTTGCGTAGTGCGTAAAGTTGAGTTAAGTTGCCTATAGAATTTCTACGATTTAACTTCTTCCATTGTCATCGTTTTCTTTACACACGCTCGTCATGACTCCATAACTGATAAGACACTTCGTCTTTAACTGTTCTAAAATACACATTTTTGTCTGAGCCCGTAAAATATAGACGGCTAAATCGAGTATAACATGTTAAATGCGAAAACGAGTTCATTCATAACAAAAGCGAAAGTAAAAATATAGCAGCTTATTATATCCGAGACATTCATTCGAAAATTTCATCATTTCAATTCAGATGAACACATTTTATACGATGCCGCGGAAGATGCGTCACAGGGCAGCGAAAGAGATCAGTGATGAGACGTCAGAAATCACTCAAAATTCCGATGGGTTCTCTCTACCGCCGCCGCCCGACGAGTTCGGGAGCTACCGAGCCGCCACGCGCATACGGGACGTGCCCAAGTGCACGCCCTCATACACCACCATCACGAGGCACAATTCAGCCAAAGACCATGGGAAATACAACAATGTCATCATATCCCCCATGAACACGGTAGGCCTACCCACTATCGCGCAGACAAGCGTCTACACATACCCAGACGACGATCAGGTAAATACCAATCCCTTTGAGGATTCCCCGTAGTGCAATTTCAATTTTACATTAAGTTCTAATTTTTTATATTTTATTTTAAAGGACTTACGATACGGACTCGAAAGTAAATATACTTATATTTAATTTTATCTATTAGATCTCACTGTATAAACACACTTAAGGTTTATAATTGAAACCAAAGCAAATATTTGTTTAATGATAATTTATTTACAAAAATAGAAATCACGGTGTATATTCTGACTGGCAGAACCACCTTAATATCTTTATCTTAGACGCACATTATAAGTAATTTAAGTAGCTTATAGCATTGCATCGAATGTATATAGCACTTAGATTAATGGATCCAAAACATGATTAAATATTAAGTTATGTTTAATTTATCAGTCACTGCCATCCTACACTTTAATTAGTACATTATAATTTTATGAATTTATCACATTGAAATATTTGATGTAATAAAATAGGAATTTTTGTATTTTACTGTAATAGTATTTAACAAATATATTACTTATCATTAATATCAAGACCCTTTTATTTTATAATATCCATTATAAAATTGAAAATATAAAAGATGATACAAAATCAATTTATTATTATGAAATTCACTCGTGACCAATGATTAAAGCAACAATAATATAACGTTCTATAATTTAATCCATACGATCGAGATGCGCCTGCGCAACTGTTAGCTTATCTATAAGTTGTTGAGTGTTCGGGCGGCTCTGTAAAAAGAAAAAAAAAGTTTATACAAAAATACGAGTAAGTACAGTCACTATAATATAAGCTTTAATACCTAGATCGAGCTCTCTACCATTATTTTAGAATTATCTATACGTATGATAAAATTGTAACTAAGCCGAATCTGCACATTAAAATATTTTTTGGAAAATCTTATTGAAATAAACATTATTATCGACACAGAAGCGGAATCTATAGTTTTTAGAATTTTTGTCTGTCCACCACAGAAAAACCACTGGAGGGATTTTGATGAAATTTGATATGGTGATAACTGGTTATCTGGGTCAACATATAGGATACTTTTTACAGCGGGAAAAAGTCTCATTTCTGAAAAAAATACAAACACTGCAATGTAAGAGTATACTAATATGTAAAACCTAAGAACTGGGCGGAGCCGCGGGCAATGCTAGTTCACAATATATGAAATAAATTATTGTAGGATATTAATAATAATTATTAACAATAACACCGCAAAGCAATATCGTACATAATATTTGCTAAAACCTTTGCAATCAATCATAATCAAGCGATTTGATTTAGATAAGCAAAAGCTATCTACACTAATACATATTATGAAAAGGTTAAGTTTATAACTTTAGATAGAGGATATATGGCCGATTTCACCAACGTCACCTAAGTTTAAGGGATCCCCTAAGCATGTTTAGGGGGCTGCTTGGGGACAGTTTCTGTTTCACAGACAGTTAAGGGTCGCCTAAATGTTAAAATACCACCTAAATATAGGTACTTGAAATACGGGCTCTGACGATGGTAAAACGAAATTTAATTTAAGGGCTAGTTTAGGGGAACTTTTAAGCTAGGGATTAGTACCTAACAAGGTTATTTGTACCTAACAGTTAGTAACTAACATGGTCTGTCAATAGATGGCGTTAGTAGTACAATAAATCGCAATATCGTTTGGTTCTGTTGGAAACATAGTATTTTTCAAATTTTAAAAAATTAAATTGGAAACAATAAGTGTTCTTATTATACCCAGTGAAGTGAAACAGTAGTAGTCAGTAAAAAGTAGAGTATAGTAATGCAGAGCGAGTTCTAGACAGTGGTCCTTCGACACAAATACAATACAGTACAAACCTGAAGCGCCGACAGCGCGGCCTCGTGCAGGTCCTTGCAGCGGGCGAGCGCGCGGCGGCGCGGCGCGGGCGGCAGCGGCGCCAGCTCGGCGCGCGCGGCGCCCAGCAGCAGCGCCGCCGCCGCGCACACGTGCGACTCGTCCCCGCACCCGAGCCACACGCGCTCGTTCACACTCACTAGTCTGGAATAGGAATAAGGGAACATATCGCTTATATAATACGCTTTAATATAAAATTTTGCTTTTTGTTTGTTTGTTTGTATTGAATAGGCTCCGGAAATCATCGCTTAAGGGGTGAAAATGGGGGTAAAGTTTGTATGGGGAAGCAACCTATTTAAGTTTAAATAAAATTGTCTTGTCGAATTTTTTCGCGGTTTTATTTTATACATTTTTCCTACCGACGTTTCGAATGTTTAACAGCAAACATAGTCACGAGAAAGACAAGAAAAAGAAAAGAAATAATTTCATTAAAAATATGGCCATTATAATACTATATATTGTGTAATATTAGTCCTCATTTTTTTTCGAATTATAATTTTTTTAACGAACGCAACGATGACGTGTGGTCTATACAATTAGGGCAACAGGTTTTGTGAGACAACTTTTGTCAAGCACCAATTATATTTTTAAATCTGTTGTTTTTGTTGTCTGACATTAAAAATTTTAATTGTATGAGAATACAAAACAATTTAAAATAATCATAGAATAAAAAAAGTCATAGAATAACTAAAAGTTTAAAAATTATTATTGATTTATTCATATCTCATTACTCTGGTTTACTTTAATATGAAGTAATAATAAAAAAAAATACTCACTTTATATAAATGTCTAGTACTTGTTCCAAGGAAACACCGATGTTAAGAACAGCTCCAAACACCATACTCTTTTCAGCTTGCAACTTACAGCTCATTATTTCTAATTGACGAACGATAAAATCTGCAACAATTCCCGAAGGATATACTTATGAAAAATAAAAAAAGTTTATTTTAATTTATATGATAGCTTTTGGTATATAGCAGCTTGAAGTCTTCATTCATGGTATCTATGAATATTAACGCGTACATGTTTATGTAACTATTTGTTTATTATGTATTATATTTAAGTGCTCCTTACGGCGACCAACCTCACCGGGCCTACTCATGTGCGCAGGAGATATCATTGTACACAAGTAAGTGTGCAAACACACTCCTCTATTGTTTTAACACTCAGTGACACTTCGACACGTCCGACGAGAGATCAGGCGCAGAACCGACGGCTGTATGTCCTTCGCTAAAGTTAGCGGTATTACGGCTTCATGTCCTTCACTAAACGTGCTTAACACGGAGCCGTAATACCACTAACTTTCCAACACCCGGTTGCTACTGAAAATTTCTTTACAGAAAATTCAATAGTTATACCTAGTCCGACCTGAGTTTGACTCCAGGTTGGGCCGTATATAATATTTTTCTTCAGAAAGTCTTATTAATAGCCAAGAGTTGAAAAGTTGGCCGTGTTTTATCCCCGTGTCTAGGGGAGCACGTAAACCCGTCGGTCTTACACCTGATCTCTCACTGTTCACGACCAGTCAAATTGAGTGTATGAGAGTGACAGAAATAGAGAGAGTACTTGTGACTGCGTTACACTATAATATCTCCTTTGTAGTTGGCTAATCTCAGTGCATTGGCCGAAATCGGACATCAGCATCAGGAGGAGATCATATGTTTAGAAAAATAACTAGCGGCTCACACTTACTTCGCTCGGATTCTAGGAAAACAAAAACAAACCTATCCCTCGGGAACCGTACATTTTTCAGGAATAAAAAGTAGCCTATGTGTTATTCTAGACTATAATCTATCTCTGTGATAAATTTTTATCCAGATCCGATCAGCCGTTCTGGCGTGAAAGAGTAGAAAAACATCCATACATACTAAAAAAAATTACATTTGTTATATAAGTATAGAGGTATAGATAATACGGATTAAAAGAAACTCACACAACGGGAAGCAATGCCCAGTATTGACATACTCCCGACCCAGCGTGGTCAGCTTGCTGAGCACGGAAGCGAGGCGCTCGTCGGGCGCGGGCAGCGCGCGCGCCGCCGCCTCCGCCTCCGCCAGGATGTTGCTCCAGATGTTCTCGACCAGCAGCGCGTCGTTGTGCCCCGAGCACTGCACGATCGCGAGCTTGCACTCCCACAGGTTGTAGCGGTCCGCATACTCTTCGTATAGCTGGTTGGAGTTTATTTCAAGTTAAGGATATGATGGATGGTATAATTTAATCATTAAATCTATATAATTGTTTTTGTGTTGTGTAACAGTTTTGTAAATAATAGGAGAGAAATGTTAAGTACGAAACCCAACGATTGTTAGTTTTCATTTATTAACCAAAGACACACTGGAAGTTAAAGCAATAACAATTTATAGGCGCCGGAGAATTGCATGTGTACGAAAGTGTTTTACTTAATGTATTTTTCACTTCTGAAAAATAATGTTTTTTTTGCAAAAATTGCACGTGTAATCTAATTGACATAATTTTAATATATTATTTTACCTATTGTGCGGTGTTTCGTACAGTTTTGATATACAGAATAAATAATAAATTTTATTTCATGGTGCTTGAGTCGTGAATTTAGTTTTTCAGAATTTAGTTTCTGTTTGTTTATCTAAAAATCATTCGAGAGCGGCTGGAAGAATTTAAATAAGACCATTTGTGTTTTTTTTATTGTACGATAGGCTAGCGCTTGACTACAATCAGCGCTGGGAAGCACTGATGAGGTCTAGGTTGGAGCGCGCTTGCCTAGAAAATGCCTATTCACTCTTGCCTTGAAGGCACTTAGATTATAGGTGGCAGGAAACATGGGTGCTGGAAGGGTGTTCCACTCCTTAGCTATTCGTTTCAGAAAAATACAAATTTAAATGCTGTCAATATATAGTTTATATTTATAATAAAAACAAAATATTTTATAATGGAAATGAGTTTTTCAAATAGGATTAGCAGTTCCTAATATTACCGCGTTAAAACAAACAAACAAACTCTGCCTCTTTATAATATTAGTGTAGATTTAGTATTTTAATTTTAAATAAAAGGTGGAGTCATGTTTTCTTCATACTGTTTATAGAATTATAATAGAATTAATATTCATGTAAAAAAAGGATATTGATTCACAATAGAAGCTCAAATTTTTTTGCAACAAACAATTATATTTTTATATTATATATTATAAGGACAAATTTGTATTAACTTGTTGTATCTTTGTCTTGTTAGTTTACTCTTGATGGAGGTGGTGCGAAAAAACGGTTAGTACAACGCTGATATTAAATAGCTTATAGTAGGAGCGATTTGTAAACAACAATTAATGCAGTGTTTTAATAATTAATTTACAATTCATATCCATCTTTTATATTTAGTTTTAAGAATTGTTTTTTTTTTGTTGTGTTTATAATATACCTAGCGACTCAATGTTGCTTCGCTCAGGTTTGTCCCTAGGTACGTTTTAAACAGATATAAACATATAATTATTATCAGCATTAGTCATTTAAAAAAAAATCTAGAACTTTTCCGATGTTTTAATAGTTATTCTGCTATTTGGGCAGAGACAAATTCAACAAATCAAAGATCATAAAAATCGGTCCAGCAGTCCTCGAGTTATAAGTGTTGTAACAAGCCCGACTTTGTTTTGTAAATATACTAACAGTACCCGCGGCTTCGCCCGCGTTCGAAGTACAAAAAAAAACTCTTTGACACACCGACTGCAGCGTCACCTACCGAGTCCAATTGTGTTTTCAAACCATCCAGGAGCCCATTGAAATATACACACAAAATTTCATCCAAATCGGTTCAGCCCTTTAGGAGGAGTAAGGTGACAAACACACATACAGAAGAATTATATATATTAAGATAGAAGACAGATATAGGGTGATTATAGCCCGCGCACCTGCGTGATCTCGAGCAGCTCGTCGTCCAGGCGCTGCAACAGGTGTGCGGGCGGGTGCGCAGGTGCGGCGCGCAGCGCTGCGCGCACGGCGGCCTGCACGCGCGCCACCTCCGCCGCCTCCTCTAGCCGCCGCAGCAGCTCGGCGCCGCCCGCAGCGCGCGCGCCCGCGCCGCGCACGCACACCACGCCCGACGACACCCACGACATGCGTTGCGCTAGGGTCGCGCCCGTGCTGTGGGATTTGGGTGTCATTGTAATACATTTCAGAATAAAAAGTAGTGTAAAAGATAATATTTTATGTATAAAAAGTATTATTAGTGAAAAATGCTTGTAAGAACCTATTAACCAAAAAGAGATCCTGTCTTCGTTAGTATAGTCTTAAAGTCTTAATGACACAATATTGTATTAGATCGATGTTGCAAATAAGTACACATTGTTCTCTTTTCTAATAATAATATTATATTCAAAGCAATTAGAAAAAATACCTAATAGCATTACTTATCTTATTTATTTACTAAATGGGAACACCAACAGTATAAATATATAGTATAATATATTATAAGTGTTGCCATCTTTTTCGGACGTACAAATATCTATTGTTTTGATAAAAAAAAAACAAAAAGAGCATACCCAGGTTTAGTAGCAAGTCCCTCGAGCACGTGTGCGGCGGCGAGGTGGTCGCCGGCCTTCTCCAACACCATCCACAGCAGGTCGAGCAGCTGCAGCGCGGCCGGCGCGGGCGCCTGGCGCGACGCCGCCTGCAGATACGTGCGCAGCGACGCCGGCGGCGCGCCGCTCAGCGATAACAACTCTGTGGCGCAACGACGAATAACATTACATATTATTTAATATGTACGATTTAAAAAATATATGTACAAGATAGTAAAATAGTGTAAAATTACATATAATGAAGTTTATCTTAATGCGGCTTCGTACTCTTAAACTATCTAATAGTATATTTATGTCTATTTATTAATTTTACACATTATTATAGGATTTCATCGTTAAAACACGTTATTACCTGATCCCAAATTCTTTGAGACGAGCCATTCATACACAGCAACATGTAGAATTTCATCGTCCCTACACAAACAGTCCCAGACCAGCTTTCTTCCCTGTAATAATATAAAGTATTTAAAAAAAATAACAATTTGCAACTAACTTCCTGTAAGAAAAATAAACATAAATGAAAAATTTCCATAATCTTGGTTGTTGCGCTACATATATTGTGCTGTACGTATAACAAACATACTTTCGCATTTAAGATATTAGAGTAAGGATTATCGAACAGTCTTGACTTTCATTTATTAAAATATGCAAATTGCTTTACTCAGGTAGTGCGTAAAAAGGCGTATCGTACATACTTCCTTAATATATTTTTCAATTCAAACTTGAAATTTCTCTGCAACTAATGTATTCTAATAAATAAACTAACAAACTCTTCAGCTTTATATATTATAGCATAGCAAAGTATACCTGATAGTTAGCATCAGCCGCGGAGAGCGCGTGCAAGGCGTCTGCGGCGGCCGCAGCAGAAGTAGAGCCGTTGGCGGTAGCGTCGGCGCTGCGCTCATACAGGCGCTCCAGCGCGCTGCACACCTCGCGGTATATCTCCATCCTATAACAAATAATGTCTTTAAATATATAACCTAACAATTTTTAACACTATTTTTAATATAGTAATTAATTATACAATTCGTAGAAAATAACATAATATAAAGTTTAAACATATTTCTATATGGAATAAATTCAATTTTTGAAGTGAAAACTTCTATAGGCAGATTTGGATGGGGAGTAAATTCATGTAAGTCGGCATCGACATGGTCACGTGACGTGTCAACGCTAACACTTAAAGTGCCGATAGATGTCAAAACCAGATAAATGTAAGCAGTTTTAATTTACAAATTTGAATTTAAGATCTAACAATTAATTTGAATATCCAAAAATAACAACTGTTTCTTTATAGTTTTAAGTTTTCACTTCTGTCTGCGGTCCTCATGACTGCTTTTTTTTTACTTTTCACATGTATTACTAATATAAAGACCATTTACCATGCTTTTGAGCTCAATTATTGCTATAAAAGTTAATGAAATCTTAACTAATTTTATACCTTCTATAGTATGCCAAATGCCCTTCTCTATCCTGCGAGGGTTGGTCACTCTTGTAGTAGTATAGAGCCTTATCCTGCGGGTCTATCTTGCTGGCACAGGCCACGCACAGCTCCACTACACCCGAGTAAAAACCGGAGGATACTAGTTTTGAACACACCAGAGGCAGATTAACATTGGGTGCCACATCCTGTAGAAAAGAAAAAAAATAATGTTCACTTATCCATATACTGATAACTTATTCAATTGTTTAAATAAAAAAATCTTAAAATTAAATTTAAATTACGTAAAAAAATATATATTACCTTGCAAAGTTTCAGTGCTTGCTGAAGCATTTCCTCGCGCTCGGCAGGATTCTTTTGTTGCTTAGCAAATATTAGCAATTCATTGGCCTAAAAGTAATCACAATATTAAAATTAATGTACTGGCTTATATATAATTTCTTAGATTTATGCGAATATTTGACATGGTCACGAGAGTCTCTCCCGTGACCATGTTTGCTGTAAAGCATTCAAAACGAGAACCAACAATCTAAATAAATCCGCGAAAAAATCCGAAAAGATAATTTCATTTAAAATGGGCTATATTATTTACGAGTCTTAAAAAAGGAATATGGATATTGTTCCACTCACTTTCGAACATGTAGCATCTTCTTGCCGATACAAAGTAGGACATAGTTGCCTCAATTTTTGCGAGATGCCGTCAACTGAAGCGTTGTCGCGCAAGTACCCGGCCACGAGAGAACCCAGCAACAGGCATGCTACTTCTTGACCACCCACTAACAATTCTCTACAAATGAAACGTATTTTTCTTATTTTCATGAACATATTGTAGTATACCTTTAAATATATTTTCTATAATATGACAGTAGGGTAAATATATTTACAGCAAAATTATTTTTAGATATTTTTTTTTAATTAAAACAATTTCATAACTAAATATCACTCACCTAAAACTAGCTGCTTGCAAAGCACTTTGCTGTTCGGGAGGGAGGCTAGCCGCTATTACATGAAATTGGTGCTCACAAAGTACTTTCCAAAGACTCAACATTTCTATTGCCATCGCTGTAGGTAAAAGGTGATAAACATTATAAAAACTTTTTAACAAAAAATAAAAACCGACTTCCCGGCATTAAAATGTAAAAAATAACTAAAGGGGGGTTTTCATTTAGAATAGATACCTAATCAAATATTTTCGAAGTCGGTGCCAGCCGATGCAAAGCAAATCTAATATATTTCGATACGTAAAATACATATTTACCTATCAGATAGATATTCATATCTAAAATATTGCACAAAATGGCGAATTACATGTGGGGGTTATTTTTTAATTTTTAATTTAGTTATTATTGTAAATATAAAAAACAGTTACATTATTTAAACTACTTATAGCAGGAAACTTAATTTTATAAATTCAAATTGATGATCTATGCAAATCGCTACATTTATCAATTGATGGTATTTTCTACAATATCTATGGAAATACAGTTCTTATAAAGATTTTTTTAGAATAAATATAAATGATATATATGTATGTACAATGTACATATATGTATTTGACTAGCGCCTAACTCTCGCTTCGCTTTGGGTTCGTCCCTAATTTAGTATAGATAATATAGATTTAAGTCTAATAATATCGATTTCAAGTCAACCTTGTCTAAACATCAATAATTATTAAAAATAACTTTATTTATACATCTAAAAACAATTATATTCATAAAGCACAGTATATAACTTACTGATGAATAGCTTCAATGAATGCAAAGAGGCCTGCTCCTCTGGCTGCGTGGCGGCCACCACGCGCATGAACGCTGACACGCGCTGTAGCTTCTTTACAATGTATGCACAGTCTTCACCAGTCACTTTGCTTGACATCTAAAACAAACATAGACTGCAAGTTACAAAAGAAATAAATCATATCCATAATACTTTCTTAGATATACGCGAATATTTGACATTTTAAATAAAACTATCTTTTTGGATTTTTTCGCGTTTATTTTGAGTTTCGCACTCTAATATGTTTAATAACTATTTTCACTTTAGAAATGTAAAATCTATTGCTAAAGTAAAACTGCAATTCTTAGATTTGACATTTAAATAAAAGTATATTTTCGCTTTTTTTTCGACAGATTTATTTTGCTTCACAACAATCCGAAAAGATTTATTTATTTAATAAATCATACTTAATATTATTTAAAAGAAATTATAACCACTTTCTTATTCAATCCGTAATGTATTTTATTCAATCCATATATATATACAATGGCAAGCAGAAATCAAGTTCACTTACTAGCTCTTTATTTTCTGGCGTCATGGACTTCGTAACACATTTTAAATTCCAAATAGAGGACAATATTCTTCCCACATATATATACAGGCCATTGTGTTTCGCACTATATTCTATTTGCATGGGGTAATTTTCTCTTTGCTGCTGTGTTACATTAGCCATAAAAGATGACTGGTTGAATCCTGTTGGACTCACAATATTTTGTTGGTATGATTGTGGCATCATTGATTGGCTCGAGATTCCCATTGATTGGTTCATTTGTGCTTGTTGGTAGGACTGGTTCAGCTGTGCCTGCCTCATTTGATCCTGTGGCCTTGTCGACATTGGCGTCGATACTTGACGTGGCGAAAACTTCGGCGAACCTTTAACAATAAAAATCTCTAATAAAAACCTATTAGTATATAAATGATACATTTATTAATCATGATTTTATTAAAAAATATTTTGAAATTAATATATTGCATAAAAAAATTAAAACCATATTACAATACACATATGTATACTTATATGTATTACAAGACTGAAATAGTAGTTTTTTATTTATCCTTATTCTGCTTTAAAAAAAATGCATTTAATAGCGTATTCATTGAAGAAGACAATAGACTCTTAAAAACTGTGCAAATATACAAGATGTAAATAAATATTAAAGTTTGGGAATAAAGCTGAATACAAAAAAGTTAAAACCAAGTCCAATACCGATAGCGGAAGCAGTCTGCGAGTGTTGCGAGTGGTGCGCGTAGAGCGGCGCGGGCGCGGGCTGGCTGCCGTACAGGAAGAAGGCGCGCGCCGCCCACTCGCTGACCGACGCGTCGCCGCTCGCGTCCTCGCACGCCAGGTACGCTGCGCACGCGCACGCTTGCTCTGCTCCTTGTAACTGTCACCGTTTCACACACATTACATATTTATTTATAGGTGCATTTTTTTTGCAAGGTACCCTAATTCTTTTTCTTAAAGGCTACCCCTTATAAACCTCACGTCGTGCTGAGTTTACGTAGATAATTGACAACATTTCATTTTTTCAACATCCCTATGTTATAATTTTAATTAAAACTAGATCAAAAATGAGGCGACCCATATCTTTTCTTTTTTCGAAATGATGCCGTTTTCATATAAAATTTCCACTTTGAAACTCGTCTTATTCTAAAAAGACGTAAACGACAAATGACGTCATTAATTAGGTTGAATAGCGATATTGCCTTTGCCTTTCTCTCATCCGTCAAAAAAAAATATACTTATGTCATTTTGGCATTACAAAATCTTTCCTTGTCAGTTGTCTGTGTACAAAAGTTTCAAAGCTTAAACGTTTTGTTTTTTATTGTGATTGTCATATTTTGAGAAACAATTCAAAATTCAAACGTCAATTATTCAGAAATGACACATATGACATATGACACTGACGTTGGACGAATAATTTCATCTTAATCTTTAGTAGGCAAAGGCAATCATCTCATTCAACCTTATTTGTGACGTCACCACAATATTTTCAGATTTTATTTTTTTTCTCCAAAACCAAGCATTAAAAAAATCCCAAAAAATATATTTGTACTCAAAATAGGAAAATAAAGAAACGGTATTTTTATTTTAGGGTCTTCATATTTCTGAAATGTTGTCAATTGTACGTGAGATAATTGCACAGAGGGATTATCTAGAAAAGTTATAGGCTATAATTTAAAAACATATGTGAATAAAATTGAAGAAAAAAAACGTAATATAGTACGAAGGATATTTAGGGTATATACACCTGGAACATATCCTTGACTGGCTGCGCGTCAGGGCCGCGGTAGTCGCGCAGCAGCGTGCGCAGTAGATCCGGTGCCGCGCCCGCCGCTAGCAGCGCCGCGCCCCACGCGCTCACCACCGCCCAGCGCGATGACGACCAAATTTCTACAATATAAGACAATATCACAATATACAAGTATAGAGATTAGACGAAGTCACTATATAATCTTATAATTTTAAATGAGCAATTCTTATATATTACATATTTTTTTTCGTGTATCTCAGAACAAAAATCAAAAATACGACGCCGAGCGATGTTCTGTCGTCCAGTTAGTACATATATCTATACATGTAATAAAATTGTAACTAAGCCGAATCTGTACATTAAATATTTTTTGAAAAACCTTATTGAAATAAATGATACTAATGTTATCGATACTGAGGCCGAATCTATAGTTTTTAGAATTTTTGTCTGTCTGTTACCGCATCACAGAAAACCCACTGGAGGGATTTTGATGAAATTTGGGTGATAGCTGGTTATCCGGGTCAACATATAGGATACTTTTTACCGCAATAAAATGTCTAATTTCTGAAAAAAAAATACAAAAACTGCAATGTAAGAGTATACTAATATGTAAAACCTAAGAATATGGTTTTTGGTCATCTGAACGCGGGCGGAGCCGCGGGCAATGCTAGTAATTTATGTAGGACTGACTATTATTAATGCAAAAATTTCTATGTGTGTGTGTTTGTTAATCATTCATGCTGAAGTGGCTTGGATTGGATGGATGGATTGGGATGACATTTATTAATTTAGTAACGCAAAGGCTGTTATTCACTTATGGATGCACCGATAAACGAGGGTAAATTATTAGTAACATATAAAAAATCACAAGTATGTACTTTAGACGAAATCACTCTATAAAATATTAGTATAAGACCAATTTGTACGTCTCAAGACTGTAATATTGAACAGTTAAAATTTAATACTCATTTTATTGTGTCCCATGTAGTATATAATCTAATTTTGAGCTCACCTTTAGTTATATGCAATTACACAAGCTTATTTTCAATAAACTCTAGATTTGGCTTTTAGTACTCAAACACTACTAAAACCCACTTAATTTAAAATAATTAATATACAAGTCTGACACTACAATACTACATTACATCATATATATAAATTATGAGTTACCTTTCTTAGCAAGAAGAGCGGGTGAGATATGATCAGCATGTATGGGAGGCAGTGCGGTGAGGGCCCACGCCGGTCCATCCAGCGCGAGCACCGTGTGCGCCTCGCTGAAGCCCGGCGCCGGCAGCGCGCGCGACAGGCACCACAGCGACTCCGCTTCGCCACCGCCCGACGAACACACCATCACCAGCGTGCCTGATTGCCAATTTATATAAAACTAGTGACTAAAGTACATACATAATATATTGTTTATAGCTTATTTATTTTATTATATTTATTATTAGGCAGTGGTAGTCCAGTGGTAACGCGCTCGCTTGGAAAACAGAGTGAAGCGGGTCGAAATCCCTGGTCTCACACCTCCTGTTATTTTCATGTGCGAATCATTTCCATCATGATTACCACTTGCCTTACGGTGAAGGAAAACATCGTGAGGAAACCTGCATGTCTGAGAGTGTTTCGAAAGATATGTAAAGTCCGCCAACGCGCAATTGGCCAGGGTAGTGGCCTATGGCTTGATTCCCCTCATACTGAAGGGAGGCCCGTGCCCAGCAATGGGACGTTAAAAAGGGCTGAATACATACATACATACAAATATGATTAAAGAATTAACATTTTAAATACACTTGATAGATTACTACCATCTTTAATTTATTTAATTTATCAAATATGAATTCCAAAGTTCAGTAAAATTGCATTTATTTTTTACTTGTGAGATTCCAATGACAAGTGTAACATTTAATATTATGTACATATGTATGTGCATATAAATCATCAAGTATAATGGTGAGTAAAAAGTTAAGTATAACAGGTAGATAGACAATTGCAGGCAAAATTCAAATAAAAATTAACTATTACTATTAAAATCAATTTCTCCCTGCCCATTTCCCAATTACTCGGGGTCGGCGCAGTACATCCTCTGTACTGCCGATAGGATTTGGCAAAAGTTTTACGACCGGCCGCCTGCCTGACGTCAACCCTCCTTGGGAATACTATTAAAATCAATTACTATTAAAATTTATTTCTTAAAATAATGTATATGTAACAATACTAACCATTATCATATACAGCACTGTGCACTTGTTTAGGTTTTAACACCGAAGCGTTAGGTGTGAAACCCGGTGGTAGTCTCACATGCAACAATGTTAGGTACTGTGGTCTTTGTGACCCACCTTGACTTGCACTGTAAACAATTTATATTTTTGAGCAAGGTATATAAGTAAAAATTATATGAATATGTAGGAAAAAATTCAAAAAGTTAACCAAATATATTAAAAAAAAATTTAATATGAACAAATTATGAACTTCAAAAGAATTTTATATAAAAATACTTAAATAAATTGCTTACTCTCCGCTGCCAGCACTAAAATAAAGTCTAGCCCCAGTTTGTGTAACAGCCACCAAATTAAGATGATCTGATTCAGATTCCTCCACAGCCGATATTGCTATGACTGGTTTAAAATTACTTGCTTCTAATGTTCTACAATCAAATAAAACATTTCTTTATTATTTAAACTAAATAAATAATATTACTGCTAGTACAACATTAATTTTTTTAAGGATAACTTATATATTTTATGAATACTAAAAAAACAGTACAATTGCTAAGATTGGTATATAAAAAATAATACTTGGCATAACTAAAACCAATATTTAGCATAATATGCATATACATGATTAAACATCACATTAGTAATTTCTATAAAATTAAAGGCAATTCAAATGAATGATAATAATATTAACATATTTACTTACTTAACAATATCTAGAGCTGATGACACAATCTTCCCTTGAGTTAATCTCATTACCCTACTTAAGCTATCTCCATCACTTCCTAAATCAAATATTTCTATACATCCTTTCTCACTTAATGTGTAAAGAATGTGACGAGAATTATCTACTTCAATTTTAACAATAGGGTCTTCATCATACAAGGCTGCATTGAGGAATGATGGTACCAAAAATGACAGAGCACTGGTAGAATGATTGACTTTTTTACAATGTTTCCCAAACCATCCTAACTGTGCCTGCAATATAATTTTTATATAAAATATATATTAATTATTAAAATGTAATATTATGTAATCTAGCAATATATAATGAATATCATATTAATTTATATAACAAAATATATTACAATTTTAGACTTCATGCATTTTATTGAAAAAAAAAAAATTTACCTGATATGTAATTTCATATAAACAACCATCTTTGCCTCCCATGAATATTCTGCCTTTTGAGGTAGATTTAACACACAACATTGATGCACCATCAGTAGGTAATACAAAAACAGGCTCAGGCACTAAATGAATCTCTTCAAAGTCTGCATTACCATCATTCTTACTACTTGAAAATGTAACTCCTGAAAAATATTCCACTTTTAAATTAAATATACAGGAGTGTATAACTAATATAAAACTTTTTTCAATTTTAAATATGTAGCTAATTTTAAAATTAATTTAAACAATATTGAATTACATACATAAATATATTTTTATATTTTTAAAATCAAAACAACACAAACTAGTAACTTGCCTAATACCACTATTTCTACAGTGGTTGTTAATACCAGCAAATACTTAACAAAGCTCTGAAATACTCCAGGCTTAGGTTTTACTAGTCCCACACTAACAATAGTTTCTCCAAGGCCGTCAAAATAGGCTACATCACTTCCATGTTCAAAGGCCCAAACATAAATGTTACTATCAATTGCCAACCATACTCTACTTATTTCTGGAAATACTCCCATTAAACAATGGCATTGCATATCTGTTAAATATTATAAGGATATTATGTATCAATAACTTACAAGTTAATATTATAAACTATCTGTTTTAATAATCATATTTTAATACCATATCATACTATCTTTTCAGAATATTTCGCACATTTATTTTTCAAATATTTGCATAAATCTAAGAAAGTATTACCGAACCATACTTTAAAGTTTAACTATTTTTGTAAACGATTCAAGTAACATGTTAAACAATCATTCTCATTAAAAATAAATAATAAGGATACGGGCAAAATGTTCCATAATTTCAGGTGGCAATGGAACTTTGTTTAATATCTTCAATTGTGATAAATTTGGATGGTTGAGCAAAGCAGATAAATTTCTGTAATCTCCAGCATTTAAGCCACTGCATGTTGGGGTTCCTTGGGCAGCTATTCCAGTTATCTAATAAAAACAATATAAAGTAAAAACAATATAAAGTATTCAATTAAAAAATAGCATACAAATTGTAATCTACATCTTAATTAATTAAGAATCTTGTAACAAACCTCCAAAAATGAAGGGCGGGAATTGTCGGCACTAATATACCGATCAAGTGTACACCCTGCAAGTTCTAAACACTCTAGCTGCATCTTTGGTGCTTCAGGTTGTCTTAGTCTTTCGGATTCAATTATGATACTTGGCATCTAATATTTGCAAAAAACATGATTTATTAAAACTTTAAATGTTATGATTGCTCTAGGAGGTTATGTATGTATCTTTCACTGTCACAGATTTTTGGTTTTGGTGTCAAAGTCATAATATGAGCTTTATATCTCACCTTGAATAATTTATTCGATTTTTTTGATTACAGGCTTAAAAGATAAACTTTACACATATCTTAAGTATTTTAGAATATTACGATTTAAATACACAATTTTTAATAATATTAAACCATTCAGACTACAACACTTAGATCATGGATGACAATTATTTATAAAATCTTAGATTTTAAAAAACTGTCGACGGTTATGCCACAGACTACAGAAACAGAATACTCAAAGATCAATACAGAGTACAGAATACAGATTATTTGAATTTTATAGTCATAGCGATAAATCTTCAAGTATGGACTATGGAGGGTGGAAGTAAGGAGGACCGTCTAGTATGGGGGATTAGTTGAAAAGTGTCTTCTTATAAACAGCAAATTATTGTTCAAACAAAATAAGGCTGGTGTAGAAAATGGAAATGATATGAATTTAGCAGTTATAAACAGAGTGAAGTTTGCTGGGTTGAAAAATTTACAAACAATATTATTTTATAAAATATTATTTTAAAAATTTAATATAATTTATATATAATAATTATTTAAATTACAAATAATTGGAGTACTTAAAGATACTGTATAATTTTATTCCATAGTCATGTTTGTCTGTATAATATAATAATTTTAAAAAATGCGCTGTAACAATGCGGAAATTTTTCTTTCCTTTTTTAATTTAGTGTCCTACTCTAATGATTAGTGGCGCTCGTTTTAAAATTCTTCCACTTGCTACTATAACACTATATAGTCTTAATCATAGATAAATAATAAAGTCATAACCAATAACTGTAATGGGTAAGAATTTGGCCAATTATTTCCGCCAGGTGTCGCGATCACTATGGCCCTCATTACATTGTAGAGCTCTATATTGTGGAATCTAAATCGTGAAATGCCAGGATGGAAAGAAAATGGATATCATTTGTTCCCAAAAGACAAAAACTGAAGAAATTGTGGGCTAAAGCAATAAGACAATCGAAATTGGTGAAACCACAATCTTTATATTTAAAGTTATGTGAACATCATTTTACAGAAAATGATTTTTAAACTCTTAAATCATCTACAGGGGTTTTATTTTTATTTTTTGTACTTTTTTACATTTATTAATTACAGAGTTTCATCCAAACTTTCATCCTCCATTTTACCCCCTTATGAGATTGAATTTCGAAAATTGCTAAAACACGTATTTATTTAATTGTATTGAAGAGCAATAATATCAAGTTTCAAGTAATTCTGATCATAAATTATTATTAACCTATATAAACTTTATTACCCACTTTCATCCCTTTATGGGATAAATTTTGAAAAAAATATATATTTCTTATTTTTCATCTTATAGCTAAACACAACTTTCTGTGTACTTCATATTAAGAATGACAGAGTTTTTTATAATCTTTAATGCTCAATTTACCCCCTTTCTATGCCTACATCCTATAAGGAATACGTCCTCCAAATTTCACGTACCACCAGCGACCAGCGATTTAGGCTGTGTGTTGATCCATCAGTCAGTCAGGAGTCAGTGCCAACGCAGGATGCACCTTTCCTTCTCAATTCTTCCTTCAGCTGGTCTTACTTCCGGGTACATTACATTGCACAGATAATATTTAAACACTATAGAAGCAAAACACCCAGGTCTCTAAGAGATATTACAATAAATTGCTTAATCTGACTGAATGTAAATAGACTATACGTATGGCGCCCTCCTTTCGAGAAATGTCCCCCATTTTGTTTGTCTAATATTTTTAAGACCTTTTCTATTATTACATATATTTTGTACAATTTAATATAATATACAACTAATATACAAGTACAACAACATATATGTATTGTATATGCTTATAAACTGTTGTTTTTTTGTTAAGTTTTGTTTATTTTTTACAGGTACTTCTTTCTATACTTTATTATTTTTTCTCTGCACTTTTTCTTTCTGTCCCGGTAATTAACAGTATTTACCACATATTACCCTAACGATGGCTCCTAAGTCCTAAATAAGTTATCTTATGTCGAAAAAGCCTACTTTACAGGAGATTATTTTGTGTCGTCATCTTGTATTAGACTTTGCCATATTAAGTATATTCGGCTGTACTACAACCGAATAATCGGTATAAACTATAAAGCCGTAATAGCCGGGTAGTCTAGATCCCCACGCTTTTTCACTAGAACTGTCTATAATTCTTTTGAAGAATAACTACCTAGTATATACCAATGTACTCTGTGGTAACTACGCTACATGTTTATAAACATGTAGAGTATTATTGTTCTTGTAATATATGTTACGTGTAAACTGTTCTGAAAGTCGATCGATACAATCCCAATCACATTTTATTCATGTGTACCAAATGTACTCATTTTTGTCTCTACTTTGTTAACAGCCCATTACGTGAACCCATAATAAAAATGAGTGAACATTATATCCATACATAATATTATAAATGTAAAAGTGTGTTTGTTTGTCTTTCTTTCACGTCGAAACGGAGTGACAGATTGGCGTGATTCTTGGTATGAAGATAGTTGGAGAGCTGGAGAGTGACATACATGACATGACATATGGCTACTTAATATCGCCTGAGATCATCTTATTCCCACCGGAAAACACGTTATAATACGATAAAAAATTATTTCTGATAAGAATTTCTTGAAACTTGGTATTAATTGATCGTCAACACAAATAAATACGTGATTTAGCATTTTTCGAAATTCATCCTATAAGGGGGTAAAAAAGGGGATGAAAGTTTGTTTGAAACCCTTTAGAGATTTTTTTTTAGTTTTAGCGCGAGCGAAGCCGCGAGTTCTGCTAATATTATATAAATGTATTACATAAATGAGTCAAACTACTAAACTAATTGACTACTAATTTATTCAATACTATTATTGACTAATAGTTATAAATTAGATAATTCAATAACTACATTTTCCCCGTTTTAATCTCTTAATTCAGAAAATATCAATCGCATTCTTATGCATATTCTATTTCTTAATAGCAATAAAAAAAAATACAGAGAATAGTATAATGAATAATTTGGTCGTGATTTTGAATTTACACTCCCAGTGACTCCTCCTAAAGGCTGGTGAAATAAATAAATAAATGAAATAAATATGTTGGAACATTGATACACAGCATATGTTATGAATACTAGATAGTTGATACACTAAATATATATAACTTTAAATACATACATATTATAAATAAACAAATACATACATAATATAAATGAACACCCATGACTGGAGTACAAACATTCGTGCTTATCATACAAGTGAATGCCCCCAGCGGTACTCGAACCCGCTACCGCTAGCACAGCCAGTAGAGTCACTACAAAGTGAGCTACAGTGTCGTCAAGATATATAGTTTTATTAGTGTTACAGATACGAGAAAAATAAAATTTGGGTCTAGATTTTTTTTGGAGTTTAATGCTAACCCATTGGGCTAGTGGCCATTAAGTGGATTAAGATTTCCCCAGGCATAATTTATATTAATGCACGTTTTCACCGATGTCGCCTAAAGGATCCTCTAAGCATGGTTAGGGGGCTGTTAGGGGACAGTTTGTGTTTCGCCGACAGTTAGGGGTCACCTAAATATTGAATAATGAATAATCTTATTTCTGAAGATTTTCTCGAAAAGTTGACAATGACCGAGATATTAAACAAAACAATTCCCCCTTAAAACCAAGATAACGTATCGCTTGAATGTGGTTAATCTGATTTTGAATTTACGCTCCCAGTGACTCCTCCTAAAGTCTGACGAAACAAAATTTTGGCCTAGATGTTTTTTAGTCCCTTATTTTCGACAACTCGACTGGACTACACAATATATTTCGCTCCGTAACTTCGCATTTTTGAGCTTTGAGGAAGATCAAAGGATGCCCTTGGAATATTCTGGGACCTATCTAAGGCGTCTGATTGTGTTCATTATCAGCTTTCAGATCACAGATAATCAGATAAGGCACTCGACCTTCTTATTTTTAATAATAGAATGCAGAAGTTGTGTGTTTAAATAGTAACAAAATTCCTGGAAGTTGGAACTTCATTAGATATGCTGGTCCCACAAGAGCGTTTTCTTGGGGCATTTCTTTTGCTCATTAATTATTAAAAATAATTAGTTTTTTTTTTTATATAATAAGACTTATTAGTGTAAAACTGTCTTCTAATAAGATAGTTTTATTCACTAATAGCACATATAGACCAGAGTCGATAATTTTTGAAACCAAAAAAAATAATAGTAGGATGCAACCCATTAGAAAAGGAGGGAAATATTAGAAAAATGAAAGGAAAAATAATTTACGGGCGATCTGAGGTCGAGAAGGGGATGGGGGGAGCGTTTAAGGGTAAAAAACGTTTTTTCTCGATTTCCGGCAAAACTAAAAGTCCTATCGAAAAAAGATATATAAAAAATATATATTTTTTATGTACTTATTTAAAATATATAAAAAATATGTATAGTATAGATTTTTAATATATTTATAATATATTTTTTATACATTTTGACATTTATTTCTTTAATATTTTTTTTTCATGGGGGTATACTCACGATAAAATAGTGAAGGCATTATTAATTCGATTTTGTCTTTTCAGATTATCAGTATGGATGAATCTGTTTGTATCATCTGCAATAAGGCAGATGATAAGCAAGTGTATGAAATAAAAAAGGTTTTTTGTTTTTTGCATTTTCTCAGAAGATTTACTATAGTAACATATATTTTTTTTTCACCATCGGAAAGTAGACATTTCAACGAACAGAAAACACACCAACTTTTTGAAAAAAGCTGATATTTGGACGGGTGAATTTTCGATTGAAAATTAGGGTGCTTTTTCGATTAAAATTCAAAATAAGGTGAAAAAATAAATATTTTTAATCAAATAAATTACAGCGTATTTGGGACAGAAAAAATAAGTTTTCACCAAATTTCGTTAAAACAAAAACATTTTTGTAAAAGATAAAAATGAAAAACCAAAAACTTGGTTTTTTGAATTTATGTGAAATTTTGAGGTTATGTGAAAAAAGTGTAAATACTAAAGTTTTAGATCTTTTTATTACCTACAACTTTGCCATTTGATTTTTTTCGATAGGACTTTTAGTTTTGCCGGAAATCGAGAAAAACCGTTTTTTACCCTTAAAAGCTCCCCCCCACCCCCTTCCCGACCTCAGATCGCCCGTAAATTATTTTTCCTTTCATTTTTATAATATTCCCCTCCTTTTCTAATGGGTTGCATCCTACTATTATTTTTTTTTCACTTTTTATTATTTTTAAAGGCTTCTACCCTGGTCTAATAACTAATTTTAGTAGTTATTTACAAACATGTGACGCTGTAAACAATGCTCTATTAAATGTTTTATAGCGGTACTAGCATTGTCCGCGGCTCCGCCCGCGTTTAGATGACCAAAAACCAAATTCTTAGGCTGTACAGATTACTCTTACATTGCAGCTTTTGCATTTTTTCTCAGAAATGAGATATTTTCCCGCAATACAAAATATCCTATATGTTGACCCGGATAACCAGCTATCACCATACCAAATTTCATCAAAATTCCTCCAGTGGTTTTTCTGTAATGCGGTAACAGACAGACAGACAAAAATTCTAAAATCTATAGATTCGGCGTCTGTATCGATAATAATGTTTATTTCAATAAGATTTTCCAAAAAATATTTAATGTACAGATTCGGCTTAGTTACAATTTTATTATATGTATAGATAGATAAGTAGTATTTTTTACAGAATAGCTGATAATGGTGTTAGCTTCTGGCAATCTAACCGGGTGTGAAGCCAAGAGATGCTTCGGGAGAAGATTGGTTGGGTGATTGATAGTGGGTTGCTCTTGCTCCTTCTCTGATTCAGAGTGAACGGACCGTAAGAGCACAATCCTTGCATTTGTCAAAAAGAAGGAAGTACGTAATTCCGGTGTATGTAAATAAGATACGTGATATATTTGCTCTATTTATAAATTTACATGATTTTAACGAGACCGCTTTACCTCAAAGGTATAAATTTAAAGAAAGTATCTAAGGGTCTCTAAGTTAGTTATCTTCTAAGGGTGGAATAATTATTAGGTTCTTTTATATTGGAATTAAATCGGTATATTCTCAAATAATTAACTCGTTTGTAAGAAATGTAAATCTTTATTCATATTACACATAATAAGTTCACCTATTTATAAAAATATAGATATTCATATCACCAACAATATTGTTAAGGAATGTAAGATACATTACAATAATATTAAAACAACTAGTTTTCATTTTATAATTTTGACAATTCATCTTCGTCTATCAACAACTGTCCCATAGGCGTTTGGATGGCTTCACCATATGAATAAATTTGTTGACCTCTCAAAAATGTCTGCATTACTTTTCCATTTAAAACGCGGTACATATAAGGACTTAGCTGAAAATATAATAAAAGATGTTTTATTTTATTAGTGTTAAACATTATTTTAGTTACTATGATTAGCTTTTAATAATTCACTTCCATCACTAAGTACTCTATTAACTACCTAATTAAAGTGAATAATTTTTTTTTTCATTTTAAGTAGGTAGTAGGTAGTTTTTTCATAATGAATAATTAATAATTATCTGAGAACATTTACTATATAAATAAGGATTACCTTGTTTTTGTACAAAATTGTGTCAGGCGTAACGACAAACGAAGCATCAGGGTCGAAGAATACCAGGTCAGCGTCAAGGCCAGGTTTTAGTGCACCTTTACGGTTTTGTAAGCCAACCATATTGGCAGGACCCGCAGATAAGAAGTGGCTTACCGTGCTCAGACTGTAACCACGAGCTTTAGCTTCAGTCCAGAATAATGACAAACCTATCAAAAAAAAATAACCTATAAGTTTATCACTTTTTATTATTTACGTGTAATCAATATAGCGCTACGTTATGTCTAATATATATTTTATATACGTATGTATATTGTATATGCCTACATATGATTATGATGATGATATAATAATGGCTAACATACAAAAATTAACACATTCATAATTCGTGTGATCACGATAGTCGGACACGAAATCTTATAATATGGTGCAAACGAAGATCAAATAAAATCATAGCAAGATGTGATAAGGCTAAAGTAGCTAAGACCTAATAGGTGGTGAAGCAGTGAAATTGTACTCAAAGCTGCATATGAACAGCTATGTTTACGAATGTATATCGTTCCACGCTCTTGCAAATATTACAGATTCAGAAACATTCCTGCTACTAGATAGATGCTCGCTCCGCGGTACACAGGTAAACTGTACACTAGTCACCTCGTGTAGTGTATATTGCGTATTAGCTAGATACTAAATAGGGCATTTCAGTGATTTTTATAATCTTAAATTTTCGCTTCTAGCATACGTTATACAGTACCTAAAACATAGTATGAAATTTCAGTCTTATGTTGAATCATGCTTCGTTATTTACATAATTTTTAAAACTACAAATATTTATAATTATTAAGTAATTTATCTTAAATTAAAAAAAATATCCATGAACTTTCAACTCCCTAATATTGGGAGTAATCGAACGTCCGTCACAAGGGTCGACAGATTGCGCTAATGCTTATCATAAATAAGTATTATCTAAAATAATAATCTAAGGTCACGTGTAAAAGGTTAACTTAATATGTATTACAACATTTAAAATTATCGAAATTGTTTTCAAAACCGAAATCATAATACTAATAATAATAATACAATAGTTACATAATTTTAATCTAAACGATACTTGTTAAGTATCGCTCTATTCGAGAAAAAATATTACTTTATACTTAGACCAATTTAATCACTAATAGAAAATTGAAAATCGGACTAAGATGAGCTCAACTTGCGCACCGTGATCTAGTTCCGCACCACCAATCTAAATTGTTATATTTTAATAAATACTAGCGACTCACCCTCGTTCCGCTCGGGTTCGCCCGTAATTCTGTTTAAGGTATTGTATACCTAGATGTCTCAGAGATAAAATATTTTCCCGCAGTAAAAAGTATTCTATATTATGTTAACCCGGATAACCGGCTATAACCATACCAAATTCATTAAAATCGGTCCAGTGGTTTTCTCGTGATGCGTTCCCAGACAGAAAGATAGAGAAACAGTCAGATAAAAATACTAAAAAATATAGATCGGCCTCTGTATCGGTAATAATTACTATCTCAATAAGATTTTGCAAAAAATATTTAAAGTACTGATTCGGCGCAGTTTGAATTTTATTATTTGGATATATAATTCGTTAGGTTTAAATTAAAGTAAAATATTTTACAAATCTACAACATTCATTTTATCGACTATAAAAAAGTAGGTATGTTTTTTCCCATAGATTTTTAAAAAACCAAGGTACTTTTCCGGCAGCCAAAATATTAGAAATTACTGTTAATGAAAATGCCTCATATTTCTAAAAACTTCCATATTTCTTTTTTAACAATGTCTTATTCAAAATATTGTTTGCTTAAAGTAATTTACTTACGCTTTAAAAGTTAAAGTGGGCGGAGTGTTATGGGTAGTGGACATAATGTTTACGACTTTAGAAGCACATAACTCAATCAAAATCAACTATATAACTCGGAGACATAAATAATACCTTTTTTTTTAACGTTGGGAAATGCATTTACGCACGACGTGTGGGACTCACCGGCGTAATACAGCCAGTACTACCCACTAAAACCCAACAAAACCTTCCCCCGTCTTAATGGGGCGTCGCAGGATCGCTTACGCATTCAACTACGACGCCCCGACGGCAGGTCTGCCGAAGCAGACAACCACAACCATGGGGTTGCTCCACGGTCCACTCTGCTGTCAGAGAAGTACCAGGAGCAACCCGCAAGGTACACCGCCCCCCGAAGAGGGCCACCACCTACCGCCCACCGAAGTGGGCAACCTCCCTGTGCGTTTCTTAGCTTCGCGCCCGGTTGGATTGCCGGGCACTACTGAGCCCCCCCACCACGACACCACGACAAGGTGAACGCACGTTGGGGGGGGGGGAGACATAAATAATACCTTTTTTTTTTTAACGTTGGGAAATGCATTTACGCACGATGTGTGGGACTCACCGGCAAAGCCAGTACTACCCACTAAAACCCAACAAAGCCTTCCCCCGTCTTAATGAGGCGTCGCAGGATCGCTTACGCATTCAACTACGACGCCCCGACGGCAGGTCTGCCGAAGCAGACCACAACAACCACGGGGTTGCTCCAAGGTCCACTCTGCTATCAGAGAAGTACCAGGAGCAACCCGCATGGTTTACCGCCCTCCGAAGAGGGCGCCTCCCACCGCCCACCGAAGTGGGCCACCTCCCTGTGCGTTTCTTGGCTTCGCGCCCGGTTGGGTTGCCGGGCACTACTGAGCCCCCCCACCACGACAAGGTGAACGCACGTTGGGGGGGAGACATAAATAATACCTACCCTATATCCAAATCTTTTATTATTTACGTAATTTAATTTTTGCCTATTTGCTATGGTACCTACCCTAAAAACTACATGGGACCGAGATATTCAGACGACGAGATATTATACTTAAATATGTCATGTTCATACTTTCATTGGTATATGAGCGACTAACTTTTACACGTGGTTCTGCTCACATAGTTTATTTATTATAATTTCTTCATTCCTAAAGATCGTAGCGTAATGTTAGATCGCCTCCTTCAATGAGGCAATTTTAAACGAGGATAGTTCCAGAGATAAGTCAGTCAAACCAACAAAAAACAAAACTATATTGCTTATAATATTAATTAATTCACTAGAGTTTATATATGTATGTCTTTGCAATAAAAGGATCTAGGAAAAAGGTATAAGTATTTAGGCCTAATAGAATATAGCATGGTAATGATTCTCACCAAATTGTACTGATGAAACTCCTCCCCAAGCTGTCATAAAGTTCGGTCCCTTCAAACTAGCGACAGAAGGTGAATGATCTGATGCTATTAGGTCGATTCTTCTGTCTTTAATGTATTCCCATAATTCTAGCTGTGAACAAGATACAATCATATTATTCAAACTGATAATAACATGATAAACAAACTAGTATTACGAGAAAAAATTGCCTGAAGTTATGCACTATAGGTCTAGGTGATCTTTAGTTAAAACTAAGTACGATAGAATCATTGAAATTTCTGCTTGCTACCCTATTACCACCGTATGGCTAATTTAAATGTGGGTATCTGATCTAAAAACCTTTTACCAAATTATATATTGTCTGAAAAACCGTTTGTTGTTTAAAATTCTTAAATAATCAACCTTGTTGGTATTTTCTCTGATCGGTGGTGAACATTTGAATTCGGTGTGTCCAGGTGGGATTTGCTCAGAGCTGAAAGTTAGGTAATGATGACAGGTTTCAGCTGTTACACCTCCTCGCCAACGCGTAGAACCAGCCTTAATTCTTTCTTCTCTAGCCTTTTCTAATATTGGTATAACGCCTGCAGCTGAAACGTGCACCACATGGACACGGACACTGCGAACGATGTGTAACTTTTAATCAAGTTGTTAATAATTTAATGAAGTGGAGGAGTTTTTTTAGAAGAAATATCATCGATCATCACCCTGGTGTACATGCTAGCCATGCCACTAAGTGAAAAAAATGCAAGTGCAGATTTTTTCTCCACTTTTCATGCTTTATTTTGATAACACAACTAAGCGCAGCGCTACAACTTGTCTTAAGTAAACTAGCAGCCTGCTCTGGCATCGCTCTAACAAAGTAATAAATATGTTATAAACATATGTATACCCGCCAGTAGTTTCTTTTCTATTTTTACTAATTGGTTGGTAAAGTAAATGAGTACTTACTCGTATTTTGGTATATAAGTAGCTAATAATGAAGCAGCCTTGGTCTCCATTTCCGCAGGATGAGATGCTAGGTATGTGGTATATAAATTTGGATCTATAATCAAAAGAAGTAATTAGAAATGGGAATGAAAAACCAATTTTTATACTAATATGATGATATTTTCTATAGATATTTTTTTTTAAGTAAAAGTAGCAAACGAGCGAACGATCCACCTAGTGGTAAGTGGCTATCGTCGTTCATAGACATCTGCAATATAAGAGGAGTTGCGAATGCGTTGCCGACCTTTAAGGGACCTAAAGACACGACTATTTATAAGTCCCATTTTATAGCGCTCAGGAAACACAATTTGCACGTGCGAGATACAAATGAACGTGATACACTTACAATCTGTAGGATGTCAAGCATCTAAGATTTGTAAATGATTTCCAACCATTCCAAATATCTCGAAGAGGATACATATTATATCTCGAAGTGGTAAGTACGTAAGTATATATTTATTTATATTGATGGTACTTCATTTTCGTTGTTATAATATTTAAAATAGGCTCTCATTATACTTTAAATTAAAATACACCTTTGTTATTTAAAATACAACAATTTTCAAGTACCTGGGCAGTCGCATTTTTCACATTGACTACTATTGTCAACTCTATCGACTGGTAATTCAGCGTGGAACTAAAACAAATTAGGAATATCATTACGTGCTAACAAATAAAACTAAAAATACAAAACGAGGTCAAATCATTCTTACAGCAATTACTACGTCAGATCCATTTAAAGTAGAGAAAATATCGTCTAACTCGCTAGACTCTACATTAGGATACTCCTCAATTCCACTATTTATTAAGTACGCTTTAAATCCAATTACACCCGCTCGTATCATGTTCTGTAGTTCATTCTGAAAATTAAATAATACGTGATGATCAATATAAAATTTTCTTTATACTATCAATAATATTTATAAAACAGTAAAACCTGTAAGTTACCTCATTTCCTGGGATAATGCCTCCCCAAAATGCTACATCTATATATACTTCCTCTTTTGCAGCAGCAACTTTAACTTTTAAGTTTTCTACGGTTGTTGTTGGTGGTATTGAGTTGCTATTGGATTATTTATAAGTTTAATTAAAATTTTAAGAAATCTATTGTTAACTGACACCCCGAGGTGTCAGTTAACAATAGATTTCTTAGAATTTTAATTAATTTCTTAGAAATTTACCTGGAGGGATTGATATTTCTCATGACTGTGTGTTATTATATTTAGACTTATCAAGATATAGTAAAGTAAACTAATACGAGTAGGTAACCTAAATTATTATAATAAAAACATAATCATAAGAAAAAAAATCTTAAACCATTCTTTATAAACATGACCATAAAATAAAATCAGTGTCTAATTTAAGTAATCTTTAATGGTAAATATTTATTTGATTCTATAAATTTGATAACAAATATACAAAAACTGATGCTTTAATATTAATATTTTAGTAAACATACACATTAATGTTTATTAAAATGTAACAAAAATATGATAAAATATATTCGAGATGTCCTTCTAATCGATTTCGGCCACGGCCAATCTCACTGAGACTAGCTAGATATGCAGGAAATATTATAGTGCACAAGTACACGAGTAGACACTATTGTGCACTCTGTATTCCTATCACTCTCAAAGTCCTAAAGTCCAAATATTTTAACATGATCGTCGCAGAATCGACAGCTTTACGTGCTCTTCGGGGCACGAGGGTGAAACACTGCCTACTTCCAAACTCCGGGATGTTATTGAGAATTTCTTAACAGAAATACTCAATAACTGACCCGGGACTCAAACCAAGGACCTCCGGATCTGCGGCGGCACATGCTAGCCACTAGACGACCGAGGCAGTTTAATGAAGTATGGTTTGAGACAAGGTTATGAGTGCTAGAAACGAAGCTAATTATTTCATTACCCTTCTCATTGCGTTTTTTGAAATCAGAATAATTAATATACTAGTGAGCAAAGACTAATATGATAAATTAATTATGATATATTTTATCAAGGTAAAAAAATATATTTGAAAATACAAACGTAAACAATACAAAATTCAAATACATATAAAGAAGTTAGAGACTAATGAAAATAGGAAATACACTAATGAAATAATATGTTATAAATTTTTTAGGCCATTATATTTTGAAAATAATTTTCTGTAGCTGAAAAATTAAACGTAACGAAGGTTTCGAATAGAAGAATCGTTCGATTTTTTGAACGGAATACCCAATGCCCCTAATAATTAGTTAATTTAAAGTTTATCGATATTTTAAAGAGTAATAAGTATTATACTCATTTATTGTTACAATGTTTAGGATTTTTACAGTATTGTACGAATTGTAGTACCTACTGACCTTCAATGCAGTTTTTTGCTTATAACGATAGACTAGATCTGGTATTATAATGCATCATTAAAATTCGCTACTTTATATAATGTTATATACAATAAAAACTTAAAAAAAAACGACTTCCAGGCACTAAAATGTAAAAAATAACTAAACGGGGGTTTTCATTTAGAATAGATACCTAATCAGATATTTTCGAAGTCGGTGCCAGCCGACGCATAGGAAATCTAATAATAGGTATATTTTGATACGTAAAATACATATTTACCTATTAGATATCCATATCTTAAAATATTCCAAATCGGTTCAGGCGTCTTCAAGTAATCGGTGAACATACATAAAAAAAAGATTCCGACGAATTGAGAACCTCCTCGTTTTGGAAGTCGGTTAAAAAAGCGATATTAATTATTTAAATAATGTAATTTTACAATTACATTTACGCAACTTACAGAGGCATGTCCACAAGCGTGGTAATACCACCCGCAGCAGCAGCCCTTGTAGCCGTTGCGTATCCTTCCCATGAAGTTCGACCAGGTTCGTTAACGTGCACATGCGAATCCACCACTCCCGCCATCAGAGCCCAATGTCCTCCATCTATCACCTTGAGAATTTTATGTTAACTATTTCCTAGTCTTGTCATTAAAAAATAGATCACTTTTTAAAATTAATTACCACATCAATGAGGTAAAAAAGCTAGAGAGCAATAATTATGAATCTGCGACGATCGTAGAATACAAAGAAAAAATATGGTCATAATTTACAATGAGAAGCATTTTTAATTTAGACTATGTATGAGTGTGTCCATGATTCATAGACCGTATGAAATATCAAATGGAGTATACTGGTATTAGGTATACCCTATAGGTGTATTTTGAAGTCACAAAACTCATCAACATTTCATATTTACCTGCATTGTGCCATCATGGTGTAAAAGGAGCTGATCGATGGATTTCCGAGTGTATACTCCAGTAATAATTCCTTTTTCGTCCACTAATACACCTCCATCGAATTCTCTTGTGTCCGTCACAACACGACGGCTAAGAAATAATTTTTTTCCACTATCTTTACTTCTGAAACCTCTAGTGCCTAGCACTGCAGTGGCAACTGCTACTGAAAAAATGGTAACTATATAAAAAGTTATTAAAAGAAATTTACGAAAAAAAAACACAAAAATAACAGAAACTGTAGAAATACCTAAAAAAGCTGTTAAAAAAAGTATTTTATTAAGCGACGCCATGATATAGAGACGTTGATCACCATCAGCGCTCTATATTTTACTGAAGCCTCCTAGAGCAGTATCACGTTATCTGTTTAAAAATGTTACTGCTATACTAAAGTTACTTACGAATTGCGCGCATTGATATACAGAATAAAAGTAAATATAACTAGTAATATAAAATTATATAAAAATACATACATATATCCGACAATAAAAAATAGGAATTTATGTAATTTTATGGTAGGCGGGTGGTGCTGCGTTGTCACTGCATGAAATTTTTCATATAGACCTCCGTTCTATATCGTAAGTTTCATTTAATTCCTAAGCTTAACATTAAAGTATGAGCCAAATATAAAATATAATTGACACCTTTATTCAAGTAATAGAAGCGTGTTACATAACGAATTGAATTGATCTCTACGTATTGATCCTTTAAATCGTAGTAACTCTCCTTTTCTTAATTATATTTTTAGTTCGAACGTTTCAACACCAAAAACTTTCCCGTGGGATAACTGGGACGTCTTTATGCCATAACACGAAGTAAATGTAATATATTTATAGATCTGTCTGTCTGTTTGTCGGTCATATGTTTTTTTCCGAATTCCGAAAAAATATTTATAAAAATGAAAACCCGACTGCATAAAAAGACTGAACTAATAAGACGAGAACGAACAAGTTGATGAAAAAACATAGTATTATGCATACAAAACATGTAGGTACATATATACATAATAATATTATTTATTTATTTACTTATTTACGTATTTACTAATTCACTTAGTCACTCATTCACTCATTCACTTACTCACTTATTTATTTATTTATTTATTTATTTATTTATTTATTTATTTATTTATTTATTTACTTAGAAAACATACAATACGACGGTACTTATTAGAGAATGTAATATACATAAGCTGAGTTTCCACTAATAACAAATTACATAAATACTAAAATTTAACAAAGATAAAACGAACTTAATTCTATAGGTACATAGCAACAGATATAAAGTTAAATAAAATATGGAAATTTTGAGCAACATAATAACAAACTAAATAAGGCATAACAATGTGGCTACAGTGACATAAATTAAGTACACAAGAAACAATATGGCTACATCGTAAAGTTTATAACTACAGATAGGGTAGATACTAGAAAATTACATTTAAAAGAACAATTTTTTTTAAATAAAATGACTGAATATATTTTATTATAATTTTGTCAGCTAGTTGTTACTGTATAATAAGATATTACTAGTGCATTTTGTTTACAAATCGGCAGATTAAATAGCTTATACCTGAAATAATTCATGAGCAGTTAAAATTCTAATTGAGATAATAAGAAAGGTGATTTCGGCTCTGTAACACAAATATGCTTATAGAATTTTCCCTGTATGGAATCTAAATCATTTATATAAGTTTTATATTGTGGGTTCTAAATCGTAGAGGCGTAGGTACTCAAGAACAGAACGAATCTACGAGTAGTACCAAAGTTGAGCTTTATCTGAAATCCTTGTCTATTCTTAAAATAAATCCAAGTATGCAATAAGCTTTAGATTTATATAGGATATGATACGAGAAGCATAAGTAAGCTTAAAGTAATGCTTTCTTAGATTTACGCGAACATTTGACATTTTAAATAGTAGTCTCTCCCGTGACCATGATTGTTGTAAAGCATTCGAAAGGTCGGGAACCAAAAATCAAAATAAATACGTGAAAAAATCCGAAAAGATAGTTTTATTTAGCTTAAAGTTTAAGACAACACCCAAGTCCTTTACCTCCGATAGACTTAAGGAATTCTTTTCCAAGTGAAAGATATGATGTTGCATTTTTTTTTAATTTAGTTTTAAAAGATTATTACATATCAATAGTCGCAAAGATTATTTAAGTCATTTTCTTATAAAGTACGGTCATCCATCGATAGAATTAATAATATCTTTAGTTATTTTTAAATCATCAGCATAAAGTTTAATTTTACTATTTTGAAAAGTTAAATTAATATCCTTTATAAAAATACTGAATAATAACGGGCCAAGATGGAAGCCTTGAGGCACACGGGATGGCACAAAAGAAGAAACCTTTGATGGTTACAGCTTGATGGCGGTCTCTAAGATAAGATTCAAACCATTCAAGCAAATTACCATGTAGCACAGATGTTGTAAATTTTACCACAATTAAGAGACAATTTAAACACGACAAACAGAGGTTGGGCTAAGGATTTACTATTTCGTAACGTCTATTTCAATTAGATTTTCCAAAAAATATTTGATGTACAGATTCGACTTAGTTACAATTTTATTATATGTATAGATGTATAGATGAGCTGTGACAATAAAAAAGCCTTTGAGGACACACTTTGTAAACTAGATATCAGTATCACCCATGTTAATAACGTGATCATAATTCGGTACAAGGTTTTCAAGAATTCCATCTAAGTCGGTTAATAATTAATTTTATTATTACTTTTAGAACTTTAGTAAGTTAAAAAAAACAATGATTTTAAATAATTATTAATTTAATTTTCCCAGTTCATACCTACCCAGTAAATACGAATACCAATGGCTTGACATATTATCTACTTTACTCGGGTTTGCCCTACTGGTTGGTAGCCTTTGGTAGATATACAAGTAGGTATATCTATCTACACTAATATTATAAAGAGGTAAAGTTTGTGAGTTTGTGACATTGTAGGGGGTAATGCCTGGATCTACTAAACCGATGTAGATGAAATTTGGTAAGAAGATAATTTGCGACCCTAGAAAGGACATAGGATACTTTTTATCCGGAAAATCATCCCTTAAGGGGGTGAAAATGAGGATGAAAATTTGTATGGGGGATCAAGCTAGGGACGAACCCGAGCGTAGCGGGGGTGAGTCGCTAGTACTATAATAAAACTGCAAAGGTTGAATGTCTGTACATAGAAAAAAAATGCTAAAAACCGAGTCAGGGGGATGTAAGAGAAATAAAACAAATCCAGATTTTTTTGGTTCTCTGTTTGTCTGTTTGTACTGGATAATCTCCGAAACTATTAAACCAATTTAAATGAAATTTTGCATGGTGGTATCTTATATCTCCGGTCAACATCTTAGATACTTTTCATCCTGGAAAATTAAAGAGTTCCTGTGGGATAGTTAAAAAACTACAGTAACTTAAACAGCTAAGTACACAAAGACTACTGATTAAATTTTAATGAAACTTTACAATAACATAGTTCATACACCACAATAACAAATAGGTTACTTTTTATTCCGGAAAAAATTTACGGTTCCTGTAGGATAGATTTGTTTTTGTTTGCCTAGAGGCGAACCCGAGCGAAGGGAGGGTGAGCCGCTAGTCAATGAAAAAACTGACAATAAATTGGGGCAGCTCTAAAATTTTAACATTAAATTTTTGAATTTGTGCCCTAAATTTTATGACATCTAAATTAAATTTCAATCAGTCCACTGAAATCAATGTTTGCGGTACTTTTAATATAGCCTTAGCTAAAAATACATCTGGTACCAGGTAAATTAAATATTAACACAAGTGTGCGACAAAGATCACAAACAAATTTATATAAGGAATATAAAGGATTGCAATGGACAGACGTCTGTATTTTCGAAATTACTCTTTATTAATAAAATTTTATGAAAATGTTCACAATATTCTATTGAAACATTTATTTATATGTATCTCGTTTCTAACCTCCAGCTCGTCTCTAGCTGATATAAGCCGATCCAATATTAGCAAAGTATATATTATGTAGAGTGCGAGAGAGTATGGTATGTCATATTATATTCAAAAAAATGGTATCTTATATGTTGACTCGGATAGCCAGCTATCATCATATCCAATTTCATCAAAATCTATCAAGTGGTTTTCTCGTGATGGGTTCCCTGACAGACAGAGTGACAAACAGACAGACAGACATATAGACAGACAGAAATTCTAAAAACTATAGATCGGCCTCTGTTTCAATAATAATGACTATTTCTATAAGATTTTCCAAAAAAAATTTATTGTACAGATTCGACTCAGTTAGAATTTTATTATATGTATCGCGTTATCAAGACGAATCTAACGACGTTATTTAACAACTACGACTTATCATCAAAGTCGGATAAACCGTATTTGGTAATTTAATACTTTTTACGTTTTTATCTATACTAATATAATAAAGAGATAAAGTTTGTGAGTTTGTGATATTGTGAGATTGTAAGTTTGTGACGTTGTAGGGGGTAATCTCTGTATCTACTAAACCGATTTAGATGAAATTTGGTAAGAAGATAGTTTGAGACCCTGGGTAGGACATATGTAGGATATTTTTTATCCCGGAAATCATCCCTTAAGGGGCTGAAAATAGGAATGAAAGTTTGTATGTGGAATCAAGCTAGGGGCGAACCTGAGCGAAGCAAGGGTGACTCGCTAGTCTTGTAATACGAGGGAATATATGGTCGGACATACATTGCCACATACAGGTTAAACACATAATCCCCATTGGTGCTTCGCCGCAGTCGGGTAAAAAGCAATTGCTGGCTATGGCTATATATTTTTTTTATTTAAATATTATTATTTATTACACGATATTTAACAAAATAAAAAAGAAACCTAAAATATTAAATTTAAATGGATCAATCTATTTTTAATTTAATTTAATGATGGTTGGCTGTTTCCATTTTAAAATTATAATGTGAAAATGATTGAATATGACATAATATAAATATGAATATAACTAAATATATTTTTCTTTTTATTTTCATTGGCACTTATGCTATCGCGTACTTTTCTGTAGTATTTTTAAGGCCTACAATTTTCTACATTGTTTTGATGAAATGTAAGCCGTTTTGTTGCGAGCGATTTCTAGTTAATATTATAAAGAAGCAGAGTTTGTTTGTTTGAACGTGCGAGTCTCAGGAAATACTTAATCGATTAGAAAAATTCTTTTTGCATTAGACGACCCGTTTATTGAGAAAGGCTATAGTCTATTTATGATCATGCTACTACCCTAGGGAGCGGTAATCATAAATGTCAACAAATCGGGCAGACTTCCATCATTATTTTACAACTGATGTTTATATCGGAAGATTACACGCGGGCGAAGCCGCGAGTACTGCTACTTGCTAGTATGTGATATCTTCTAAGATATTCATTTTAATGATATGCTCTAAAGGGTATTTTTGATTTACATTAAATGCAAAACGTATCTAAATCTATTTAGTTGGTCAGCGGATTAATACTATAATGTTTAAAATATCTTCGTAAAAAAAACATTATTTTTTAGTAATGTGTTAAAGATTTAGTTTCTGTGGTCTGTGGGTTATCCTTAAGAGATAGATTTAAATATACCATCGCAGACCTTTTCTATAGCCCTTTTTAAGATATTCGACTCTGTAGTACATTATTTTGATCTATCTCGTAAGGTTTAGCTAGCGTTAGAAATGTAAGCGGCCAAAAATATGTTTTTTACATCATTACAATTCTTTGAAATTCTCGGCTTTTATCTAACACAAGTGACTTACCCTCACTTCGCTCGGGTGAGTCTCTAAGTACGTTTTAAATAGATATGAATAGTTATTGTGAGTTTACCTTAGAAGAAAGACTTACACTATTACAAGTTTTCTGTAAACCTTAATAAGACCTACGATTTTCTAGTACATTGTTTTGATGTACTCGTATCTCTTGAGGTTTAGTCAGCGTTAGTCATGTAAATTTCTGAAGACGACTCGATAGAACCAGTTATTGTGTTTTCCTGTGGGAATTAAAGATTTTTCTGTAGGAAAAGGTATCCTAAATATTAAACCGAGTTATCACTACATAAAATTTAGTCAAAATCGGTCCAGTACTTTTTGCGTGAAACGCGAACACAAACAGACATAAGATAAACATTATGTACAGTCAAACAAACAAAATTTTTAATAACCAATGGTTTCGGGTCTATATTCTGTACACAATACGTTACAGTCATAGTTTTTAAGAAATATTTCATGTATAGATTTTGCTAAGTTACTGTTTTATTACAGATTAGCGACTCATCCTCGCTTCGCACGGGTTCGTCCCTAGCTTGTTTCCCAATTCAAAATTTCATCACCCTTAAGGGACGATTTTCGGGACAAAAAGTCTCAAACGATCTTCTTACCAAATTTTATCTAAATCCATTCAGTAGATCCAGAGTTTGCCCCCTACAACCTCGCAAACTCAAAAACTCACAAACTTTATCTCATTATAATATTAGTAGGTATAGATATGTATAGATATTAGACAATATACAAGTATTATACATATAAACCTACCGGAAAAAAATCTCCAAATGATAGCGAAAACCCTATCAATATCCGTTACGTGGTTTAGAAGGGGTTAGCGGAGAAACAGATAGATAAAAACAGCGACTTTGCTTTATACTATGTAAGTTGTCTACAATTAAAAAGTAATATTTATCGCTTAGCAAAAACAATTTTATTTAAAGGTATAATAAACCTACAAAGAGAAGCGACGTGCGCACGCGCTCGCCTCCGCGTGTCAAAAGCAGATGTAGAGTCCGGCGGCCCTGCCGGCTAGTAACACAGGCGCTCTAGTGCACCTAAAGTGCGAGAGTGCTACTATCACACATTAAGTACCTACTTATTTTTAATAAAATAATAATATATAAAACAATAAGTAAATTACCGGAATATCCGGTTTATTGAATAATTAATATAATGATTGTAGTCGTTACACAACGTTTCTTATCAGGCGCGTGCTTATTAAATTTAACAACTTTTGGACAGAAATGTAGAAACATTACAAAAATATATTATACTAGCATTGCCCGCGGCTCCGCCCGCGTTCAGATGACCAAAAACTAAATTCTTAGGTGTTACATATTAGTATACTCTTACATTGCAGTTTTTGTATTTTTCCTCAGAAATAAGATATTTTCCCGCGGTAAAAAGTATCCTAGGATCGCGCGCTACATCGCCCGGTTTATATAGCTTGAGCAGGCGGTCGAGCGATGCGGGGCAGAGGGGATGGACTCGCCGTAGGCATCTCAATGCTCGCCAAGCATTAAAAATGTTTCGCTACTAATTACTTCTAACAACGATATCTCAAAAACTATTCATCTGATTGATTTAGTGTAAAGAGCAATTTTAATCTGCATTAAATGACTAAGCTAACTAAAATATTCATTTGGATAAGGATTAATACCGAACTAAAGAAAATAACTTTGAAAATAACGTAATGTTTTTAATTAAAAATGTTAACATAAAAGTGGTTATTGTAAGTCAACCGTAAGAGATAGAGATATGCTATCGCGGACTTTTTTGTAGCATTTTTATAGATTTTGAATTCTCTAGTACATTACTTAACTGTATCTTTGCTAGTTTACGCGGCGTTCGCGTGGAAAGTTCCCATTTGGCGAGATTTTTTGCGACCTCTTCAACATTTGTCGCCGTATTTCAGCTAATTTACATAAAAGCATAATAAATTATATACCTAAACCTTCCTCAAGAATTACTCTTTCTATTGTTGAAAACCGTATAAAAATCCGTTCAGTAGTTTTCGAGTTTATCGCGTTCAGACAGACAGGAGGACAGACAGGAGGACAGACAGGAGGACAGAAAGACGCGGCCGGGGGACTTATTTTTATAATAAGTATAGATATTATTTAACGTATTTTCCATAGAAACTTTATATATTCTAAACATGGCAAATATTTTTAGGCAAAGTGGTCGTATAAAAGCTATTAGGTATTAATGCAAAAAAATAAAAATAATATATTGCATCTTTATTCAAAACCAGTTATTGTGGAAATGTGAAACCGAAACATATTTTGTAGTTAAGGCAAATCTTTCAATAAAAGTTTTCCTTTAGGCTGTCCAACGATGTTTCCGTCAGCATATATTAACTGACCGCGAAGGTAAGTTTTCTTAATAACACCTTTAAGTTCTTTTCCGATGTAAGGTGTTAGCTGAAATATTGTAATTTTAAAATGTTAATTATTTGTAAAATTTAATTGATAAACTACCAACAATATGGGCATATTGTTAGATTTGATCCGTCCGGACATAGAAAGAAAGTGTACTAGGTACCTACTTAATACTTATTTATTCTCATCATTTTAGTCAACAAGGTCGAACCCATTCGCGTCATATACCTACATACACCTCTGTAATCTGCTATAAAGATTTTGGGTTATTTGCTATTATTATATATTATTAACACTTTAGTGATACTTGTTAACCAAAATATTTTTTAAGTATTTTTAGAAACTTATGCAAACTTAAAATTTATTATAAATGAACTAAAATTAAAAAAGCTGAACACGGTTATTATTTAAAAAATGCAATTCCAGAGTAATATAATGTCTTTCTTTCTATAACAACAATGTATAAATATTTATAGCAGATCGATAGAATCTCTAATATAACTGAATCATAATAAAAAATATTAAAGTGTCCATTCGACCTATGTATTATAATCGGATGAATCCATAACTTCTTTATATATTATTTCACATTTATAATATTTATATTTATATAAATATTATAAATGTGAAAGTGTGTTTGTTTGTTTATCTGCCCTTCTTTCACGTCGAAACGGAATGACGGATTGGCGTGATTTTTGTGTGGAGATAGTTGAAGGGCTGGAGAGTGAGTGACATAGACTACTTTTTACTGCGGGAGATTATCTCATTCCCACGGGAAAACACGTTATAATGTAACCCATATGATTAGAATTACTTGAAACTTGGTATTAATGCTCTACAATACAATTAGATAAATACGTGTTTTAATATTTTTCAAAATTCATTCCCTCAAGGGGGTAATATAGGGGATGAAAGTTTGTAAGAAGCCTACCATTTTAGAGATTTTTTTGTAGTTTTAGCGCGAGCGAAGCCGCGGGTTCTGCTAGTAAAAAATATATTATTCGTCCCACTATTATCGGTATGCGATATATGACTGCGACTTTTTTATATTCCTATAAAAACAATCCTAACTTATCGGGTATAAATATTTATAAGCATATCGATAGATTGAATAAGTTTTAAGTTCCGAATAAGATCGAATGGACATGAATTAAAAATCTTTATAGCCCTGTAGGTTAGATATATTTTATTTAATTAACCATAGACGCAATAATATTCTCCTTAAAAAATCAATTTTTAGCTCTTTAGGTTAGGGTACTTTTCTTTTTTTTTTTACAAATAAACCTCTTAATTTTAAAACCTAAAATTTTAATTTTAGCTCGGTAGGTGAGGATTTTTTTCTTTTATTTTGCACATAAAAATCATTTTTTTACAAAACAAAAAAGTGGAAGATATTAATGCACATACGTATATTATTTTTATCTTCAACTGATGTAAATTTACCTTGTTCTTATGGCGGATAATGTCGGAGGTGACAATGAAGCTGTCATTTGGATCAAAAAATACAAAATCAGCATCTAGACCAGGTTTAATTGATCCTTTGCGATTTTGTAATCCGCACAAGTGTGCTGGCCCGACGCTTAAGTACTTTGTTATTGACTTCAAATCTAAACCTCGCGCACTTGCTTGCGTCCAAAATAATGACAGACCTGTAAAAATAAACACCACCATATAAATAAGCCAGACCTTTTTTAGAATAGTAAAAAAATTGCAATCAGTCATTAATCTCTATTTTTATATATTTACGTATATATTTACATTTTAAATTAACAATTATTTTTTTTAGGTTTTACCAAACTGCACAGAAGAAATTCCTCCCCAAGCTTCTAAATTGTTGCTACACTTAAGATCAGGAGTGCAAGGCGAATGATCCGATACAACCATGTCCAGCTTATCTTCTAACAAATATTTCCACAGTTTTTCCTATAAAATAGAACAAAAAAAAATTAAAACCTGTCAAATTCATGTCATATTTTTTGTTGTCAAAAGTGATAATATTTTACCTTATTATCGACATCTCGTATGGGCGGTGCACATTTATATTCACTATGTCCTCTTGGAATCTCGTCAGCGCTGAGATTAAGATAGTGGTGACAAGTTTCAGCAGTCACCCCGCCGCGCCACGCTGGGTTGCCTTTAGAAATACGTGCAGCGCGCGCCTTTTCCAGAAGAGGCACAACTGAAGAAGATGACACATGTACTATGTGCACTCGGACACTAAAAAATGAATATTTTCAATTGAAAAAAAGAGAAATGCGGTATATTACGGGTAGGATTCGCTTATTTTAATTTAAATATTACCAAATTATATAATTGATAAAGGTAAAATCTGTAACGTTTTTAGGTACTAGGTTTTATTTTGACAGCAGCACAATTGTAAAAAATTGCCAACATGATAGCACAGGCGCGATTCCTTCCAGTAAACACTAAAATACTGTATGTATAAAATTATTTATAAGTAATTAAATAAAAGCACTCAAATTTTTTTTAAACGTATTACAGGACAAACATACTCTGTTTTTTCCACGAAATTCGTTACAAGGTTAATGGCGTTTAGTTCCATCGTTGGTGGTCGTGACTCGAGATAAGTTTTATATTCCTCAGGATCTAAAAGAGATAATATTGACACTACATTTACACAGATCATTTTATATTTTCTGAAAACATAGAAATTAACAAAATAATATTTTAATAGGTATAAGTAATGCCTTTAATTTTCACTTATTAAAGGTCAACAATGAAATGGATTTAATTTTTCCATCTAATGCCGGTGTCAAATAACCTGACTAGGTACGTTCAATTACGAAAAAGTATAAAAATATAAATTGTTTTCTCTTTAGCATAAAATTTTATTTTTAATTAAAATTGTGATATTTTCAGTTTTTCTTTCATACTGACTGACTCTTTCATAGTGAGTTTTAATAGCGCGAAATATGTATATACCTAACACGATTAATATAAAAAAGTAAACTGATAACTATTTTAAGGCAAAATATTGCAATATAAGAAGGACAATAACCTCAGAAACACATAAACCAGTTTATATGTGGAATAATAAATCTATTTAAACAATGTTGGCGTGTATAAAATGGGGAAAATATAAATAAGCTATAATAAATTAAAATTTGATGTAGTAGGTATCTATAATTTACCTTGATAAATTTTTTTCTCAGCACTGGGAGAATCATCTTCAAGCTCCGCATGAAACTAAAAAAAGATAAAGTTTAGATGCTATGGTTATCATTTATAGACGACACGTTTGGATCAGTCTGTATTGAACCTAATTGCTGTGCCAGCGGTCGCAGGTTCGAGTCCCGCTGGGGGCATTCATTTGTATGATGAGAACGAATGTTTGTACTCGAGTCATGGGTGTTTATGTTTATATATGTGTAGTGTATCAACTATCTGGTATCCATAACACAGGCCTCGTAGCATACCATGGAAATAGACGGTGCTGTGCGTTAATGTCCCAACATATTTATTTATTTATCGAGTTAGTATTTTGATCTTTCTCTAAAACTTTAGGGACTTACCCAATAATTAATAAACACATAGTTCAAAAGCAGATATATAATTACTAATTAGTATAACATTTAATAGCTATCCTGTATTTATTGCAGGAATAACATCAATAGAAACAGGTAAGTTTATTTAGCACTGTTCTATTTAGCACATAAATCATCAAAAATTTTGTTAAAATGATTGAAACTTATTTTGTACTAGCGACTCACCCTCGCTCCGCCCGAGTTTATCTCTATTTACGTTTTAACTAGGTTTAGTAGGTATAGATTTGTCAGAGATGAGATGTTTTCCCGCAGTAAAAAATTATCCTGTATTTTCACCCGGATAATCAGATATTATGATACCGAATTTCATAAAAATCTGTCCAGTGATTTTCTCGTAATGCGTTCCCAGACAGACGAAGGACGGACGGACGCACAGACAGGTAGACAAAGATTCGGCCTCTGTATCGATCGATCTGTATCGAATGAACAGATTCGACTCAGAGTTTTATTTTATGTATAGATATAGATAAACTAAATATTGTAATAATTATTAATTATCAACATATACCTACAATAAATACAAAAAAAAACAATTAAGTATGTTATATTATTGGACATGAATGTAACGGACACAAGTGTTGTGTCCATGTTTAATCCAATCAACAGCACCCGATACTTTTGGAATATTTAAATAAATTTTGCTTATGAAAACCAAGCGCGTTTCGTGCCTCTAAATCTTATACTATTCAATACATAATAGTGTTTAAATAAATTATCTTTTTATTATTAGTATATCTACCCTAAAAAGATAACTGCCTAAGAAGTACCTTTGAGTAAAAATGCTTTAAATTTTTTACCCCTTTAAAGTAAAAATGTTTGTATCTTGTTGTTTTTAAAAAAATTATAATATCAGTCGTAACAAAAATTGAATTGCTTATTCTATTTACAATAAGGACCTACTTACTGCTAAAACTGATCCAGTGCCCTCAAGAGCTTTAAAAGCTAATTCCAAGTCTTTAGCTCCCACATTGGGGAACTCATCAACGCCACTCGGACATAAAAAGCATTTGAACCCTACTACTCCAGCTTTAACCAAATCTCCCAATGAGTCCTGCAATGAAAATATATATTTTTATTTTTTTTCTCAGTATCTTCAGTAAGTTTATAAAGAAAATGTGTTTGTTGGTTGCATTTCCATTTACGCACTAATTTATCAAGGTGATTTATTTGCATAGAGATAGTTACTTACACATATACATATCTATGTATGTATGTAGATAGTATATCCCGAACATTATACGATTTCAAGCTAGAGAGCTAAATGTGAACTGTCACTTAAAGATGAAGGTTTTAACAATTTTTTGATTAAAAATGGTGGAGGTATCTACTCAATACCAATAAGTAATTAAGTATCGATTCTCATAATTTTTAAGAAAAAAATATCGAGCGTAATTGCCCAATTTAGTTTTAAATTCAATTAGTTTTAAAGTCAATGTACTTTTAAGTTAAAAAATATTACTTTGTCATTATTATTACCTGATTTCCAACGATAACTCCTCCCCAAAATCCTACGTCAACATAAACATGACCTGCAGCTGAGTTAGCCTTTAGTTTTAAGTTATCTAATGTCGTAGTCGGCGGAATTGAATTCCTGGAAAATAATTTTAAATTCAATTCTAACATCATTTACAGTTATTTTTTTTTATGAAATTATTCTTTTTTAAACATTATAATATACTTAGGTGACCTATAAAAATGGTATAATGATACAAACTTGTAACAATTTATTTAGGGTTCCGTAGTCAAAGGGCAAAGACTAAGTAAATTCCTGTAATTTCATCATGGCCACGGTAATGTTACATATAACATTACCGTACCATGATCTATTTTCCCTTGACTATTTTCATGGATAATATATTAGAAATTCTATTGTTTCAATTTTTCCAGATTTTTTTAGATTACTTTACTCTGAGACTTATTTTATTTATAAAGGTGAAATTAAGAAAGTAAGTAAATTTTGTAATATTATAAATTGATGGACTTGGTTTCATTTAAAGATTATTTTCTACTTTTTAGAGCATTTAAATAAAAACTTATTTTTATTAAAAAAAATACTATTAATTCTAATTATTCAACGTTATATTCTGGGTGTCGACATTTTTTTCAGAAATTTCCTTTTCTTTAAGAATCTGTATTTAAAATTTCTCTGGCACCAATAGTTTTTGAGTAATTAGCAATAATTGTTTATGTGCGGGTTAGAAATCTTTGCGCATTTTCTACACAATATAATAAATCCAACGAGGTATTGCACGTATTTTAATTTGTAGTAGCAAGAATTAACACGTTTTTCAATTACAGCGGCATGTCGACGATTGTAGTAATGCCTCCAGCTGCTGCAGCATTGGTGGCGCTGCGGAAGCCCTCCCAGGCAGTCCGACCTGGTTCGTTCACGTGCACATGGGAGTCTACAATGCCTGCTATAAGCGCCCATTCTCCACCATCAATCACCTGTAACAATTAGTTCAAATAATTTATTTTCTAATTCTTTACCACAAATAAAGATAACAGCAACGTGACAAGCCTTTTTTTATCTACCTCTCGACGGGTCTCTCGATATAGTTAAAGATATGGTATGACATGTACCTTTATCATCCAACTTCATATTGATATATCGAATACAAATATACTAAAATGACCGCAATAACTTATATTAACATCTATACATATAACAAAATTCTGACTGAGTCGAATCTGTGCATTAAATATTTTTTGGAAAATTTTATGTCGCTAGTACCTACATATCTATAGACTCTGAAATTCGCGGCCATTTTTTTTCTTTTATCAATTAATTAATAATTTAAATGTCAAATCCTAATCAAAATCCCATTTACCGTACGTGGCAGTCAAATACCGTACGTACTTATAGATCAATAGACAAAGTCTGTGATAGTGTGGCATTTGGCCAGACAGGCAGCCAGACTCCGCTTATTAACCAACCAATGATACAATTTCCCTATGATATAGTACTTAAGTATGGTTCTGTATTACTATCTATAATTTGATAAAAATTAAATATAGTATTATCTTCATCTTGTTTACCAATGATATAATAAATAAGAATTTTTGTCTGTCTGTGACTGAATCACGGAAAAAGCACTAAAGGGATTTTGATGAAATTTGGTATGATGATAGCTGGTTATTCGGATCAACATATAGGATACTTTTTACTGCGGGAAAATATCTCGTCTCTGAGAAATCCATACTAAACGTTAAAACGTAAAACGTAAATAAGGACGAACCCAAACGGAGCGAGGGTATAAACATCAAAACTAGAATAAACATTTACACTACTATTAGAAAGAGGAAAGATTTGTATTTTTGTATATTTGTAACTAATAAACTCAAAAACTATTTGACCGATTTAGATGAAATTTGGTAAGAAGATAGTTTGAGACCCTAAGAAGGACATAGGATAGAACATAGGATTTTCATTCCGGAAATCATCCCTTAAGGGGGTGAAAATGGGAATGAAAATTTGTATGGGGAATCAACTTAGGGACGAACCCGAGTGAAGGGAGGTTGTGTAGCTACTCGCCAGTAATATTATATAAAATAAAAATAAAAATTAATTTATATTTACTTTAATTCATTACAATGGTTGTAGATGAAGATACACTAATATCCTGACTCCTGTTGTGAAAAATTAACAATATTCAAATGGCAAAAAAATATTATCTAAACTACTCAACCCATTAAAAATGCCCTTTCGCAGTAATCGTTTTAATTTAATGAATATTTTATTTGATACTATTCCTTCTTTTTATAGCTGGCATATAACAAAAAATAGGGATTGGATTTAAAAGTATCAATTTAAATGTTAAAGTTTAAATCAAATGTTGTATAGCTATAAAGCTATTCATAAATTATTCTCGAAAAATATTTATATATGGATACCGTTACAAACAAGTCGCAACTACAAGTCCCAAATAGCTATTTTTTATGTATTAAGGGAATTTTTATACTTTTTTATGTGGAATTATGGAATTTCAAATGGTTACATTTATGATAGAACTGGTTTTATTAATATATTTAACAGAAACATATTTATCGTACAAACGAACTTCCAAAACGTACTTCCGAGTAATTAAAAAAAAAACATATCACCATAACCAAAAAGACTGTATGTAACCTAAAAATTTGTATCATGATATTTGTATTAAAGATTTAGTTATTTTTCAAGAATGTGTGGTCCTTATTCTTTTTTATTTTATCAAGTTTTAACAAATATGTCGAGCACGCTTGCTAAAAAAATACAGGCAGATGCCCTTACCGACCTCTCAAGGTTGGAGCTGCGTTGCCGGAAAGAGACAACTAACCACATGTACAAAGCGTTTAAACATAATAATATGGTTCTATATTTAACATAAATCTTACTTCAATATTGTCTCCCTTCTCCGCAATCAAATCGTTAGCTTCACTTCTGCTTAAAACTTTATCAATGACTCCATTACGATTTACTAGAACTCCACCATCAAATATATTTGATTCTGTTACCAAACACTTGCTTATAAACAGTTGACACCGTTCTGTCATCGCTTCTTGAGTCACGCACAACTACACTAATTGAGACACGCTGTTCAACTACCAGAATAGCGTGATAACGGAATGCTGAAATACTGATCTTACTAAAAATCCATTTTAACTCTTATTTTGGTACTATGAGTAAACATGTTGATAACAACACAAACAGTACGATAAACCAACCATGTTATGATCCGATATGACATTTCAGTGTTAATGCTCAAACATACTTTTCGTAATATTTACTTAGTTATAGCTATTATTCACTATTAAACACTAACCTACTAACTATAATCGCTTACATTTTAAATAGACATGTTAATAAAATTTATCACTAGAAAAATAAAACGACAAAGGTTAGCCCATAACGAAAGCTGTTCCTATAAATAATAAATACTCTTTATTGGTTTCAATAGATATAGATTTGTATAGACTATGCTAAAATATGTTAAATTTATCAATTACATAGGTCAATACCATTTGGATAAAAGTATAATAAAAATATCTAATGAACCGCTTATTGTTTTATTTGTGTATGTAATTATGTACCAATTTGATGCGTAGTGAGACTCAATACATGTTGACGAATCATCTAATAAATGCCAATGTTTCACCTTGAACTTGACGTAGCCATAATTAAGCTCGGGGGATGCTCCCATTTGCCGATGCCCTCGGTTTACGTTTATATACTCGTTCAGCTCGGAAGACCTAGATCAAGTAAATACTAGACCGGTTCCTGCCAACATTTTAAAGGGCATATAATCTAGCAATGTCAACAACTTAAAATAATTCCAATACTAGTGGGCAAAAACAATATATATAATGATTATAATACATTCTTGCAAACCTACCTACTATACACTTCTAATAAGATTTGGACTGTATTTTATTAATCAAAGGTTTCGTTCAGCGTTTTTAAAATGATAAATATTGGTACTAAATTAAGCTACTTTATGCAGATTATTATACCACTGATATAAATGAAATGCACTCCGTTCTTCACTTTCCGTTTTCTCAAACAATACCTGTTGGGTAAACGTGATCACGTCCCTCCTCTTGCGCATCGTTTCGGGAAGATAACCTGATCGTGTCTCCCTTGTGTCACTCTTATTAATGGAAACTGAGGTCCTTCAAGACGTACTGGCACGGGTCATGAGGTAGCAATAAGGCAAGAAGGCAATGGTTATAGCAATAAGTAGATAAAATAAATGAAGAATTCTCATACATATATAAGAATAAAGTATCATTCCCGTAAAAAACTAGTTGAAACATTTCGTAATAAACTACCAAAATTATTATAGCAACTATCATTATTTTTGCGAAAGTAACAAAATTTCTATTAAAATAACCTCCAGGTAAATTTTTAAGAAATTAATTAAAATTCTAAGAAATCTATTCTTAACTGACACACCGGCGTGTCCGCGGTTGTGGAGTGAATATGATGAGTATTGATAATTTTTTCTAATTAGGATTTTTCTAGTGTTATATCTTGTTAGTTTATCAGGTGATAGACACTTGTCAGTCATGGAAAAAACTTTTAGAACAAAAACTTCCTTAAAGAGGCTAGGTCATCAGTTCAGGTCGTTTATACGAGTATAACAAAGGTAAAGCCAATTTCAGGGTCCACTTAGTCAGTTTACTGTTAGTCGGTTAGGTGACGGCGACTGTATGGCAGTAAACAATGCGGTGACATTGGCGGGAAGAAAGGAAGAAACGCTACTTGCATAGTAATTGTGCTTTGCGTCTACACATCGCGGAACCACGTAACTCTACTATACTGCCTGAGCACATTAACTAAGAAGACAGTGCTTTACCATAGTAGAAGTGTAATGTTTATTATATATATTTCTATATTTTTAATGTAACTTTAAATAAAATGTTAGTATTAATTAAAAGTTTTGTGATATATTATATAATATAATATTTATAAAATTGTGTAAGTAATAAGCATATGTATTTATAATTATTTTTATATTTATTCATGCATTATGTTCTGATAAAAGTGATAGGTACAGCTGAAAAATATTGACACTAACTTAAAAATAGCAATTATTCCTAATATAGAAAAATTAAAACAGTACACAGTTTGAAAACGTCATACTTTGTTATAAGCTAAGAATAAAATAAAATCAAGTAAAAATACAATTTACCACCTAAGCTATAGTAGTAAGAATTCATATTGAACATATTAAATTAGTTTGAAAACAGTTGATATTTATAGACAATAAATATATCAAACGCCTTTGCTCTTTAAAATAAAACTTAAAGGGCAAAAAGAGTGTAAACTTAAAAGCAGACAATAAAATTTTGTGGTGAATAAATTGATTTGCATTCTTAATTATATCGATTTGTTGTAATAAAATATAATTTATGCATCTAATCATAAATAATTATTATATCTGATTGCGGAATAAGTCATTTATGTTAATAATATTTAGGTCTAGCGATCTAATTAAGAGGATACAGTATTTCTTTTTTTAAACCTAATGAAAAGCTAAAAACGATGAGGATTTAATATACTCCATAATCATTTAGAAATACACAGAAAACTTAAACATATTGATATCTTTTTATTCTTAGGCAGGTTTTTTTATTATTAAATAATCGAAAATTATAATATATAAAGTTCACCATTTTTTAAATACGTTTTAGCCGTTTTAATAGGACCTACGTGATAAAAATTGGGATAGTTTAATGCTAATATCAGAGTAGTAGAAATATGCTAGATAAGACTCTATAATTATAGAGTTCTTGAAAATATCGGTTCAAAAGTGTACTACATGATAACTTAATTTGCGGCAAATTGCTTTTAATTCAAGTGTTATGGATGGACCTGTTCCAAAATTCCAAAGATACATAATATACATACGCGTAGGTGCGAGATGTGAAGCTCGATGACACCGAGGTATTAACACTAGGCGACCCATGCGCAGTCCGCTCAGTCGCACGCCGTTCGCGACATCAACGCAAACGCCGGGAAAAATAGCCTTTAGCCAAAAATTTGCAAATTTATAAATTATTCTTAAATAACTAAACACGTAAGTACCTTATAACCATAAAATGTATTAATTTATATTAAATTTTATAAATAAAAACGGTTCCCTGTTAATCTTTTCAGATTATTTTTGGGGCGTTGGAAGGAAAGCAGCTTCCCCGTTATGGGGCAGAAATTAATATTTTGGGTAAGTGATTGTTAAATTAATTCAAAAAATTAAACTAATTTTAAAAAAATATAAAGATATTTATAGTTAACACTTAAGTACCTACTAAACGTTTTGATTTTAGTTTTTTAATATTTTAAAAATAATCCAAATATAGTCCAAAATGATGATCTAAATATAGTCATCTTATTTTTTATATTTAAACTTAGTTAAAAATCTAATTTAATAATTTAAAATGAAAAAAAGTAATTTTACAATTTTTACAATTGATATGAGCAAGAACAATTAATTAATTATTACTTTTACTAGAACTGCAGTTCTGGTCCTAGCACAATTTTTTTGATACTGATTATTTATTTCTTGATAACAAGAAGCGTACTTCCGACACATATTTTATTAATATATAGTAGTTAGTCTATTTACTTCTATACAAAATTAAAAAAATACCAAAACAAAATCTTATACGTAATTAGAATTGTCTTGCGCACATACTCGTAATATAAAACCAGTAGTTGACATTTCATTATTTCTTTTGATAGACATGGAAAGGTTTCGTATAAAATAAGTAGAAATCAAATAATAATTAATTAATAATTGAATCAGCGATTATTCAATAAGGTTATAGAGATATAAATCGATTTATAATTGTTACGCGCCACTTGCCTAATTGAAGAGAACGAGTGCCTATGAAAACTCTTTGGTGCTCGTCTATCCAGGCACTAGACAGGCCGGAAAAACATGAAGACGAATATTTCTTTTTTTTCTTACTTTTGTATTATTCCTTTTTTTGACATTGGTGTCAGATAATTTTCTTGTATGTGAACTACATATTCATTTGAATTACTTGAATATAGCGAATAACACAAGAAAGTATTTTATTGTTTCACATAATATTTTGTTAATTCTAAAACTCACTCTGCATCTTGCATACCAGCTGCCCTACTTCGAGCTATCGATATAGTTTCTTTCCTTATTACTTTAAAAGGTTCCTCTTTATGGTCTTATAACTAATTTCATATGCACGTCGTATATATGGCACATACAAATTCATCGACTCGTAACATTTGTCGGGCAGTAGGACATATTTTGGCATATATTATTTTTATAATGACGTCCAATAAATCATTTGAGTATTAAAGTCGAATGTTTAATCTTTAATCAAAATATCAAATGCCTCGAGTGGGTTGCAGATGTATTCTATCTTTTTTTTTCTTTTTATAATAATGTGTTTGTTATATATCGTTTAGCTTTTTATAACCCAAAATGACTTTCAAATATCATGTCATAAGATACCTACGAGTACTTATTATAAATTATAATGTATATTCGATAGATATATTATTTACGCTTACTTGACTTTTTAGGAACATCATATTTTAGGGAATCAAACTATTAAATATATAGTATATATGGTAATGTACCATCTATTTAATAAGCAAGAAAGAAAAATATTCTAACAAAAATGAATTAGGGTTTAAAACCAAAAACTTACAAACAGGGGATACTTTTCTATTGTTTTCCCGAAGATGAAAACTGTTTACATTTAAAATTGCTTTACTAACTGCATATAGTCTATACATATAATAAAATTGTAACTAAGCCAAATCTGTACATTAAATATTTTTTGGAAAATCTTATTGAAATAGACATTATTATCGATACAGAGGCCGAATCTATAATTTTTAGAATTTTTATCTGTCTGTCTGTCTGTCTGTTACCGCATCACGGAAAAACCACAGGAGGGATTTTGATGAAATTTGCTATAGGATAGCTGGTTATCCGGGTCAACATATAGGATACTTTTTACCGCGGGAAAATATCTCATTTCTGAGAAAAAATACAAAAACTGCAATTGTATCAGTATACTAATATGTAAAACTTAAGAATTTGGTTTTTGGTATCAGAACGCGAGCGGAGCCACGGGCAATGCTAGTCATTAATAAAGTTCATTTGTGTCTAAAAGAAATGTGATAAAATGTCGCTGTATAAGGTATGCTGTTCACGCACTCAACAAGGACAAACGAAACAACACTTCTTCTTTGTATCTCCTTACAAATTACCTGCTTATTGATTATTAAGAGTAAAATCCTTTATTATGTAGTACATAAATAAATAGCACTAGATATGCTATCTATATTTCTTTTACACCATCGCGTCAGAGTTACTACTCAATACTCTACGTTCTCAGTTTTCCAATGCACTTTAACTGTTAAAGTTCCATATTTTCAAATTCATGGGACTTTCAGAGTTTCTGATTTATCCGAACCTGCTAGACGGGAATAGTAAAATTTTGGTATATACATATTATAAAGAGTTATGTAACCCAAAAACGAAAATACAGCAATAATAAATGATTTTTTTTTGAAAATTAAGTTGGTATACACTCACCTCCTTTGTCCATCCTGTTTCCAAAACAACTGAACATTGATTTAAAAGTATGTAATCTTATGTAATAATATATATAAAATAATAAAAAATAGTGATGTGGTAGCAAACTGTAACGAAAATTCAGTCTGTAAAGTTTCATAATGTAAAAAACTCTCACCCAAGTCCGTTTCGTACTTGATAAATTTTTGTTGCGATGTTAACGCGGCCTGTTGGTTGACAAAATATTAAAAAAAATTGAGCTTGGGTAATTGTTATTTTTTCTTCCAATAATGAAAATCTAGTTAAGATAAATATATCAATATGGGATGTGATTATTAACAATTTAAAAATAAATGAAAACTTATATATAAAAAGGACCAAAAGGATTTTTTGTCTTAATCACGTCCCAATCATTAAGATGGCACTTGAAAATAGGTGGAATGGACTGGTCGTATTGTGATGACGATGACCCCAAAGCGACTTCGACTACCTGGCAATGATGCCCGTATGCAAATCGTGTCTTCTGAATGAGACGTCAACGTACCTACCTACTAGCTCGTTTTGAAATTATTTATTAGATCATGACCCGATATTAGATGAAAAACTAAAAACAGATTTTTTGTGACTTCAATTAATTTTAAAATTATCTTAATGATTTTTATCATAATATCGCGGCAGATTTACATTTATGTGTACATTCAGTAGGTACGTACTAACCGGCTAGCTCCAGCTAAATTATGCCGACCGGCTACTTTTTTATTTTGATACCCTAAAAATATTATTTAAAAATGAAAGGATTTCAAAACTTCTTTCATAGGATTTGTTGCTGCCGTTTAGAGAATAAGTTGTTAAATTTTGTCTGATAAGTGGTTTGATTTGGAAGACAATGAAGCAGTGCATGCAACATTATAAATTACATAAGTATATGTACAATGTACATTGTAAATCTATATTTAATCCCTTGATAGTTATGAAAGAGATTTGTGAGTTTGTGACGTTGTTAGATACAACGTCAATGTCAAAATTAGATGTTCGTTAAGGAGACAGTTTGGGACCCTGGGAAGGACATAGAATACTTTTTATCCCGGAAATCTTCCCTTAAGGGGGTGAAAATTTCATAAAAATAAATGTTATGAATCTCTAATATTACAAAATGTTGTAAAGATAACAAATTTCTATTTTTTTTCATTTTTAAGTATATCTAAGCAAAAATTCGCAGAGATAATACTTACGCCTTAAAATCGATTTTATATCTAAGTATATAAAACAAAAAAAATATTTTTTGTTTATTTGAACGCAATGCAATCAATAATATATTATATATATTTAAATGAAATTTTCCATGTAGATTTGATTAATCATCATCATTTAAAACATGTTTTTTATTTAAAATTATATATTTTGTTGAACTTCCGAATTTTTATATGGTCAACGACTTCTATTATGGATGTTCAAAAAGTAAATAAATATTAAGTTTTGTGAACCTGTCTTAAGTGTTGATCTTGGTCTTGATTCTATCATGTTATGTAAATTATACATAGATAGAGCTTTGCTTGATTGGCAGTTCAGTGACCGACGACATCACCCACGCTTACGTTTATAATTCGGTATGTCACGCAGGCGCCGCCGATAGTGTATTCAAACCTTACTAAAAATCTTTATATACCAAGAATCCCCTTTGTCAATTTTTTACATGAATCTATTACTAAGCTCAAAATAGTAGGTACAAGTGTTAACGGAACACAAATAAAGCAGAAAATTGTCCTTATAGAATTGGTGAAGTGTTGACTAATGGATATAGAGCTTTTTTATGAGGTCAACAGCCGCCAAGCCTTTGTTCGACAAATTGTTTATTTATACGAAATTCGATATGTGTAAGCTGTATTATCGAGAAAACGATATTTAAAAATGAACACTACGTGATAATAAATATGTAAATATTTTTCAATATAATTTTACCACATCATTTTACATATTGTTTCTTTTCTAGTTTGCGGCTCTATACGCTGGCGTAGCAGCCTCACCAAGGTATCCGGATGAAAGCCCTTTTGCCCGTATAGCAGTAGAAACGACTCCAGACCATGAACCTCTTGGCCCTCCTATTCGATCGTCCGTTGAAAGCATACCATTGAGGTAATTTTAATATAAAATTACTAATCTTCATACTTATTACGAGACATACACTCACTAGCATTATATTTTGGTTAAGTTATTGTAACTTACATATAAAATCTACATACATATATGTTATTACAGTAGAATAAATTATATGTAACTCCGATTTATATTAAATGGTGTAGTTTGCATTATTTCACTGTTAATATTTTAAATTCGTGCCACCTCGTCGCATAAATTCATATAAAACTGTCATTGCAACTTTAACCTTCAAAAATATTTTTTATCATTTATGCAAAAAGAATGCAAAAACCAAAGGGCTATGGTGAACCTGTAACGTATACATTTTTATTTAATGAGAAAAAGCAAAACGAGTTAAGTTGTTTTGAAGAGACAGATTTTTTTTATAATAAGCCTATAATTTTCGTGCATTATTCTTAGATAGGTACTTTTTGGTGTCTTTTAAACACACGCGTTTACTGGCGGCTGTACTCTCGTATAGCCTATATTCTTCCGCGTGATGCTTAGTCAAACAAACAAATAAACAAACTCTTCAGCTTTATATATTATTATAAAAGTATAGAATTTTATTATTAAAAATCATCTCAAATTGGAACAGAAACGTATATGAAGAAGGAGAAGGAAGACTACCTCTAAGAGATGCTGTGGAAAAGCGTCTAATTCCAGTGGCAGACCAGGAATCCTTATACAAATACTTAAAGGTATATTTTTTACTATAGTAGGTATATTCTATATTTACGATAAGTAATTAATAGAAAACACAGGCCAAAGAATTATTCTCTAAATCAGTAAAAAATACATAAACATAGTTATCTGCCCGCGGCTCTGTTGGCCAGCAAATTAAAATAAGGTGGCCAAAGACAATATTTTCAAAGACAGTCAATTGAAAAGGTAACAAACAGATAGAGTGCGTTGGTTTTACATTTATATTATTAGTATAAATAATAATAATTGTTTTTCTTGATCATATATGATATCTCTTTAGGATGCTGAAAGGACAGCGGGGTATGTCGAGAGCAATGAGGAATATAAAAAGTATTACGGAGCTGCCAATCACTTAAACAAGTAGGTGTATTATAATAAAAATATAATTACTACATTTACTTGTTTTATAGGTATATATTATAGTAACATAAAAATGTATTTTTAGTAACCCGCCCAATGATGACAGATTAGAACAGGGAAATGCAAACCTCGAAGGTAAAAAAAATATTTTAATTTATACTATCACAATATCTATAATACATCACTTATTGTTAAAACTCCTTCCTTCTTTGTTGTTTGAATAGAGGATATTTATTATTTGATCAGCATGTCAAATGTAATTACCTATATTAACGGTTTACGCATATCTAAATATTTTTTTCATTTAACATAAATTACAAAATTAATAGTACCTATAATAAAGTAGAGGTTAAATTAAGTACAATACTTGACACAGTAAAATTTTGTTTAAAATTGATTATTGATGAATGTATTACAAAAATATATTTTTTAATTTAGCAATGCAACAGACAATGAATGAACCAAACACGAAGAAGCTGGTGGTATGCTACATAGAGTCTTGGGCCGCTTATCGCGCACCGCCGCTCGCCTTTACCGCAGGACTCGTGCCGAAATCCTGTACACATCTACACTACGCTTTCGCAGTCTTACATCCTCACACCTACGCTGTGATATCGGCAAATGAAGACTACGATATTATCAAAGGTAAGTAATTAATATTATGATGAAAGCTAAATAATATGAAGATAATATATAATTTAAGAGAGTAATTTCTCATTTCTATGAATTTCTTTGAATCAAATACACTGATACGACTTCGAAAATATCTGATTAGGTATATATTCTAAATAGAATCCCCCGTTAAGTTATATTTTACATTTTAGTGCCTGGAAGTCGTTTTTTTTAAGTTTTTATGTATACAACCACTTAATATGATCGCTATGAATGTTACAGTCATAGACCTACGGTCTACATAATCAATTAAAGTGAAATTTGCAATCATTTTTAAATCTCATAGAAATCCATCCGAATTGGAAGCCGTTCTCAAATAATGCATTATTTCAAACAGAACAAGTTTTTGAAACAAATAAAACACTACTTATGTATGAGTAACCGAAATAAAAAGGATATCTACAGGCTGTTTGGTCTGGGATCTTTGCTATTTAAAAATCCAATTATACGGAAAAATACAGTTTTGTCGTGTTTTAATATAATTTCATTATTATTAATAATACCTACTATATTATCATATGAAAAGACTACCTTAATTTAAATACCAACGCTCAAGAAGTTAATATAATTGATGGCTTCTGCATATAAGGGGCATTAAATCAATATTAAAATGGCTTTTAAATCGTTTAAAAAAATTTAATAACCTTAAAAGGAAAAAAACTTTTTATTATTTTTTGATAAATTATTACTTCAATAAACAATAAATATTTCATGCCTGTGCATCAGAGTAACTACATTCTTTGCTGTGCATTTATATTAGAATATTGCTATCAGGTGGATATCGCATCGCGACTGGTCTGAAACGTCGCATCCCAGGTCTTCGGGTCATTATCAGCGTAGGTGGTGACGGAATGGAACGACTTTTTAGTGAAATGGTACAAGAGCCCAACAGGCGAAATTCATTCATTGACAGTGCGGTCACCTTCCTCCAAGAACACGATTTCGATGGTCTCGACCTTCATTGGGTGTATGCAGGTAAACATCTAACTCGTAAAACAAAATTCTTGTAAAACTATACGTCGGCATACAATTAGGTATGTAAATCTTTTATTTGTTTTAGGAGACAAAGACGAAAAGGAAAAAGAATTATTAACCACTCTATTATACGAGCTTCGCGAAAAGTTTTCGTCGTATGGATACCTTTTATCTACAGTTTTACCTCCATTTAGGTAAAAAATATTTTTATTTCTAAAACACGACTAAAAATATATATACGTTTAATAAATTCTTATCACAATTTTATGATACCTGTGCATTAGATTTGTATCATTTATTTTTTCTGTTGTTTAATTTTATTGAAAAGCATTAATACCAAGTTTCAAGTAATTCTGATCATAAATATTTTTTGGATTGTATTATAACGTGTTTTCCCGTGGGGATGAGATAATCTCCCGCGGTAAAAAGTAGCCTATTCTCCAGCCCTCTATCTATCTCCACACAAAAAATCACGTCAATCTGTCACTCCATTTCGACGTGAAAGAAGGATAAACAAACAAACACACTTTCACATTTTTAATATTAAGTATGCATTATTTATATCTATAGAACAACTTAAACTTTAAAAAATCAAACAAAGTGAGCGTCGTCTACTATGGTTTTGTATTTGAATGCTATGACATAATTGTAAACATGAAAAGCAAGCACACACACATTGTGACTGAAGTTGGCTTCACTTTTATTTTATGATACGCTCTATCTTACAGTTATCTGAAAATTACAGATTACTTTTAAAATACATATTATATGTTAAACAATTACATAGATACCAAATAGAAGACGGCTACGATCTAAGTGCGGTGAGCGGTGCTACAGACTACAGCATCCTGCAGGCGTGGGACATGACGTACGCTAGACACGCGGGCGACGACGCACCGCCACGCGCGCTACAGCACAGCCCGCTGCACCGGGACCCCGGCGCCGCCGCCCGCGACCAGCGCTATGATAACATCGTAAGTGTCGTTCTGATTACATCGATTTCCAACATTTGTATCATAGTCATTGGTGTACAGGAAATTTAGAGACCATCGCAATAATTGTGTACAAGCAAACCTACGCGTACTAAGCAAACGCCTAAGTAATAAGATGTATTTAATACTTAATTATTTTTCTGCAAATATTATTAATACTTAGTTATAAACTATAAATATATAATACATATACACAAAACATACATATATCTACAACACCATTTAAGATATTTCAGTTTATTTGGTCAGTTAGTCACCACACATGATTTTATTTTAAGTCCAATTTGTAATAGATACTCATGTCTCATACGTTTACATACATACATACACGGATGGACACTAACGTAGCAACTATAATTGACGTAGTAAAATATCCTATAGTTTACACTTACTTATAACAACAGGAATTCATGGTGAAATATATCCTTCGTCACGGGATGTCTGCTGACAAACTAGTGCTGGGCATTCCGGTGTTCGGGCGCAGCTACAGGCTGGCGACGTCTACGCTGCCGGCTCCCGGCGCCAAGGTCGACGGCTGGGGAGACGAGGGACAGTACACACAGACTAAGGGAATGCTGGCTTATTTTGAGGTATTCATAAACATCATATGCATATAAGTATACAAAACAATAATAATTAATCGTATTTCAGCCTTTTTACAAAAAACATTCTTAGTTATGAAAAACCATTAGAGATATCACTAAACAAACATATCTTTTGATATGAATCAGTTATTTAAACTGCTACTGTGCTTTTAAATTATTTAAAGTCGTACGCGCATACGTAGGTTAAGCCTACGTAAATTAAACCTGTGACACGATATACTTAAAATATTTGTATGTGAAAAATTATTTGCTTAAATAAATATTGAACTTGCTGGTAAATTGAAAATGGAAATATCTGATTAAATATATATGTACATATACCATTGCAGATTTGTATGAACGAACGCGAAGGTAAAGGGGTGAGTGGAGTGGACGCGGCTGGCAACGCCTTTGCCGTCTTTGATAACCAGTGGATAAGCTACGACACACCAGATACAGTATTAAAAAAGGTAAATTATATATAAATTGAAAAAAAAAACTAAAGGACATTGGAGTAACATAATTAGATTTATCAGTATGTTATGTTCTTTTGCGTATAATTTATTATGTCATTAAACTTGATTTGTTATGCTTTAGATGAAATTTATCATGAACATTGGTCTGGCGGGTGCAGCGGCGTGGGCCATTGACATGGATGACTTCCGCGGCTTGTGTGGGAGACCTTTCCCTATCATGAGTGCTATATCCACCACCTTGAACGGTATAAATTAAATTCCGTATATTGAACGCCTCATAAATTATAACACATAAAAGTCAAATGTTATAAATATTTATGCGAAAGAAATAAAAAACATAATAAAAAAATCACAACCTTTTTTAGAAACATTTAAAAAGAAGATCTAGCTCAACAAAATTCCTCTTAAAAATAAAAAATAAGTACAACTTCACATTTAAAATTTGAAAATTTTCCAACATATGTACCTACTGTTAATACATCAGTGCTTAAAAATTACAACACTATGAAAAATTTAAATCCTGTAACGAAAATCCAACTGATAATTACTAATCAAACATTAGCCATATGACTTCCAAAATATCATTATGTCGCATTCTAATATAACCATGACTTGATCATAGTTTTATCTATTACCAATGTAACTGAAACTGTAGAACCGTGAGAAACGTAAAGGTTAACAATTAATTTTAATTAAAAGATTACTCATTGAGGAACACTCACTTACTCACTACTTAATCTAATAAAAACAAACCACCAACCGAATCAAAATAAATGAGAATGAATGAGTGAGAAATGGAATTTGTTTTTTTCTCGTTTAATAAGATGGCTGGGTTATTTGCAAATGTTAATGAATCTCGCATCAGTCGAATTGGAATAGTAATAAATGGCCCACTTACAGGTGAAGTGACTCTAACCGATCAATCGACACTCAAAGTTGGTTCGTGTGAGTCTAACATGCCTTACTTGGCATCGGACGAGGAGTCCTGCGCGCACTTCCACTTCTGCACCGGCGGCATCAGCTACAGGATGATCTGCGAGGATGAGAGACTCTACGATCCTTCTACTGGATTTTGTGGGTGAGTTCATTATATTTAAACAAACTAAACTAATATACCACCTTTATATGTATGGAGAAATTTGTGGATTAATTGCCTCGGTGGTGTAGTGACTAGCATGTACGGCGACACACCCGGAGGTCCTGGGTTCGACTCCCGGGTCGGGCCAAGTTTAGTTATTGAATCTCTCTGTATAGTAAGCCTCAGTAACAGCCCAGAGTTGGAAGTTGGCGGTGTTTCACTCCAGTGCCTCGGAGAGCACGTAAAACCGTCGGTCCTACGCCTTAACTCTCACTGGTCGTGTCAAGCAGTCGTTCCACTGGAGAGTTACAGGAATAGAGAGTGCACGTTGTGTCTGCGCGTACACTTGTGCACTATATATATCCTGCGCAGTTGGCTAGTCTCAATGAGATTGGCCGCCGTGGCCGGAATCGGTCGGGAGGACATTATTATTATTGTGGAGAAGAATGAATCGTTTTTATTTTATTTTTCACTTTAGACTTATATAGCTGTATAATAACGGTGCTGAACGAATTTTTCGGTTACGTAATCGGTGAAAATATGACATTATTCGTTTTTTTGTAATGTCTACATACAACTGATATCTGGATAGATATAGTAGGAAAAAAAATTACTGAAGTTTTTCTGAAGTACGTAATTGTTCAAGTTTTTTGCTTATCTCATTTAAGGCACCAAGATGTTGGAAAATGTATACCGGGACAAAGTCTAAGAATAAGTATAGAAGATGCAGCTCGTTTCTTGGCCCAAGCTTACGAAATTGACTTTGAAGTAAGTATTTATAAAAATTCTAGTTTATACATACCTATATTAAAATTGAAACTAAGCCGAATCTGTACATTAAATATTTTTTGGAAAATCTTATTGAAATAAACATTATTAACGATACAGAGGCCGAATCTATAGTTTTTAGAATTTTTGTGTCTGTTTGTCTGTTACCGCATCACAGAAAAACCACTGGCGGTATTTTGATGAGGTATGGTGAGAGCTGGTTATCTGGGTCAACATATCGGATACTTTTAACCGCGGGAAAATGTCTCATTTCTGAGAAAAAATACAAAAACTGCAATGTAAGAGTATACTAATATGTAAAACCTAAGAATTTGTTTTTTGGTCATCTGATCGCGGGCGGAGCCGCGGGCAATGCTAGTAATAAATAATATGTATTTGATTGTCTCTTTAGCTCGATAGACGATAAAATGCATATTTATTAATTTATCTCTTATCTGAATTTCAAAAACATTGAATTTAATGCGAGGTGTTATAGCGTAACGACGACAGTAAGATGATCGATGTCGCACAAGACGGATTTTGTTTCATTTGAAATTCAAAATATATTGTTTGCAGTTTTCATATTTTTACATTAAAATTAAACATGTAAAAGCTATATTCTCTGAAATTGCGAATTGAGCATAACTCTGAAATTCTATATAAGAAATTTTAATTTATCACTACTACAATGCTTAACACCTCCAGGTAAATTTCTAAGAAATTAATTAAATTTCTAATGCCCGATTTCACCAACGTCACCTAAGTTTAAGGGATCCCCTACGCATGGTTAGGGGGCTGTTAGGGGACAGCATCTGTGTCACTGACAGTTAGGGGTCACCTAAATATTAAAAGGCCCCCTTAATTTGCTTGAAATATGGGCTTAAAGACGATCGTAAAACGAAATTTAATTTAGGGGCTAGTTCAGGGGACTTTTAAGCTAGGGATCCCATACATAGGTGGTAGCTTATGGGTTGTTGGTGAAATCGGGCATAAGAAATCTATTGTTAACTGTAACGCCGGCGTGTCCGCGGTTGTTGAGAGATTGATAAGCATAGAAAGTAATTATTTGTAACACTTATATGGAATCGTTTAATATTTAGAGAAAAAGATGTAATGTCAGTGAGTCTGTTGCTCACAAAAAATCTCCCACGTCGATTTGTTGCTGAGTGAAAAGAGCAAAAAAAACAAATTAATAATTATATTATAAAAATATTAATTATAAAATATAGGTATTAATAGTAATTATAAAATATATTAAAAATAGCAAAAAAAAATTAATAGTTTTTATATTCACAGTGGAGCAGCGCCACAAATAAAGATGTTCATAATTTGGAATCAGATCGATTAATTACTTATCAATCACAAAAAGGACAAGGTAAGTTATAATTCACTAACTCCCAATTACATTATTTCAACTTCTTTTATATGACAACTTCTTTCGCTTTGCTTCTTAACGCTTGCTTTTGTTAGTAATTCCTAGAAATGACGCTGCAAATAAATTGAATATGGAAACATCTTCCAACCTTCTTCGTGTTCGACCGTCATTAAATTATAGATTTACACAAAATGGATACGGTCCTTGGCTAAGAAAACAATACCAAATTTTACATAAGAATATTATGAATAATCAAAAGAAAAATCTTTATAATGATATTGATAATGATGGTAAGATTGCTTGGAATTTTTCAGTTTTTTATTTCATTTTAATTCATGACTAATTTATTTTTGTGTTATGTCAAGTATATATAATATGTTAAATCACCTCATTATGATAGTCTTTTATTTAGAGATCTAAAATAATATAATTAAAAGTTATTAAATATTTAAGGGATAATTGAAAATTAAAATTAATTTGTAACACAATTTTTATTACCTTCATTTGTAACTAACATCTACTCGTAACTATTCACTGTAAAATAAAGTGTTTAAATTGATTATTAACCTATTTATATATAATTGTCGTACCTATTTGAAACTTTATAAGTGTAAGGAATTCGGAAGACAATATCTTGACACTATCGTCTCATATCAAACTCATCTGATGATGGAACTAGGAGGTGGAAGTTTTCAATGATTACTTAAACAGTTCTTTTAAAGAGTGCTTTTTCATGGGCGCTGGAAGGGAGGTGCAAATGGATGCACTGCACCCCCATAAATATTACAATTTTTTCCATGAAGAAAAAAATGTAGAAAAAGTCAAAGAAATAAAATTCTATGAGCAAATTCCCTGTTTCAATTTAGATATCTTCAAAGAAAAGACGATAAGTAGGATATAAATAATAATTATAAAATTAATCATTTAAAAATTAGTAGTTTATTGTGTAGAAGAAGGTGCACTATCCTGTAAATAATTCTGCCGCCGCCCCTGTGCTATTTTAATTTGTTTAAACTAAAATTATTAACTATTTTAACGTTATTTTAATGCTTTCAGATAGGGACAATGAGAAACGAGTAGTATGTTACATGACCAGCTGGGCCTTCTACCGCCGCGGCGACGGAAAGTTCGTCCCCGAGCAAATTGACACGCGCCTCTGCACGCACGTCGTGTACGCGTACGCTTCGCTCTCCCCCGACGAACTTATTGCTAAAGAGTTCGATCCGTGGGCTGATATCACTAATAGTAAGTTATTATAAATCTTAGCTTTTAAAACTACTAAAACTTTAAAGAATACATAAGAATTCAAGGGTAGAATATTATATTTTATTGCTCTGAGCACATTATGTTATAAAATGGCAACTTTCCGTAAAAGCAACAAAAAGTAGGATATTTAAAAAAAAATATAGAATATGATCGTAATTTCACGTACTTTCTCTCTCTTAAATAAAGCAAGACACAATCACTGGTACCTTTATTCTTTGCATTTGGCGCAGTGTCGCGCTGTTTTATCCAAGAGTATCGAATTTACTTCCGGTCATCGCCGTCAGTCCCTTACATATTATTATACTTTGCAGCACCATTTATTGTAAATTTTCAATAATACCGTATTTTAACAGATCTCTACGAGCGTGTAACATCACTAAGCGACGTGAAGGTGCTACTGGGTCTGGGAGGCTGGACCGACTCTGCCGGCGACAAGTACTCCCGCCTGGTCTCATCCTCTACTCTTCGCACGCGCTTTGTGGAAAGACTGGTCACTTTCTTGCGTACTCACAACTTCAAGGGAGTCCACTTAGATTGGAACTATCCAGTGTGTTGGCAAAGTAATTGCAAGAAGGGCGCTAAATCTGATAAAGCAAACTTTGCCAAATTGGTTCAGGTAAGTTTCATTGCGGAGCTTTGATATTTAGCGTTATTTTGAAAAATTCTGAAACAATAAATATTTAGTGTCTGCTCGGCTGACTCTTATGAGCAGATTTACCACCTTCCGAAAAATCTAAGTATACCGGCTTTATTTGTGTTTTTCAATTGAAATAATAATAAAACAGTCAATAATATTTGTTACATATAAATAATAGTTGTTATAAAATTACTATTTTTGCAAATTATGACAGGAATTATCAAAAACCTTGCATGCGGCGAATATGGAACTGGGGGTGTCTCTCTCAGGGTACAAGGAAGTAATAGAGTCCGCGTACGACTTGCCGAAGATATCGGCCGCCGCCGACTTCATGAGCGCCATGACGTACGACTACCACGGCGGGTGGGAGCGCACTACGGCGCACCACACACCGTTAGTGCCGCTGAAGTCTAGTGATCCCCTTTCTTATTATTGTATTGTAAGTTGTATGTTTATCTGTCTTTGCCATTCAGTAATAAATGATTTTATACATTTTTTTATGTTGGGAAATGGGAAATGCATTTACGCATACCACCTGTATACATACAGGTACATTAACCACGGGGGTACATTATCCACGTCAAGTCAACTCTTATACATACATACTATGTTTTACAGGAATACGCAATAAAAGAACTAATTAGCGGCGGTGTGGATCCCAAGAAGCTAATGCTCGGGCTCGCATTCTACGGACAGTCGTTCCGGCTGGCGGAGGCGGAGGGCGCCCGTAGCGCCGGTGCGGCGGCCGCAGGCCCCGGGGAGCCCGGCGAATTCACCAAGCAGCCCGGCATGCTGGCCTACTATGAGATTTGCTATAGAGGTTGCTATTGCATTATATATATTTACTTACATTACATTATATATATTGCGTTATAAACTTCTTTTATTGGGTAAAAATATTTTATTTTATTGATTTGATAATATACTTTTAGGTTTTTATATAATTTTTATAAAATTTATTTACAGTTAAAAATCTAAGATGGAAGACTAGCCGACAGGAGAAAGCTGGACCTTACACGTATTCTGATAATCAATGGGTGGGATACGATGATCCAAAATCTATTACAGAAAAGGTATCATAAAACTTCTTTTGTATAGTTTATACTTTTATTATCATAATTCTGTTTTGGAAATATAATGGAGAGTAGATGAGAAGCCAATATTAAATCATATTCGATAATAACATATTGTATAAAAAAAAGATAATGAATTAATCTTAGTCCCGCTGAGTTTTTTTCGCCAGTTCTTCTCAGGTCTGATGCTTCTTTCCGAACTGATAGTAGACTCATGACGTTCAATAAAAAAATTGTAATAATTTAATGCTGAATAAAATGTTTTGAATTTGAATTTATCACATTATTTTACTATCCAGGTAGAATGGGCGATGCGTCAAGGATTGGGTGGAGTGACGGCGTGGGCCATAGACCTGGATGACTTCAGCAACCACTGTTGCGCCGAGCCGTCGCCGCTGCTCCGCGCCGCGGTGCGAGCGCTCGGCCGCCCCGCGCCGCCGCCGCCCACGCGCCCGTGCGAGCGCCCGCCCGAGCCCGTCACGCCCGCGCCGCCCACCACCACACCCGCTGAATCTGATGGTAGGCTTCATTGCCTCGGTGGTGTAGTGGCTAGCATATACGGCTGCACACTCGGAGGTCCTGGGTTCGAGTCCCGGGTCGGGCCAAGTTTAGTTATTGAATCTTTCTGTATAGTAAGCCTCAGTAACAGCCCGGAGTTGGGAAGTTGGCGGGGTTTTACACCCGTGCCTCGGAGAGCACGTAAAGCCGTCGGTCCTGCGCCTTAACTCTCACTGGTCGTGTCGAGTAGTCGTCCCACCGGAGTATGAGAGTGACAGGAATAGAGAGTGCACGTTGTGTAATGGTAAAAATAACTCCTCACGTCTATCCAAAGTAAGCTGTAAAGGAATAAATACCGCATTTCCTTAAATTTAAGTTTACTATACCCAAATCTATTTTAAAGTTTCATATTCATATTTGTGTTCTTATAACATCGACTCTATAAATTAAATTTATAACGATAGGATCAATTGTTGGAGGTGGTGACCACAACCACGGTAACCATGATCAGCACACGTCCACAACCTGGCCAAGTTGGAGCCCATCCACGACGCAAAGCACCATGCATACGTGGTGGTCTCAGGCAACCACTACCCCTATGACAACAACTTCGAAGAAACCTACAACAACTCGCCGACCAATAACTACTACTACGACTGAGGCTGAAATAGATCGTAGGTCCTAATTCTTATCTTAATGGTATTTTAAATTTTTCCTCATGAAAGTATAAGATATTTCAAATTAAAATAATATCAGTAAAAATTTAAAAAGAAAAGTTGAAATTATTTTTTTTTAATTTTGTCTATAGCTCTATGCATATTGCCAATTTATTATTGCCCATATTACTAATAACTGTTACAGTTGTTAAGGGGTCAAATCCCGGGTCTCACACCCCTGATATTTTCAAGTGCGAATCATTTCTAACATGATTACCACTTGTCTTAAGTTGAAGGAAAACATCGTGAGGAACCTACATGTCTGAGAGAACCTAGCAAGTTTTCGAAAGACATATGAAGTCCGCCAATCCGCAATTGGCCAGCGTGGTGGACTATGGCCTGATCTTCCTCGTACTGAAGGGAGGCCCGTGCCCAGCAGTGGGACGTTAAAAAGGGCTGAATACATACATACATTATCACTACTAATCCTTATATTTATGATACAGAAGTGGAAGATTCGTTGTGCGAAGCCGGTGAATACCGTGCGGCGCCGGGCGACTGCGAGGCGTATATGCAGTGCGAGGGCGGCCGCTGGCGCAAGCACCGCTGCGCGCCTGGTCTGCACTGGGCCGCTAGGGAGAAGAGATGTGACTGGCCAAGCTTTGCTAAATGTACAGGTAAAAATATATTGCTATACTACTTCTGATAAAGGGTGTAATAAGTAAATATTGAATTCAAAGTTTATATTACATATAAACGTGAATTTTCGGACAGCCTATATATATAATAAATACTTTTAATTTAATATTTACATAACTATATTTATAAACTCTTAATTTCTCACAGGAACTTCAGCGAGCGAAGCAAGTACAGCAACAACTACTTTAGCACCAATGACATCACGACCACCGCCCAGACCTACTACCACCAAGCCAACTACTACAACTTCGACGACTACCACTACCACTACCACCACTACCTCTACAACTGCTAAACCAACAACAGCGCCTACAAATGAAGGTTAGTAATAATCAATTCCAGCATTCTCATATTACTATTATATATTATACTCGTATTATTTAAATTATTAGTTTCACCCTAATTTATTTAATATACTCACCTAAACTACATAAATATAAATAAATATAAATATGTTGGGACATTAACGCAGCACTATGCACTAGTTCTATGGTAAGCTAAGAGGCTTGTGTTACGGATACCAAATAGTTGACACACTACACATATATAACTTTTAAATACATACATACATATTATATGTAAATATAAACTCCCATGACTGAACTAAAAATGTATGCCCCCAGCGGGACTCGAACCCGCGACCGCTGGCACAGCAAGTACAGCACACGATAAACTGAGTCGAACGTGAAGTCTATTTTCGTTATAATACAAATATTAATATGAAAAAATATGAACAATACTATTATAATTGGTCACAGATGATATATCAGAAGGTAGTCCATGTATCGGGGAGGATTACCACGCGGTGGCGGGCGACTGCAACTCGTACCTGCACTGTGACGGCGCGACGTGGCGCCTGCAGCGCTGCGCTCCGGGCCTGCACTGGAGTGCGCTGCAGAAACACTGCGACTGGCCCAGATACGCTAAATGTTCAAGTGTGTATAATATATCACTTATATATTATAACATATTTGCTACAATAAGTTAAAAATAATATATCTGTCTACATATATATTTTAGACATTTTAGTATTTTATCTAAATTAAATTGTTATCTTACATGACAGCTTCAACCACACCCTCGACTACAACCACCACAACTACTACTACGGCTAAACCAAAACCGACACAACCCACGACAAGGCCAACGAGACCAACGAGAACGACGACTACGACAGGTACATAGTTTCATTTTATTACCTATTTTTATTTTAAAATTATAATTGTTTTTGAAACGTATTTCGAAATTCGTTGGAAAAAGAAAAACTTGGTAAATGAGAGCTAGACGGAAAAAAGTGTAACATTTCCAACGTCACGATACTTTTTATTATTTACTAGCGACGTTTTAATGTTTAGTGTAGATTTCTCAGAGATGAGATGTTTTCCAGCAGTAAAAAGTATTCTATATGTTAACCGGGATAACCAGCTATAATCATACCAAATTCATTAAAATCTTGTAAAAACTATTGATTCGACCTTTGTATCGACAATAATTACTATTTCAATACGACTTTTCATAAAAAATATTTTATGTACAGATACGACTCAGAATTTTATTATATGGATAGATTAATATATTATTATTAATATAATAATTAAAAGTAGATAATATAATCTATTTATATTTGATGCTTTTTTATATGTATCTACTACACTATATTGTAAATTTTTATATAATTACTAATGAGCAAAATCTACTTGTTGTATATTCATCTGAATGCAATATCAAAGCAATTATATAAACGCATAACTGGGGGATTGTAATAGATTACCAATAATTGGTGAACAACAGCGTCTGTGGTACGCACTTTATAGACTGCTTAATGCTGAAACAATTGAGCCTTCTGATAAATTAATATAATTTAACTTAATTTATTACTATGAACAAGTGTTCATTCGTCTGATATCTATAATCGGATGAAGAAAAAAATTAGTCGTTCTCAATTATTGTCAGTTTATGAATAATAAAAATAAACATCTAATATGAAAAATGAAATCGTTCAGCCTCCCCATCCAACAAACCACGAGAAGACGGACCGTGCAGTGGCAGTGAAACGCACGCACCAGCGCCCACGTGCGACGCGTACCTGCAGTGCGTGGGCGGGCGCTGGCGCCGGCAGCTGTGCCCGCCGGGCCTGCACTGGGACAAGCGCACCAACCGATGTGATTGGGTCGAATTTGCTATGTGCGAAGGTATACAAGAATTATTTCTATATTTTTAACTCGAAAAATTACGAACTTTTATACATACTAATTTCCTTTGGTTTTTTTTTAAAACTATCTTCACTTGTTTATATTTTTTTATTTAATATAGTGTATTAAACTCTTGGGTAAAATTTTATATTTTCTTTTAATTGACCCATCGGCAAAGGTATACGTTGTATCTCACTATATCAGTGAATTTTAAGATTTTTATTAAGTAGGTAGGTGAGAGTTTAATGTGGTAGTCTCTATGTATTACGATTCGATAGATCATACGATAGTTGAGTACAATTTACTATGCCGATACCCCATAGAAAGAGAATAATATCATACGCTTGAAAAAAAAATTAAAAAAATATGTTAATATTTTAAATAATGAGTATCATATTTTAAATAGTGAGGTTACCAGAAAAAACGACAAAATCACCGCTGCAAAATATTTTCACCACTACAAAAAGGCCGAGGACAACAACAACAACAACGAGTAGACCTATACCCATTAGAACTACAACAACAAGGAGGCCTGTCACCCAATCCGGACAGTTCCAGAAACCAACGGTAAAACATCTAATCTCAGTACTTTTTGACACTAAAGTTAACATACCTTTCCTTTTGCAAGTCTTCTTCCAATTTTCTTATATATCTCTTAAACTTGTATACCAGTGTTTTGGATTATTTCAGTCAGTTTTGCCTCCAAAGCTAAAATTCTTATATCTACATACAACATTCTCTCTTTGCATGACGTGGCTCTGACAATTTTCAAATTCGTAGAAACCAGCGAAAATAAACCGGCAGACCCATACACCAATAAGCAACTCGTGATCGGTTTTTCTAATTTGGAGGCACATAATTTTAAGAACTTTCTAAACCTCTACTCTCCGTGCCACTTAAATAGGTACTATTATTATACAATAGTAAAAAAATAAATAATATCTCTTCTGCAACCAACAACAGTATTGCGCAACGGGCACGTACCACGCGCACCCACGATGTGAAAAGTTCTACGTGTGCGTCAACGGCGCGCTCGTCGCACAGAGCTGCGCGCCGGGTCTCGTGTGGAGCGCGCCGCGCTCGCAATGCGACTTCCCCTCCGCCGTGGCCGCGTCCGCCTGCACCGACCGCCGCCACGTCACTACTTCTGAGTCTAAACCCAGTGCCAACCTGCAAGTTGAGGATAAGCCTCGTAAGTATTACCAAACCCGTCTGATCTTAAGATAGCCATAAACTACTTGCGGCTTTTATTATCATCATCATTAGTTCAGACAAGACTGCTGGACGTAGACCAACATTCGCATAATTTTGCTTACTAACCGATGTAGAGCGATTTGTATCAACATATTATAATTCTATATATGTATAGTAAATATGAACGAATGTACAAGTATATAGTCGATTTGAATTATTTAAGTTTTAAGCGTAGGTTTGTCGAATATATTTACGTAAAAATTTTTAGGATCTCCCCTTTCTAAAGTCACATTTCAATAAAATTATAAATAGGGATCTATTATAAATGAAATCATAACTGAAAAAGGTAAATTAACCAATTGCTTTCCGTTGCAGAATTTTGTGAAAATGGCCAGTACGCTATGGATCCAGCAAGCTGCTCCAGCTACTTACATTGTTTATTCGGTAAATTCCAAGAATTTACCTGTAGTGCTGGCTTGCACTGGAACCAGGTGACATATAGTTCAAAATGTATTTTTTTATGTCTGCTTCTTTTCTTCTTAATTTAATTATGCTTATACTTTTGTCTTAAGCCATTAGCAAAAAAAATAATTACATTTATTAAAAAAATTATGATAAAAATTGTTTCTAAAACTGTCGAAGAAAACATAAAAAAATATTTAATTATTTACAGGACAAACAAATCTGCGACTGGCCCAACAGTGCTAAGTGTAAAGTACAAACAGTCCCAACTTCAACAACAACAACAACAACAACGACAACAACTGAAGTAGCACTGATGGATCCAGAGTCTGAAGTACTGCCGCCTCCCTCTATACCCATCATAGATATAGTTGATTCTGGTACTAAGCCAGAACTATCGAATAGTAAGTCTTATTCTAGTATTTATATTTATTTTACTTTTAGGCCATTGAAATTAATGAAATTATTTAAATCTTTGTAATATCCAATAATTTGTCTCTAGATAACCAGTGAATATTTAAACAATTAGAAAATCAAAAATGTACGAATTAAACTCTATAGTATAAAAAATATCTAATAAACAAAGACATTGTGTTCATTAAATTGGTAATTTTTAGCGCGTTATAAACTCATCTGCTATTACACCAACTGGTCCTGGTACCGCCCCGGACTCGGCATGTTCGTCCCAGAAGATATGGATCCATCAATTTGTACTCATATTGTGTATGGATTTGCTGTTTTGGGCGAAGACGGACTTATTAAAGCTCACGATCCTTGGGCAGATATAGAAAATAGTAAGTATTAAGAATATACTTTTACATGTTAAGCTGTTTGTAAAAAAAACTTAAAAAAACGGACTTAAAAAAACACTAAAAAGTGAAAAATAACTAATTGGAATTTTTATTTACTATAGATACCTAATCAGATATTATCGAAAGTCTGTGCCATCCGATACAAATCAAAGCACACCGATTTTGAAAATACCTATTAGTTATTTTTTTTACTTTTTAGTTTTTTTTTAAAGTCGGTTTTTTTAATTTATATTTTCATTTCTAGTGTAGACATAGCAGTAACAAAATAAGAAGAAAGTATTGTATAATAATGCATTAGGTGAAAAATCTATTATCTTCTATTTTCTACGCTTATGGGTGGTTTTTTTTTTGAAATTTAAATGTGATCCACTTTAAGGTATCTAATAAAAAAAGAATCATCGAAATCGGACTATACTGTAAAAAGTTATGCGTGGTCAAACATAAGAAAAAATTACGTGTCGAATTGAGAACCCCTTTTTTCGTCGGTTAAAAATACCTATAATTTGTATGCAAATTTGAGCGTCCTCAGTAACTTTGCAATTAGTATCCCATAGGAACCACTTAATATACCGGGATAAAATATACCTTCAATTATTATTATATATAAACAACACTTATATATTATATGTAAACAACACTTCGTTGCTACTTAAAAGGAAGATAAAGCAAAAAACATTTTTAGCATATATATTATTTGTGAGAACTACTTATTAAAAAGTACAATCAATGTTCCCAACAACAGATTTCTACGAGCGTGTAGTTAACTTCAAGAAGTATGGCGCTAAGGTATCTCTTGCTATTGGTGGATGGAAAGATTCCGTCGGTGACAAATATTCCATTTTAGTGAATGATCCGCAAGCTCGCGCCAAGTTTGTGACACACACTGTACAGTTCATTGAGAAATATGGATTCGATGGCTTAGACTTGGATTGGGAATATCCTAAGTGTTGGCAGGTTCGTATATTTTAAATTAGATAATTAAGTTCACTTCCTTACAATTACAATATCTCTTTAATTACAATTGTAATTAAAGAGATATTGTAATTGTATTTGTAATTGTTAATAATTATTAACTTAAAAAAACATTTATGTAAAAAATATTAATTACCAAATCGAAATCAAGTGTTAATCTGGAATTAAAACCTGTATTACGGAAGAACTCATAAGCTCGCAATTGTTAATCGTGGTACAATCAGTTTTAAAAATGTTTCATCATTTTAGGTGGACTGTTCAAAGGGCCCAGATTCAGATAAGGAAGGATTTGCTGATCTGGTCATAGAACTTTCGGCTGTATTAAAACCTAAGGGTCTTTTACTATCGTCGGCCGTATCTCCTAGTAAAATGGTGATCGATGCCGGATACGACGTTCCTATATTAGCACGTTATTTAGACTGGATCGCTGTGATGACTTACGACTATCATGGCCAATGGGACAAAAAGACCGGTCACCTTGCACCGCTCTACTATCATCCTGATGATGATAATACTTACTTCAATGCTGTTAGTAATATTTATCTTATTATTGTTCACTAAATATTTTTAAAAATTTTGATTAGATTTTGCCCCTTAACGCCGTGTCATACATAGACTGAGGGTTGACTTTTTTTTATTGTTTAGAACTACACTATGCATTACTGGATGGAAAAAGGCGCGCCCGCGACGAAACTTGTGATGGGTATTCCTATGTACGGTCAATCTTTTACGACCAACTCCATTTTGAACAATCGTGTTACAAATGGCCTGGGCTTGCCTGCTACAGCAGGCGGAGAGGCTGGAGAGTATACTAGAGCTGACGGCTTCTTAGCTTACTATGAGGTAAAAAAACCTTTATTTAACTTAAATATTTTATTATAATTTATATGTATATTATAAATGACGATATATAACAATAAACGATTAATTTATTAAAGATATGTGACCGCATTAAAAACCAAAAATGGAACGTTGTAAAAGATCCTGAAAACCGAATGGGACCTTACGCTTTCAAAGATGATCAATGGGTATCGTTTGATGACGAGGACATCATCAAAAGAAAAGTGAACTTTATCAAATCTCTAGGCTTGGCCGGTGGAATGGTTTGGGCGATAGATCTCGATGATTTCAAAAATAGGTACATTTCTTTCAAAAAAATCATGTTGCATTACTTATAAAATAGGTACCAAATAATGAATATAAACGTTAATATATAATAAACTTTCAGATGTAAGAAAGGAAAGTATCCACTACTGAATACGATCAAGGATTCTTTACTTGATCCACATGTAGATTTGGATGTAGTTAAAGAAAAACCTATATCTGAACCTCAAAATACGATAGATGAAGACGAGTTTGAAGATATTGAAGTAAAACCTGCTGTTGCTAAGCCTTCCACAGTTACATACAAACCAACAACTACTACTACTACTAAGAAACCGACTACAAGTAAGAAACCGACTACCACAAATAAACCAACCACCGCTGAAGTACAACATGATGAAGAAGAAGGATATAAAGTTATCTGTTACTATACAAACTGGGCGTGGTACAGGTATGAAAATAATAAGTAACTAGTTTTAACTTGTTTCTTCTAACGCATGACAGCTATGTCGATAGCAAAATAACTTATGTATCAAAGATAAAAGCTATCTTAGAATTTCACTTAAACACATACTCAATTTCGGATCTATAATATTAGTATGATAAAATAAATAAACAATAACCATTTTTCATCTTAAAACGTGCCAACCTCATAATTGAGAGTGATAGGCTACTTTGTATCTTTAAGTGGATTCAAAGTAATTAAGTATAATCATATTGATTAAATATATTTTTCGATTAATTTTGCTTTTATAAATTGATTATTGTTTTTACACTTTCAGGCCAAGTGCAGCAAAGTACACGCCTACTAACATTGACCCGACGCTCTGCACGCACATCGTGTACGCGTTCGCAGCACTTGATAGTTCGAAGCTGTTCATGAAACCTCACGACAACTGGCTTGATGTAGAAAATAGTATGAACTAAAAAGTTTCTTTCCTTTTCGTAATTTAGTCTTACTATTGAATCACTTAAACTTAGACCGAGACTTACCTTTTTCTTGTTAAATTACCTTATAAAGAGCTTAAAATTTCACCTCTCTCTATTATAAATCCTTCTATTTAAAATTATATTTTTAAATTTAAAAACCTTAGCTTTTATTTTTTATTTTTTTTAATTTTACAGTAGAATTTCTAAATAATTTCCAGAATTCTACGAGAAGGTTGTAGCACTAAAGAGCACTGGTGCTAAAGTAGTGATAGGGTTGGGAGGCTGGAACGACTCCGCTGGAGATAAATACTCTCGTCTCGTTAACAATCCTTCAGCGAGAAGGAAGTTTATTCTGCACGTTGTGGACTTCATTAAACAGTATGGATTTGATGGATTGAACCTTGATTGGCAATTTCCTAAGTGTTGGCAAGTAAGTGTTTTTTTTTATAATTACTGAAAATGGAAAATTTTAAAGAAATAATAAACCTTACCTAATATACTAAATAACTGAGAAAATTTTACTAAAATATTCTGTATAATCACATCCAGAGTTTACAGAGTATTTTAGCAAAATCTGTGTTAGGCAAATATTTATGCTGTGAAGTGAGAGCAAATATCACAAAAAAATGTCTATTGCCCTTTTTAGCGGCGTCCACTGTGGATCATGTCGAAATCGGCTAATATTAACTTTAATTTATTGGTAATGATGGCGAACTAAATCGTATTATATGTATATAGTAACGTTAATATTTTCTAGGCTGAATGTGAGAAAGGGCCGAAATCCGACAAGCAAGGCTTTGCTGCCTTAGTTAAGGAACTACGTGCTGCTCTCTATCCACGCGGGTTTTCTTTATCAGCTGCGGCTTCTGCGAACAAGCGTGTCATAGATTTAGGTATTACATACAATATACATACGTACGTGCTTTTTACAAAACTTAGTAATAAGTAAAATGTAGATTCTTTATTATTTGTTTTTATATAAGAGACTTTTCAGTCTACTAATGTTTCTCACCTCGTGAGTCTTGACGAAAGATATATAAAGGGGCAATTTTCGGACCCCCCCCCCCTACTATTCGCCCGAAATAATGCATGTCGAGATACTGAGACCCCCCCCCCTTAGGACCATTACGTAATTACTAATTAATGAATTACCACTTCCGTTAATAGTTTTTTAATTATACATGAAATTTAGCGTACGATGTGCCTGCGTTAGCCAGAGATTTGGACTGGATCTCGCTCATGACCTATGATTATCACGGACATTGGGATAACAAGACAGGACACATTGCGCCTATGTATGCTAGCCCGGAGGACGATGACAATACATTGAATGCGGTAATTATTTTAACTTAAAGAACTTCAACTTCTTTTAATACTTATAAATTTCAAATTTCCTTATAACAACAATTATACCTACTTATTTTTCATTCCAGAACTTCACGGTTAACTACTGGATTAACAAAGGTACGCCTCGTCACAAACTGATTTTGGGCATTCCTTTCTATGGACAATCCTTCTCTTTGGTTGAAAATTCTGGTAATGGTTTGGGAGCTCCGAGTTACGCCGGAGGGGAAGCAGGCGAGGAGACTAGAGCACGAGGCTTTTTAGCCTTCTATGAGGTAAGACATAGCCCATACTAATATTATAAATGTGAAAGTGTGTTTGTTTGTCTTTCTTTCACGTCGAAACAGAGTAAAGGATAGGAGTGATTTTTTCTGTGGAGATAGTTGGGGGGCTCGAGAGTGACATAGGCTACTTTTTACCGCGGAAGATCATGTCATTCCCACGGGAAAACACGTTAAATACAACCCAAAAAAATATTTGTGATCAGAATTACTTGAAACTTAGTATAAATGCTCTTCAATACAATTAAATAAAATTTTCAAAATTCATCCTATAAGGAGGTAAAATAGGGGATGAAAGTTAGTGGGAAACCTACCTTCATAGAGGTTTTTTTTGTAGTTTTAGAGCGAGCGAAGTCACGGATTCTAATAGCTTGCTTATAAAGAAAAAAGTTTTAGCTACTACTTTCTTTATCTTTCAAGAACTAGATTTTTCTCAACATCCAATAACTAGCTAATAGTTAGAATATTTTACTATTGGAAGTACATATATGGAAATGAAATATCTAAGGGTTATGTCACGTATTAAAAGTACTATGTTATTGAAATAAATTTTTAGTTTTCTTTTAGCTAAATTATTATATATATATATATATATATATATATATATATATATATATATATATATAGAAAGTCTGTCTAAGCAGATTAATATGTGAGTAATAAACAAGTCAAATAAGAAAAATCCAATGTACATTCAATTAAATTAAAATACGACAGATCTGCGAACGCATACGCCTCGAGAGCTGGAGCATGGTACGTGACGCGGGCGGGCGCGCGGGCCCGTACGCCACGCACAGCGAGCAGTGGGTGTCGTTCGATGACGCCTACATGGTGCGCCACAAGGCGGAGTTCGTGCGCGCCAACGGGCTCGGCGGCGCCATGGCCTGGGCGCTGGACCTCGACGACTTCAGTGGCACGCGCTGCGCCTGTGGCCGCTACCCGCTGCTCGCGACCGTCAACCACGTGCTGCGAGGGATGGATGAGCCGCCACCCTGCACGCTGGAAGATGGTATAATAATTCTTCACCATTACTAAATTTTTATTGCCTTATATTAGGTATAGTGTTAACTTAGACTGTTACCGGTTTTTTAATGAAATGTCTTATACGTTATCGTTTTTGAAGCAGACACAATTTCTGTAATTGTCTTTATCTCATGACTGCTTATAATATTCCTCCAACATAATATCTTCAAAAAATATAATCTTCAAAATACAAATTAATTATAGGTATCATTCACCACTGTTGTAATTTAAATTTCTTGACCTATCATTACAATAAACATTAAGATACACAGCGTATAGACTCACTGCCTATTCCATGACTGTCGAGAAATCAGGTCGACCAAATGTTCAGTAAGACAAATCTTTGAGGCACTTTATTACAACCAACTTCTCAACACCAGGCTTGTGAGCTTAGGACAGAACAATTCAATAACTTTTTTGACTTGCCTAGAAACTGTAAAGTTCCAGAACATGATTGGAGCCGTCGAAAAACTGTAAGTACGTCAATATCTAACACATACATATATGTTTGTTTTATTCCTAACAGTTCAAGTGCAAAATCCACCATCTGCAAGTCCGACCACCACAACAACGCCCGAACTTGAACCTGAAGATCCTACAGAAATACTTTCTGACACGGATATTCCCAATGAAGTATGTTTTAATATTCCAAATTATGTTTTATATTCAAAGCAATAACCTGCTGTAATTTTAATTTAGTACCTACTGGTGCTATTTTTTTTCCACATTATTAAACTTATTTTCCAATAAGATTTCGCCTCTTGTCTAATAGAACAAAGATGCTCCTAAACAATATTAGCCTGTCTGTCCCTTAAAACTGCAATGTTATAGCTTATGTTCTATTTAATTAAAATATTGACTACGATTAAAAGTAGAGTATAACTACGATCGTGTCCGTAATATTTTACGATTTACGTAATATGCACTAAAAAATCATTAAAATAATTCAAAAAATTATTTTAGAACCCACCATAATATTTCTATCTCTGGACAAGTGTGTAAAAATGAAAATAATTACTATAAATGAAAAAAAAATGTAAATTGAGAAGTAATAAAACCTTGTATATTTCAGGGCGCTCCCCTGGAAGGTCAGTCTTGCTCTGGTATTACGTTCAGGGAAGAAGAGTCAGATTGTGCGAAATATTACTTATGTATGAATGGACAATACGTGCAGCTGTCGTGTCCGGCGCCACTCGTCTGGAATCAGGTAACGCATACTGTTTCTAGATAGTGGTTTGGATTTTAGACATTTTTAATTATTTGATACACTTTAAATAATAATTATTCTTTTCAATTTTAAAATAATTAGCCATTTTTTGTAAATATATAAAATATGTATATTTAAATTTATCTTGTCGTTGCTTATTTAAATTTCAATTTTACATATCACTTAAGTAGTTATATATGGATGTAATTAGTACGTATTGTTAAAATTCTAATTTTGTATATATTTATGATAAAACATGAATTTAAAATACCTGCGTTATTTATCAAAGTATAAAGTAGAACATATATTAATAACATATTATTTAGGTACTATTACCATTATATATTTCGTTTACATAATTTGTATACATGTATTTATAGAATCACTGCGATTTCCCAAATAAATCCAAATGCAAGGGGAAGACGAGTTTGAGGATAACGGACGGTAACAACGAGGTCGAATCTGAACTGAGACCTATCGTCGCATGCTACTTTACTAACTGGGCTTATTATAGGTAAGAGATAAATAATAAATTCTGTCGAAAACGATTTTTTATAATAAATTACTATGTTATATATTATGACCAGCATTGCCCGCGGCTCCGCCCGCGTTCAAATGAGAAAAACCTAATTCTTAGGTTTTACATATTAGTATACTCTTACATTGCAGTTTTTGTATTTTTTCTCAGAAATCAGATATTTTCCCGCGGTAAAAAGTATCCTATATGTTGACCCGGATAACCAGCTATCACCATACCCAATTTCATCAAAATCCCTCCAGTGGTTTTCCGTGATGCGGTAACAGACAGACAGACAGACAGACAGAAAGACAAACAGACAGACAAAAATTCTAAAAACTATAGATTCGGCCTCTGTATCGATAATAAAGTCTATTTCAATGAAATTTTCCAAAAAATATTTTCAATAAGTGTTGATAATGAGGACATTTATGACGCAATATCTGTTTGTGTCTCTTAAAGCTGATGAAATATGTTAATGTATATAGAGATATAGATAGGGCTTTCAATTAATTATTTTGAAAAAATGAAGCCGGTTCCACTGTATAGTAATATCCACAAATCGAAATCGGTTTTGGTAGAAAAATTTTGAACTTAGGAATCTGATATAAGCCGAAATTCGATCGAAGCTTCGATTTATTCAGGCAACATCAGACAAGTAATGCCTGTTAGTACGTTTTATTCTGCTGAGAAAAAGGCAATGAATCGAGTAACCGCCATAAGTCCCTTAACAGGATAGTATACAGAATTAAAGTATTTCTTATGCCAAATATCAAGTATTAATTTGACCAGAATAATTATTACATTTATTCATCCCTTTAGGAGATAAATAGTAATTTCAAAAATCCACAGTCCTATCGATTACTAACTAATATTATGTACCTATGTTATTATAGAAATATCATTCGGCTGCCAAAATTTCAGCTCTTTAAATCTAGTGGTTTGGTCCTTTGTTATACCGGTCAGGATAATTTTTACATAATATACACATTATACATATGTTTGTATGTGACAGTACTTATATCTACATAAACAGCTATTTGACTTATTAACTAATTATTAACAGACAAGGCAATGGCAGTTTCGGACCGGAACAGATAGAGCCCTCTTGGTGCTCTCACATCATTTACTCTTGGGCGCATCTCGACGGTGATACCTACACAGTCGTTGCCGGTAATCCAGAGTTGGATATTAGCAATGGTAAATAAATAGTATTACTCTCTATATTAGATATGTATGTATATTTTTAGAACTTATTATAAATTGTTTAATTGCATTTTAGATTTCTACGGCAAAATAACTGAGCTCAAACTGAAAGGCGTAAAAGTAATCCTAGGAGTTGGTGGTATTGAAAACTCCATAGATGGTAAATGGAGTCGTATGGCTGCAAAGTCAGATAGAAGGAGAACATTTGTTAAATCCGTCATTAGATTCATACAAAAATGGAAATTCGACGGAGTTCAAATTGCTTGGCAATATCCTGTATGCAAAGAGGTTAGAAGAATTTCTCACAAATTCATTCCAATCCAATTTTATTTTTATTTCTTTTTAAAGTTCCTACACAAGCTAAAGGAAATCGGTTAACTCTATACTTATATTTAATTCTAATTTACAGGCTCCTTGTTCTGAAACGGATGCAGCAGACAGGGACAATTTCAGTATCTTATTAGTAGAATTGTCAAAAAATTTCCGTCGTCACAATTTGGAGCTTTCCGCTATAGTAGCACCTAATCCCGAAGTAGCGGCGGTGGCGTACCAGCCCACCGTGCTCACCGCTGCACTGGACTGGGTCGCTGTCGCGGCCAATGATTACTACGAGTCTAATTCAAAGAGAACAGCCTATCTTTTACCTATGACGTCTAGTGATCCGTATAAATTGGATAATCTGGTAAATAAACAACCTATTTTTTAGCTTTTCTGAAATTCAGGTTAGGGAACAAGTAGGTATATCCCTTGGCTGTAACGAACACTTTAACCGAATTATCTTTAGCATGACTAAGAATGGCATAATTAGTTGACTAAATTTAAAGTTATAAGTTCACGATACTATGCATCATAATAATTTACTAAGCAAAATGTACAGAGACACCTGTTTGAAGCCACAGGCATAGTGCTCAAAGAAATAAATGTTCATATTCATTTACAGCAAACTATACTCGAGTTCTGGTCGAATATAATCCCAACGCGTCAGCTAGTGATAGGCCTGCCGGCATACGCGCGCTCGTACACGCTGCGCAGCGAGCACAGCGCCGGTCTGGGCGCACCTGTCGCCGGGGCCGGCACTCCTGGACCCTATACCAGAATACCTGGCTTCCTGGCATACTATGAGGTACATACATTATTACACTTAAGATTCACAACATATTTATTAATCACTCACAGATAATTTAGAAGATGTTAGAAGAAAGTCTCCGGATAGATGTTACCTGTGTGTTTTTATCGTCTATACAATGGAGAATTTTCTGATGAACTGTTTGATCTGGCATCACTGTCGCGTTTCTATCATCGTACCCTCCATCGTTGGGTTGGATGTCACCCACAAATCCTAGATGTTTGACATCTGACAAATCTACTTGCTTCATATTCATTTCTGCGCCGCATTTGTAAATTGTGGGTCATCGAGGTATCTTAAAGGCCAGCAACACATACGCAACTTATATTGCTGATATTCAGTTTATGTTGTTTGCATGATGGTAGGTAACGGGCTATTGTCGCCCATAGACATCCGCTCGTTTTCCCTTTCTATAAAGAAAGATTTTACAAAATATTTAACATTTCATTACATATATTCTAAGTTACTATTTGTCCTTCTCATACGAAATAATTAACTTGAACCACAGATTTGTGAATCCAAGTCCAACTGGAAGGAGACGTCAAACAGCGAAGGCACGTATGCGGTAAGTTCTTCGCAGTGGATTTCTTACTTGCGGCCGGAGGACATGCGCGCGGCGGGCGCGGCGGCGACGCGTGCACAGCTGCGCGGCGCTGCCCTGTGGGCCCTGGACCTGGACGAGTGGCGCGGCGCGTGCGCGTGCTCGCTGCTCTCCGCCCTAAGGCAAGGTCTACTCGAACCGAACATAAATACTCTTGTATGTTAATATTATAAAATACTACGCGGTGTACTATAATTGTAACACCAAAATATTGGAGTTTGTTTGTTAAGCTCAATACACGGTGCGTATTGATGATTTTAGTCTCTTATCATTTTATAGAGCTGATGATTTGATTAACGATTTGATGCTTTGATTACGACCTATTGATATGCTCAAATTATATTTACCAATGGTTTGTAATTGAACTTTGCTACGTGTAACAATCTTAAAAATAAAATTAATAATTAATAGGTAAATATAAATGAACTAAATGTCTTTCGAATCAAATGATGTAATATACTATTTATAGATTATGAATGTTAACAAATTACCTAGATTTTTTTATAATATTATAGTATTTGAAGATACTCGATAACTAACCTACATCAATCTGTAAATATAAATACTTTTTTGATACCGTCCTCCCGCAATATATTGTGGTCAGTCTACAGTTGCAGCATGTCATTAGATTTGATACAAAAACTAATATTAAGTAACAAAAATTTCCAAATGTATGTAATAATCATGAATTGGGAACAAAATTTTAAGCCTATGTTTTATAGTAACTTAGATATAATGTTACTCATTTTGAAGACTTAAAAATATTCTTTTTTATAATTCTTAGCATGTATGTATGATAAAATTTTCATAAAATTAAAAAGTGATAGATCCTCATAAAATATAAGATACAATGTTTATAAATAAGGTGATAAATATAAGTTAACTAATAGGTTGTACATTTACTTGTGACTTTCTTTAGATAAGAAATTCGTATACAGCGCTCATTATTTGATCCTGTCATTAATTTGTACTTGGAAAAAAAATGATTTTTATGAGTAAATAATGAAAAGGAATAATTTATTTTATTTTCTACCAAGGATAATGCTTCCCTCATAACTACATAACGTATTTTAAGATACCGATATACATACAAAGGGATGGCCTCCGGATAATACGTAGAGACTATGGAAAATATTAAAAACTAAAAGAAGGTTATGGAATGGAGTTTGGATGGGCTAAAAACTGAGCTATTGGATGAGACTGCCGGAAGTCCGCCTCTTCAATAGTCTCAGATTGAATATTTGACGGTTGGTGACTCGCCTCCCATTAAATGGGCCCCCACAAAGCCTAATGCCTTGGGCGCAACATTAATGTGGTCGGCTAAGGATGTTGAAAGGTGTGCAATATCTTTTCGGATTATTTCGCGGATTTATTTTGATATGTGGTTCCCGACCGAGAGAGACTAAGGTTTTAAACGTCTCAAAGGCGTTATATACTTGTTACAGACAGAGCCTACCCACAATTTTACAAAAAAATATTTCAAAAATTCAAAAATGGCACCAAAGTACCTTACAATATTTGTTGATTTTAATTCTAAACATTTTATAATTGTTTTATAAGTATTATAATTAAATACAGCAATATTGTTTATTTAATTTCAGCTATTATTATAAATATTACATTTTTTTAAAGTTATTTAGTAATCTATACCTACAGATAAATAAAATTGAAGTGTCTGTTTGTAATGTTAAATTATCAGCTTTTTTACTAAATGCTTATGGAATTATATACAAAAAACATTTTTTTAATTTTTGTCTGTCTGTCTGTTTGTTCTGATCTCAGAAACGGCTGGGCCGATTTTAGCGGGACTTTCACTGGCAGGTAGTTGATGTTATAAGGAGTAACATAAGCTAATTTTATTTCAGTAAAAGAATTAGGATTCCAGTTAAAAAAAAATGTACCTAGGGACGAACCCGAGGGAAGCGAGGGTGAGTCGCTAGTTATTAATAATAAATAATTTAAGTATTATATATAAATATTATCTATATTGATATCAATTTAAACCGCAAGATAAATTATATACGGCTAGTATTACAATTATCACCTTAAGGACCCATTGTCTAGCTCTAGAAGAAGTATCACAGATTGATGTTGGTGCATTTTCACCATTGATATAAGATAGGTTTTCCGATAAACAAAAAAAATTGACCTCCTTTGAATTGAATTCAGACCAAATATGTCATATATATGTAAATTAAAGTGAATTTCATTAATATTAATAGCGTAATAAACATTTATTGGGTAAGCATTGGTCGCGGTGACATCGAGGATGTAGCATGTACTGTATTATTGGTATTTTCAATAGACAAAAGATGATTTGCAAATTACATTTGCCATTAAGAGTTAACACTAGTAAGCGTTATATAAAGTTATTCTTGAGAAGTGACTTGAAAAAACTGCATACAAAGGTAAGTATGTTGTTTCTTTACTTCCAAAAAGGAGGAGGTTCTATGTTCGTCTGTACGTATGTTTTTTGGACATACGTACAAATAGTACAGAGGGCTGGACCGATTTTGCTACTTTAAACTGTGTAGGTAACTGTGTGGTAAGGTAGGTCACGAGATGATCCTCTAAAATTGTCTAATTTTTTCTTTACCTATATACCTATATAAGGGCACACGGGCCACCGGACCAGGGCCCCCAGCTTTACGGGTGCCCCGCAAAGACAAAATATTCGTTTACATGGAACAGAGAGAAGCTGTCTGTCTGTCTGTTACCGCATCACGGAAAAACCACTTGATAGATTGTGATGAAATTTGGTATAATGATAGCTGATTATCCGGGTCAACATATAGGGTACTTTTTATTGCGGGAAAATATCTCATCTCTGAGAAATCTATACTAAATGTTAAAATGTAAGTAGGGATGAACCCGAGCAAAGCGAGGGTGAGTCGCTAGTCTAATATATAAAATTCTCGTGTCACAATGTTTGTAACTAAGTTACTAACTCCTCCGAAACGGATAGACAGATTCTTATGAAATTTTGTGTGTATATTCAGTAGGTCTGAAAATAGGACGTAAACTATTTTCTATACCCCTAAATAATAAGGGTGGTCCACCCCAAAAAATTTTTTTTATTTTTTGGACATAATTTTTAATTTTAATTTTTTTTTTTATGAATTGGCATTAAAAAATACATACAAACCTAAATTTTCACAATGAGCAAGGGTAAGTCGCTAGTTATAAATATAAAATCAGCCCAGATTTTGTTATATTTTCAAAACAGTAAACATTTCACAAAGAAAATAAACATATATAGTAAAACTGCGTCCGATTGCTGAATAAAGATCTGAGTAAGCTGTGTGAGATAAGAGATTATTAGAATAAATAAAGTATCTTGTTAACGACCCGTTACTACTAATTTACTACTTTAATTTTGCATAACGGCAAAATTCAATAGTTTTTATCTTCGTATAGTTCCCGTCACGTAAAAAGAAAGCTGGCCGTTTACCTGCGCACTAAGCAATTTATATGTCAAAGCAGCATTAATTTTCCCTATTATTTTCTATTATTTTATCATGACTTATACAGTGGGCGTTACAAGGGAAGTGTGGGTTCAAATAAAAGTCGTTGCAATCAAAGTAGTATTTCTAATTAACAATAATCACTTTGTACATAGTTACACAGCACTTCACTACACAACCATATAGCAGTTCACTTCACTATTACCACGTATAGACAATACGGAACGCAAGACAGTTTCTACTAGTGTTCACTGTGCGACCGACCAAGCGTAAATCAGCCGAGCCCGGTCGAGTGTCACGACGTAGACTCTGTCAAGCCCAAAAAGATGGCGCTCGCGTTCCGATTAGTTGTGATTATGACTCGTCTCCGACATATAAATACAATTGGTGGTATGGAAGGAGCGTGACGGGGGAACACTTCGCCGGTATGTCTGTGCGCGCACGCTATTGGTTTATCAGTTGACCCACGTATTGCGCATTACTAGTCTTAACTAAGCAATTATATTTTAGGTGTCAGTAAAAGAAATCCAGATTCCTGTGAAGTGCGGGCATGTAGCAGGCAAATTATGGGGTAATGAACACGAGCAGCCCATACTGGCCTTGCACGGTTGGCGAGACAACGCTAGTACCTGGGACACGCTCGCACCTTTGCTCTGCAATATACGACCGATATTGGCCATTGATTATCTTGGACATGGACATTCCTCGTGGATTCCAGAAGGTAATTTTACTAAACATGGATAACATTGGATTAGTAGCAATGTATTTAAAAATTATGTTGAGTAGAGTCACTACTTTGAACTGTCCTTACCAAAATAAAAATTGTAGATATTATTAATTTATTATTTTCTTTTAGGGATGCAATATCACCCATGGGATTTACCACGATTAATACTACAAATAAAAAAGTATTTTAAATGGGAGAAAATATCACTTTTAGGTCACTCCAAGGGTTCCATTGCCAGTTTACGCTTTGCTTGTCTATTTCCAGGTGATGTAGACTTCTATATCGCTATTGAAAATCTTATTGTAGACGACATTGACTTAGAAAAAATTATGCATAAGTTACCAAAGTCGTTGAAAAACGTAGATGAAATAAAGAAAGAGCCTACTCTCTATACGATGGAAGAAATGATAAAAATGTGGCATTTAGGAAGTTCTAAATCAGTGACGATTGAAAGCGTTTCTTACCTTATTAATCGAACGATAAGAGCAAGTACCTAATTATTATTACTTTACACATGACCCAAGGCTTAAATACTTAATATATAGTGTTGAAAATAAACAATTTATTAAAAAAATAATTACACAATTAAAATGCCCAACTCTGTATATTAAGGGAATGAACTCAACGTACGCTGTTGACGAGTACGCTGTAGCAATGCGTGAACTTATTGCCAAAAATAACAATAATTTCGAATGTCACTTCCTCCCTGGAACACACCATCTGCATTTAAACAACCCTAAGTCAGTGCTACCTTGTATACTAAAATTCTTAGGAAAACATAAATTTATTAAATAACTAGCATTGCCCGCGGCTCTGCCCGCGTTCAGATGACCAACGTATATTATAGTATGGTTTCCAAGCGATGCTGCTGGCTAGTTTGCCCACATTAGACCTCGAGCCATTCTTTTCAAAAGGTTATCTTTCTCGTTATCCACAACTACCAAGGGAATTGTTCTTCCGGTCCACTCTACTCTTACACCTTCAGTGGAAGACCTCCAGCAGCAGGCTGTCCCGTATTTCCTCAACAAGGAATTTTCTTCAATAATTGGACCCAGTTATGCAAAAAAACAGCCATGTGCGTAAAAGTACCAACAGAGTTATAAGCATTTTATTATAAAAAATTAAATAATTATAAAAAATAAGCAATACTTATATCAATATTATTCAATTTTAAAGTAACCAGAAAAACAAAACAACAAGTGCAAGTATCGAAAGAAAAATGCTTAGGTATAACTCTGTTGGTACTTTTACAGACATGGCTGTTTTTTGCATAACTGGGTCCAATTTTCATTCTTTACAAATTTAAAGTAATATAAATATGAAATGTTGTTTTTTTTCTTTTCAAAATTGATTTAAATTAATATTGTAAATTAATGACATGTTATGTAGGCTTATTAGATCGCATGTATTCAGACACTGAATAAAATTATTATTGTTATTTTGTATCAACTATTTATATTATTGTATTAAAATGCTGGCGTAACAAAATAATGAAGTTTTATTTAAAATGCTGCTTTATCAGACTTCTATTAAAGATGTCAAAGTTTATTTGTGATTGTATGTTTGTTTGTTACTCCTTCGAAAAGGCTGGATAGATTTGGCTAAAATTTAGTATAATATTAATATAATATAAAAAATAGTAAAATATTATAGTAGTAGTAATATTATAATATTAACACATAATTTAGTATTATACTGTATACGACCTCCAAGTCGTATTTTATCTGCATAGAAACTCTCATCTTAATCTACCTATAGGTACATATAATAAAATCTAAGTTGAATCTGTACATTAAATATTTTTTGGAAAATATTATTGAAATAGACATTATTATCGATACAGAGGCCGAATCTATAGTTTTAGAATTTTTGTCTGTCTGTCTGTCTGTTACCGCATCACAGAAAAACCACTGGAGGGATTTTGATGAAATTTGGTATGGTGATAACAGGTTATCCGGGTCAACATATAGGATACTTTTTATCGCGGGAAAATATCTCATTTCTGAGAAAAAATACAAAAACTGCAACGTAAGAGTATACTAATATGTAAAACCTAAGAATGTGGTTTTTGGTCATCTGAACGCGGGCGGAGCCGCGGGCAATGCTAGTGAGAATATAATATTGTCAAATCAACCTTACATTTACTTAAAATTTGAAGTTAGTGTGACAGTTTTAGGTATATTATTGCTCCTATACCTAATGAACGTTAAACATTAAAGATATGGTCCTCAATAGGCAACTACATATATATCATGAATTTCCACTATTTCATGGTATTATCAATTCTACAATCCAAGGGATTCCAGTTTCCAAGCCGTTTAGTGTAAAAGCGCCTTAGAATCCAATCTCCATCACAGAACGCGTTATAATAAAAGTATAGGCGACTTTTGTTTTCTGAGACAGTAGGGTTTCTTATTTGCAGAATATGTACAAAGAAGCGGCTTGAAATTCCATGAACTTTCTTTAATATATTTAAGGAACAAATAAACATTGTGTTATTTATTTATTTGTCCAAGTTTTCGTGGTTTTTGATTTGTTGGATTTGTCTCCACCCCGAATAACAGAATAATTATGAAAATAAAGGATTGATTCCAGAACAAAAAAACTTACATGGCTAACGCTAATAACTATTTAAAACGTACAGGGACGAAGTGAGCCGCTAGTATATTATATTTTTGACAAAATAAATGTTTGAGCGAATGTGCAAGGCCCTTAATTGTGCACTTATTTCAGACTTTGTTTATACAGTATTGCGCCATGAATAAACATGTCGTGTACATATAATATGTAAAGCAGAATTTATTTCTTTAATGAATTACAAATTAATTTTTAATACACTAAACTTTGTACGTTACATTAAATTGTAATTCAATATTTTAAGCGAATAAATTTATAGTTATACTGGTAGCTTCTAGTGACACATGATGGCTAGGAAATTATTTACACCTTTAATAGAAAACCCTATAAAGCCCCTTATAAGATTCATGAACCGTAATTTTAAAAACGTACATACAAAGGTAGGTTACGATCTTATATTTTGTATTTTTATTTTATTTATATTATTATTATAAATGTGTACCGTATTAAAAATATTATATAGTACCTATGGAATGTTTACTTTAAATAATTGCCAATATTATCGTCAAACTTAGACAAGACTAGTTATTGCAAGCGGCATCGCTTGCATAAATTGTAATTTTAATTTCTATTAAATCTATAGTTTTTTTTTATTAATTTCCAGGTAAAAGAGTTCATTTGTTTAAAAAAATGTTTAACTTGGACTAAATAAATAATAGATATCAAGCTATACTAATTGATTCAAACAGCAGTATCCAAAAGTACAGGCATACTTCATAATTCATACTGCAAACATTATAAGACGTAAACCCCATTTTTACGTAAACATTACCAGAAAATAATTTTATTTTCTTTACAAACACAGGTATATCTTAATATTGTTAAAAACGTAACGACGTAACAATGCTGCATTGATAATATTTAAAAATGAAGATATTATTATTACATTTTCATTAATTAGTATTATAATACTTTCTTAGATTTACGCGAATATTATACATTTTAAATTAAACTATTTAAAATGTCAAATATTCGGATTATTTCGCGGATTTTATTTTGATTTTTGGTTCCCGATGTTTCGAATGCTTTACAGCAATCATGGTCACGAGAGAGACTGAGGTGTTAGATGTCTCGAAGGTATAGTTGTTACAGACAGCCTACCCACAATTAACAAAATGATTCATTTTAATAATCCGAAAAGATAGTTTTAATTAGTATTACTTAGGAAAAGTAACTTAATGAAATTTAAGAAATACTTATATTTTACATAGGTATCAGTTAAAGAAGTCAAAATTCCTATGAAATGGGGACATATAGCAGGTAAACTATGGGGTAATGAATACGAGCGTCCCATATTAGCCTTGCACGGCTGGCAAGACAACGCAGGCACATGGGACACCCTCGCACCTTTGCTCTGCAATAAACGCCCGATATTGGCCATTGATTTTTATGGACATGGACATTCCTCTTGGATCCCGGAAGATAATTTTACGTAAATAGTTTTTTTTATTAGCTACTTATAATACACTAAATAAGTAAATTAAGAAATGTTCAGTCTTGATTATTATTAAAAATTCAAACGTGTATTATTCATTTGTAAAAGTCACAAGGATATTTTTGTTGTGGTAGATATTCCAATTAACGAAAAATCTGTCAATTTTAAAAATTAGGTACTTTTCACCCAAAACGCAACGCAACTAGATTTATTTTACAACAGCTCCAAAAAAAGCCTCGGGTATATCGCGTGTATTCCTAATACTTAAACAAAAAGGTTCCCAAAGAATTAAGAATCAAATTATCAAGAACTTTCTCTTCTGTCTCAAATCCAAAATTAATACTACTCGAGAAAGATATTTAGTGAATGAGAAAAGAATAAGAACAAAGGGTTCATGCAAGAAGGCAAATAGAAAGTTTTTTAAATTTATTTTTATAATTTATTTGTGCAATAAAGAATATATATATATATATATATATATATATATATATATATATATATATATATATATATATAAAATCGTGTCATATGATTTTTTACATGAAAATTTGTCATACTTTTTATACTAAATTTAACTTATTATATACTAAAATTTTTAATATTTCATCAATTTTATAATAATTTCATTAAAAAAAAGATTTTTAAGTTAAAAATATAAAATATCCATTTGTGTATTTTTAGGAATGCAGTACTACCCTTGGGATTTACCACGAATAATACTACAAGTAAAAGATTATTTTCAATGGGACAAAGTATCACTTTTAGGTCACTCCAAGGGTGCCGTTGCCAGTTTACGCTTTGCGTGTTTATTCCCAAAAAACATAGATTTCTTTATAGCTGTTGAAAATCTTATTGTAGACGATCATAACTTGGAAAAATTTGTGACTATGTTACCAAGTATATTGAAAAAAGAGCATGTAATAAAGAACGATCCACCTATATATACGTTGGAGGAAATGATTCAAAAGTGGCATTTAGCCACTTCTAAATCAGTCTCAATTGAAAGCGTCCCTCATCTTATTAATCGAGCGGCAAAAGAATCAAGTAAAGTACCTAATAAGTACTATTTTACACAAGATCCAAGAATAAAATATTGTATATTCGGTGTTGAGAATAAAATATTTATTGAAAGTTTAATTAAACGATTGAAATGCCCAACTCTTTATATCAAAGGAATCGACTCTACGTACGCCATTAACGAGTATTCGGTATATATTCGTGAGCTCATTGCTAAGAATAACAGTGAATTTGAATGTCAATTTCTACATGGGACACATCATCTGCATTTAAATAATCCGACGTTAATATTACCCTATATAATAAAATTCTTAGAAAATCATAAATTTATAAAATAAATTAACAAAATATTCTTTTAATATACACCTTTGCTAGTTATAGCGCGCTTTCCCAAGAGCCTGCCGAGTGTTATTAAGCGCAAGACGAATTTACCCTACTACGCTATGAGTATTTATTGATAAGACCGTAATTACCTACTCAATAAACGTTTTTCATTTTTACCCGATTACAGCGAAGCCCAAAGTAGGGTTTTAATGTGTTTGACCTGTATGTATGTACCTATGTAGGTATTATATCCGACTCTATGTTCCCTCGTAATTACTACACGGCTTAACCAATTTTAATCATTCATACGCCGTTCGATTTGTCTTGATAACTCGAATGTCATAGGATGTATATATACATATGTAGATAATAGATATCATTAAAAATCAAAATAGCTGATCTAAGGCGTCAATTTGTCTTGAAAAAGACTTTAATGTCGAAACAGAGTGATGAATTGGCGTAATTTTTTGTGTATAGTTGAAGGGCTGAAACTACTTTTTACTGTGGGAGATTATCTCATTACCACGGGAAAACAAGTTAAAATACAACGCACAACATCTATCTCTTTCATACTAACCGTTAAAACTTACCTACGTTAGGGACAAACCCGAGCGAAACGAGGGTGAGTCGCTAGTTATTAAATAAAACTAAAAATGTCTAACTGACCAAAACTAAAAAGTTTTAAATTAAAAATTAATTTACAAAAATAAAAATAAACCGACTGCATAAAAGTGAAATAAAAAGGTGAGAACAAGTTACCAAATTAGACATAACATTTAGGAAGTCGGAGTCATACACACATGCAGCTTTTATAACACATGTACAATGTACATGTTAGTTTTCAAATAAGTAGGTTCCTCAAAATAACCCTACATGTATTTACATAAATTTTAGTTACCATTCCTGAATGCTGCCTAAAATAAATATAGCTGCATAATACTATTTTTCTTCGTGAACCTCATCTTTTTAGTTCGCTTTATACGCAGTCAGGTTTTTTATTTTTATAATTCTTTTTTATTATACGTTACATAGATGCAATCCAAACAAAAAACGCTTAAGTCATATTTATAAATAATATGTGTCAAATAGTAAAATGCAATAATATTAATAAGTGAATAATTTATCATGAAGTGATTTTCCTAATGACTGTATTAGAAACTGTCTATATTTTAAACTCGCTAACTTTTTCGGTCGAAGTTAGTTTTGCAAATAAAATATAGAGATCCCCTTTTACACACTAAAATAGTAATTATTTTTCTATAGATTTCAGCTAAAATACATTAAAATTAAAATATACCTACAACTACTAGTAAAGTTGGATAAGGTGTAATATATAATTTTAAGCAGGTATATAGGTATTGTAATTAACTAGCCAAAAAAGAATGATATAACATACATTAATAACACAGGAAGTTAAACATAACACTGAATAATATGTAATATATGTTAACGTTTGTAATTTTAGGTATATTTTAATTATTGAAATATTGCATGCTGTAAGGCTGAATTTGGCTGAACATTAAATATATTATTATCAAAATCTAAATGTATGTACTAACCCAAGTTCGCAATAAAGTGTTTGATTTGATTTGATTTGAAAAAAGTAAACTAAGTTAAGATTTATAATTTTCGAGCTCTACATTTTTTATAGAATATTCCTTATTGTTTAGAAACAGAATCAAAAATAAAAAATAAAAATATCTAATCTTGCAATTCACATAAGTAATATAATATGAAAAAGAAAAACAAACAATATTACGTTTGTCCTTTACCCACCAGATGGTGACTCAATAAATCAATAATCCCTTTCAAGGAAATGTAGAGTACTTCTCTGTCATGTCATCACATGGAAAACAATGAATTTGATTTTTCCAACTAGATCCAAATAGAGATGGTATTTGTACCAAGCCCGATAGTCTGTACTCTGTAGTATACTACATATAGCAATATTGTGTAGCGTAGCAGTTACAATAGACAATAGAAACTTATGTAATCAGTAAAAAACATGATGGTGATAATATCCATTAAAGATTTGAACGTTTGCGTAAATATACGTATGAAAAGTGAAAATAATCTCAGAAAGGTCCAAAGTCCCTATTCGCTATATACTTAACCAATAACCTTGGTTATAATAGAGCATCGTATGATCGTGCCATGACTAACGTTTACGGTTTTAGTATTAATCGCGTTGTAGACTTGTAGGTTATGAAATACAATGTTTAACTGTGTGTGTGAAAATAATATTTTATGCAAGTTTCATTGGCTACTCAGATCTGTAGTTTCGATGAAAAAAATTGCTATATTTATATAACTAAATTCTGTTAATTTCTTTATCTCATAAAGTAAACAGTTTTGGAGTCGGTACTGCAGTTACGTCAATGATACTCTTGCCCTTGGTATTTCCTAGTGACACAAGATGGCTCGCAAATTATTTTCTTCGTTAATAATAAACCCTAATAAAAGCTGCATAAGACCGATATTCCTGCAAAGCAATACAAATAAACTACATACAGAGGTATGTTCTAACTAAATATTCTTGTTTTAAATATATAAGTTAACATTGAATAATTATAAGAAATTAAAGACAATTATAAAAATATAGTACTAAATAAAGAAAAAATATAATTTCATAAAATTTTATAATAAAATCGACAATCAATTAGTTTTGTAATTGTATATTTATTACTAAGTTAAATTATATACCTATACCTATTTATAGATAGCATCTAAGCTAGCTAGATTAAATTAAAAAAAAACTGTACCTACGAATAATTATTTGGTATGATTAGCTCATGAATCGATTTATTATAATTTATATGATGCAATAGTTAAATTTATAAAATATATTTTAGGTATCAGTAAAAGAAGTTCAAATTCCTGTGAAATGGGGGCATTTAGCATGTAAACTATGGGGTAATGAACACGAACGACCCATACTAGCCTTGCACGGCTGGCAAGACAACGCCGGTACCTGGGACCCTCTTGCGCCTTTACTATACAGTAATAGTAAACGTCCGATACTGGCCATTGATTTCCCTGGACATGGGCTTTCTTCGTGGATTCCAGAAGGTATTGCTGCTAATAATAATATATATTATATCTAATATTATGTTATCTTATAATAAGTATAGATATTTAGAACTTTTCAGTATCTCGTTAGTCTTTTCATACTTTTAGTACCTGTAAATTACATTAGTCTTGGCAAACTAAAAAATTAAATACTTTATCCCTTTATCTTATACTAGGGACTCACCCTCGCTCAAGCACAGATCCAGGGGGGAGGGGAGGGGGGGGTTTGTCATGGGCGTCATAACCCCACCCAAAGCAAATATACTTTTTAGAGAAGTTTGAAGTCTAAGAATGGAAGAAATAAACGGATAAACATTTAAAAAAAATGGTTATTATATGTATTTTGAAGATTATATTCTTCTAGTTTTATGAATATCAAAAAGTTTTTGCAGAAATCTATATACATATCATAAAATTGTAACTAAGTCGAATCTGTACATTAAACATTTTTTGGAAAATCTAATTGAAATAGACATTATTATCGATACAGAGTCCGAATCTATATTCTATATAATCTATATGAACCCCCCGAAAATTTAACTCTGGATCCGCGCCTGCCCTCGCTTCGCTCGGATTGGTCACTAGCTACGTTTTAAATTAAAATGAGTATAGTATGTTGTCCTTAAGAGATAGACATGTGCCATCGCGGACTTTTCTGTAGACCTATATAAAATACACAATTCCACCATACATTATTTTGTTATACTCGTATCTCAAAGGGTTTAGGCAGCGTTTTTGTGGAAAGCTCCCAGGTACACCTCCAACAAATATCTTATATTTTAGCCAATGTATACAAAAATTAACAAATTATATACTTAAACCTTCCTCGAGAACCACTCTATCCATTGGTGAAAACAGCATGAAAATCGGTGCAGTTTTTGAGTTTGTCGCGAACAGACAGACAGACGCGGCGGAGGACTTTGTTTTATAATATTTCGCAAAACGTTATCTATTGTTGCTATGCTCGTATGTACGTACGGACATAATTCCTACCAAATATTATGATAATTTCCATTATGTTGTAGCCCGTGTTAACCATGCATGTGAATAAAAAAATGTGAATGAAATATGAATGCGATCCTCTATGTATATAATACAGGCTACTTTAATAATAATTAATAAAAAATATTTTTTAGGAATGCAGTACTATCCATGGGATTTACCACGTTTAATACTACAAATAAAAGATTATTTTAAATGGGACAAAGTATCACTTTTAAGTCACTCGATGGGTTCTATAGCTGGCATGCGTTTTGCGTGTGTGTTCCCAGATGACGTAGACTTTTATGTAGCTGTAGATAGCCTTATCTTGGACGATTACGACTTGAAGCAAATTGTAGAAAATTTACCAAGCCTATTAAGAAAAATACAAAAAACACAGGAACTAAAAGGTGAGCCCCCAGTCTATACAATGGAAGAAATTATCAAAATATGGCATATGGGCACAGCGAAGTCAGTATCAATGGAAAGTGTCCCTTATCTAACGAAACGAGGAACGAAAGAATCGACTACAGTACCTAATAAATATTACTTTTCACGTGATCCAAGACTAAAATGCTCTATATTTAGTGTCGAGAATAAAAAATTTATTGAGACTTTAATAAGACGACTAAAGTGCCCAACACTGTACATCAAAGGCACAGACTCTCCATATGGTGTGGACGAATATTCTGTTGAGATGCGTGAATTAGTTGCAAAGAATAACCCCGAATTTGAAAGCCATTTTCTTCCTGGAACACATCATCTTCATTTAAACAACCCTGAGTTAGTGTTGCCTCATATATTAAAATTTCTAAAAAAATACAAGTTTATATAACAAGAATAATATTATTTAAAATTTATATATTAAAGCGTTCACTTACTATCAGATGTACACAACTTACTATGTATTACAACAAATAATTAAAATTGCAATTGGAAGAAACTATGGTTTATATATTTATAAAGACAATTTTATATCAAGAACTCAATATCTTCTTACAATTTAATTATACTCAATAATGTTTGTTTTCTGCAAATAATACAGAAAAAATCAAAACTAAACTTAAAATGCAATGAAAAGCGGTTATATTAAAAAAAAATTTTTTTTGCAAGGTTGTAGTTGTATTTTAAGAAACTTTTTGTATAAACTGTTACATTTTATTAAATATTATTTATTGTATAACAGTAAATGTATTATAATATATATTTTGTTGCTAAAAATGAGTTTATTTATCGTCTAACTATTAAGGTCATTGTTTAAAGAAATGTCTATGCTGGATGAATCATTGCTGCCAGAGTCGCACACGTGTACTCCTTTTCTTACAGGTAACACATTAATCAGGGCTTCTTGCCATGACATTCCTTCACATACTCTTAGTACAATCTCGAAAACTGAAAAAAAAAATGAAGAAAGTCAAGAAAAATAAATAATAATATAGTAATGAGGTTAAATATGAGTACTAATATTTTATAAAGTCTGACGAATAAGAATTTATACCAAAAAAAGAATTATTTTTTATAAGTGCGTCCAAATCTTCTTGCTTTATTTCCTCATACTGTAAAAACTAAAATTATTGCTTACTAATTAGAAATGACAGTGAAAAGTTGCAGGTATTTACTATTTTTACATTTTATGTAAAAAATTGTAATTATGTCATTAAATCAATTATATGCAATCATATAATTGTAATAATTAACCATGTGTAATTAGGTAAATTTATATAAGTTTATTAATAAAAGTTTAATTATAAAAAAATATATATTGTTACTCATACCATGATCAATGGTCAAAACTTTCCTAGTTTTCATATTAACATATTTACTTAATGGTAACTGACCATGTCTTATTCCTTGTTCAACAGCAATACTATGACAAAGTCCCTGTAAATTAATTTTATTTTGTGATGAGTGATATTTATTATTTATACATAATGATATAAAGAAACTCATGGAGACTGCCGACAAAAGTGTAAACTTTAGAATAACTGTTTTTTTTTAATTTGTAAATTTTCTGAATAACTTCAAACAAAGGAGCAGTTAAATGTCTAATGACAGATTGTTGCGTTTAGTGGGATACAGAAAAAAAAATAAAAAAATTGTTAATTAATTAAGGTTCAAATAATTAAAATTTCATAATTTTGAAATTGAAATTATTATTAGTCTGGTTTTCACATCCATGGGCACTCTGAGCAATAATTATTATTTACATTTTGATATACATAGTTTATATATTAATCAAATTAGTCTGCCCCAGACTACATTGACAAGTTACATGTCACATGTAGCATGTCAGTGATGTGAACCCACAAGTTACCCTACCCAAAATTGCTTAACATAGCTAAAGAAGGTTTCACTTCAAAAATTATGATTTTAATATGGAAAATTATGTTTGTAGAACTCTCTCTTTTTTTTCACGAGCAGAAAAAATAAAGGATCTATAAAGTTCAAGTATATACATATTATGCTTATGTCATGCATAACTTTTTCCTCAGAAAAAGGTCTCACAAAGTCCAGCACAGTTATGCAGTGATATGAGTTATTTTAATAAATTTTTAAGTCACCTTATGTTGATTGTGGTCAACTAATCCTCCTATAATATAATAGGTGTCTTCTTCAAATTCTTCAATTACATTATCTGATTCGCTGGTTAAATAAAAAAGTTTTTCTTTTGGAAATACATCCAGATAATTTTTTTCATGGTAGACTATCTGAAATATAAAACATTACATATGAACAAATTGTAATTATGGTTCTGATTAAGAAAAAATGCTTTTTTTTGTCTATTTTAAGCAAATGTGAATTTAAAAGAGATAATAATTACAAAAACTTACATCCCAATTTTCATAACCATTATGTCTTGACATATCAATTTTTGTTTTTTCTCCAAGACTTGTTATAAAAAATTGTAAAGGTGATTCTGACCGCCTGTTAATAGAATAACATCTTAAAATTTGTTTGATCACTTTATACCTGTCTTTTTCAATCATCAAATTATCAAAACTAAGATCTACAATGATCCCAGTGGTTCTTTTTGGTTTTTCTAACTTCATTTTCTTTAACACTTTTCTGTTAGGTCCTAAATCTATATTTGCCGCTTTTGCTTCTCTTCTTCTTTGTTTAGCACGTGCTTTCTCTTTACTACGTTTTTCTGCTTTACTATTTTCCCATCTTACTTTCTTCAACCACTTACGCATTTGACTTTTTGTAAAGGGTCTTGGTAGTTCAATTCCCTCATCATTTTTTAATCCAGGGTCAATTTTAATGTCAAAAAGTGTTAATTGTGGGAAATGAAATTCATTAATAATTTTATCTGTTAATTCAGTAGATATTGCTGCCTCCATTTATTCTATTCTATTCTATTCCTCCATTTATTAAAAAATATAAATCATATAAACTAATTGACACTTAACAATTCATTGAATAATCGTTTTAAATAAGACTTAATATTTTAATATTAAATAACCGGTTGAAAAAAAAACAGTTTACATAATTCTAATGACTGTTTTATTTTAATAAATATAGTTGAATTAAATATATTATAAATTATTACTAGCGTTTTATCTTATAACCAAAACACCAACATTGAACATGTGTATGTGACAAATGACAATTGACAACGTCAATCATCATTGCCTTTTATAGACCACAGGATCTCCAAGGACCACAGATAAGGACCACATACTTGCTAATAGTCCCTGTTTTCAATTACAGCACTAAAGCGCACTATGCGACATAATGCTCAACTTAAATATTTCAACTACAAGAACGCTCCGCACAATCAAGCACTTTGAAAAGTACTGCATTGGCGTGAGGCACACAACAGATACCAACTCAGTAGCAGAAAATATGAGAAGTGTTGTTTCCCGTTGTTCGTGTTTGTGCGCCAAAGGGCGGCATTCTGGCACAAAAAGTAACTATTTTTTATTTAAACATAAACTAGGACCACCAAATGAGTGCATGTTAACAAAATATAGCGAATTAATAGAATTAGAAGAATTACGTAGGTTAAAATGCCGTACCATAGTATAAAATATTATATTAGAAATTCGATTAATCTCTGTTGAATATTTATTGTTGAGTCTAGAACTTCTTTCACATTATTTGTCTCTAGCCACAAATTTAGCTTAGGTGAAATACTGATGTTTCAAATTATTTTATTTTCAATGGAGAGTGAGCTGAGAGCTCTATTTAATACATCGATGCAATACGAAAAAAGTAGAGATAGCCGTATGATGTCTCGTGGCACTTCCATGATATGATAGGTTTGCAATATGAGAATATTGGAAACATGTGGGTACCCGATAAAACTAATAAGAGTTTTATCTTTACCTGTTTAGATCAAAAATATCATAGTATACCTGTAGGTAGAGTAAGTGTGAAACAAATAATAATATTATTGCATAGTTTCGAATAGACAATAAGGATTTTCATATATGTATATCTTTCGCATATTATATTTATCTAATTCTTCCAATGTACTTGTACCTGTTTCCAATACACACTAAGCCTCCACTAGATATTAAGTTGTTAGTATGTTAGTGTTGTATAGTACAAGTACTTAAAGTTAATAAGCGATACCTAAAAAGTATCTAAATATTTATTGACTTTTTATGAGCCTATGTTTGAAAACTATAAATTAGAATTCATTACTATAAAATGAAAGCAATTCTTGCTTGGAGTTAACTATAATCATTGATTTTTGACCCCTGCTAACCTACGTTAGATAAAGATATAGCTGTTCGCTTTCAACCAGTTTCAAAATAGACGTGAGATAATTATCTTTACATTTTTAAGCAAACACTAAATACTACAGTGTTCAAGTACATTACACGTTATATTACACATTACCTTCAAGAGAGGAGATAATTTATACTATGTCTGACGTTAGTGTAGTTTTATATTGTAGAATAATGGCTATTTAGGATAATAATAAAGTTAACAATGATGTTTTTTCGAAATGAAAATCAAAATATCGTGTGTAAAAGTTAAAGTCTAAGATTTCCTTATCCAGGAACGATACCAGCTATGGGGTGGATGTTTTGATGAAGAACCTTCAACAGTATTAAGGCGTCTAAATGATTCCCTTGAAATAGATTCACGTCTCTTTCGAGAGGATATTAAAGGTAGCAAAGCTTGGGCAGCAGAACTTAATCGAAGCGGACATTTGGGCAAAGATGATAACGAAATATTACAATTAGGACTAAACAAAGTAAGTATAAGTTTTACTTATTAAAATATAAAACTAGAAAAATGAACTTTCTAGAACTGCCCTTCCTTAGAAATTTAGTATGCTAACACTGAATAAATATATAATATAAAACTCTATAATTGGTAGATACCAACCCAATTAATAAAATATAAACTGCAACCTATAAGGTAGGTACTCACTATTCTGTTCTTGTTATATAGGTGGAAAAAGATATAGAAAGAGATCTCAGGTATGGGCGTCTAAAAGATGCCGAGGAAGACATTCATTCGGTTGTTGAAAGACGATTAAAAGATTATGCTGGAGAGTCTGCTTTACGTCTACATACTGGTCGAAGCCGCAACGATCAGTCCGCTACCGACACTAAATTATGGATGATGACATCTATTCAAAGAGCGCAGTCCGAGTTATTACGCCTTATCATGGTAAAATTTATTAATAATTTATCAAAATTTTTACTATTAATATTATAAACGCGAAAGTTTGTAAGAATGTATGTATGGATGTATGTTTGTTACTCTTTCACGCAAAAACTACTGAATGGATTTTAATAAAACCTTACAATATATAGCTCATACATCAGAATAATAGATAGACTACTTTTTATCCCGGAAAAATGTACGGTTTTTTAGAGGCGAAACCGAGCGAAGCGAGGGTGAGCCGCTAGTATTCATATAAGATAGAAAATTGTTAGTATACTTAATAAATTGACGACACGTTTGGCTCAGTTTGTAGTGACCCAACTTGCTGTGCCAGCTGTCGCGGGTTCGAGTCCCGTTGGGGTCATTCATTTGTGTGTCGAGCACGAATGTTTGTACTCCAGTCATGGGTGTTTATATTTATAATATGTATGTATTTTAAGTTATATATGTAGTATATCAACTATCAGGTATCCATAACACAACGACTTCTTAGCCCATAGGCGTTGCCATACTATATAAATAAATAAATACATAACACAAGCCTCGTAGCTTACCATGGAACTAGATGGTGCTGTGTGTTAATGTACCAATATATTTATATTTACCAACATACATATTTAAAATACATAAACTATTTATTTTACTTTATAAAGGTATTATCAAAGAGAGCGCGTGAAGAAATTGACGTTATCACTTCGGGATACACTCACTTACAAAGAGCACAACCAATTCGTTGGAGCCACTTTCTGTTAAGGTGAGATTTTCTTCTATAGATATATTTGCTAAAATTACTTTATCCTTTTTCAAGTGATTAAATTATTTATCCTATTTCATTAGTTATGCTTGGATGTTTCGAGACGACTTCATAAGACTAGAAGAACAAAAGAATCGGCTCTCATCATGTCCCCTCGGTAGTGGAGCCATTGCTGGTTGTGCTCTACCCATCGACCGACGAAGATTAGCTCAAAGTCTTGGATTTAACGAAATCACCCCTAACTCTATGTTTGCAGTTGGCTCAAGAGACCATATAGGTACATACATATGTAATCATCTTTGTTTTATCAATTAAGTATATTATTTTATAACAAATAACAATACATAACATCTTACAAGGACTGTGCATAAATCTTGTAAATGCTTTTGTTTTAGTCGAATTTCTCAACTGGGCGTCATTATGCGGAATACATCTTAGCAGATTGGCGGAAGATTTAATAATCTATAGCTCCCAAGAATTTAGCATTATCCAACATTCAGATCAATTTTCTACTGGTTCCAGCCTAATGCCTCAAAAACGAAACCCCGACGGCTTAGAACTCGTCCGTGGAGCTGCTGGACTTTTATTAGGAAATGCATTCTCTTTCACTTGCATATTGAAAGGTTTGCCTAGCACGTATAATAAAGATCTACAGTCTGATAAAGAAATTATTTTCAGATCCTACGATAAATTGATGGACTGTTTTAAAGTAACCACCGGGACCGTCGATACTATGAAAGTGAGTACCTATTTGTCTGTACCTATGTATGAAACCTTGCTATTAACCGACTTTATATAAGTGCCAAATAATCAAATATCACATTTTTTTTAATTATATAAAGTTTTAAATAAAATTCAATATTTACTTTCTATGGTGATATAGGTAGATGCTGCAAAAGCCTTGAAATTATTAGATCCAGGCATGCTAGCAACGGATCTCGCGCATGCTCTAGTACGTCGAGGAGTGCCGTTCCGACGCGCACATCACCTCGTGGGCTCCGCTTTGCGCCGCGCCGCCGCCCTCGGCCTCGACTTGCAGCAACTGCCGCATCATGAATACAATGCAATATGGTATATTACACAGATATCATTCTAAAATTCAAAATAAGAGGACCCATTAAGGACCCATTAAGTACAACACAAGTCACTGCAGTAATATAGGTAAATAATAAATATAGTAACACTGCAGTATATAGGAAAAAAATCTTGTTCTCTATTGTTATCCTGAAAAAATTGTTGGTGAGAAAATCTATGAAAGCGTCCTACAAAATATACCTACTACATATTTTAAAAAAGCACTTCCCTATCTATATTAAGATGGTCATGCCTATAGATAATCAGAAAGTCCTATCAAGCGTACATTATGTAGGAAAAAAAATATTCATAACTAATTTAAAAATATATATTAAAGTAATTTAATTTTTCTCGTACAGGCCTTAAATTTTACTTAGTAAAAAGAAACTTAAATTTAACTTTTCAATAACTTACTGCTTGAAGCGTTACCTACCTTTAGCTTTTTCTTTATTTTTTGTAAAAACTAAAAAGTAAGTAGAAAAAATTAAACTTATATATATGCAATTTCACGCTATTTTTCTAGAAACTTGGTATTCTAGCGCAGTATGGTTAGGTATGGTATTGTAAAAGTTGATACTTGTATGCCTTTTTTGAACTTTTATTAAAAAGAACACATGTGTAAATAAGATGAGTACAAACAATATATTATACCTAATCGATAAAATTTTGGTCAATGTAGAAGAGCTACAAATACTGGCGCAGTTGGTAGTATCAGTCAAACACCTACCATTGTACGTGTACAAACACTTCGTTTGTTGTTTAGTTACATTTAACTGGGTAATCATGTAGTTCTCATGAAATTTTTCAAAATAATATGTTAAAAATACAACAAAAGACATTAGTAATGTAACGATTTTTATACTATATACAGACATACCTACTTAATTTTATTATATTGATTTATTTAAAAAAAATAATGATCACATTTTTTTATTAGCCCCGAATTCGGTACTGAAGAAGATTTACGGAAGATGTTCTCTTGGGAAGAGAGTGTAGAACAATATACAAGTGAAGGTGGTACATCAAAGGTTGCAGTTCTACTTCAGTTACAGCAACTTGAGAAGTGGATAAAACCTTATGAAATACTTTGTGAAAGGAAATAAAAAGCAAAAGTTAATAAATCTTTGTTTTCAATATAACCTAATTTATTTACATACTAGCATTGCCCGCGGCTCAGCCCGCGTTCAGATGACCAAAAACCAAATTCTTAGGTTTTACATATTAGTAAACTCTTACATTGCAGTTTTTGTATTTTTTCTCAGAAATGAGACATTTTCCCGCGGTAAAAAGTATCCTATATGTTGACCCGGATAACCAGCTATCACCATACAAATTTCATAAAAATCTCTCCAGTGGTTTCTCCTCCAGACAAACATTCTAAAAACTATAGATTCAGCCCAAAGAGTATAGTTATAAACTGGGAATTCAGCCTCTGTATCGATAACAATTTCTATTTCAATAAGATTTTCCAAAAAATATTTAATGTACAGATTTGACTTAGTTACAATTTTATTATATGTATAGAAGTACCTATATTCCACTATGTCTAGTTTTTTTACTGATTAACTCTTATAGAACTATGTCTCTTATATCTACATACGAGTCTCTATACTGTTTAAAGAAAACAAGACTTATAACTTAAATGTTAAAAATAAATACATAAAGGTATGGTACTTACCAACATGTGCCTACATCCAATAAAGCGTTATCATTTTAATACCTACATTGTCAACAATATTGGCGTCGCTAAGCAAATAATTATGAAACGTGTCCAATAATAATGACAATATTGACAAAAATCAAAAGAATAAAAGATAATAAGTACTAATAAGAGCTAATCAATATGATAGTTTTTACAAAGGATTTTTATTAATTCACTAGCATTGCCCGCGGCTCCGCCCGCGTTCAGATGACCAAAAACCAAATTCTTAGGTTTTACATATTAGTATACTCTTACATTGCAGTTTTTGTATTTTTTCTCAGAAATGAGACATTTTTCCGCGGTAAAAAGTATCCTATATGTTGACCAGAGTAACCAGCTATCACCAAACCAAATTTCATCAAAATCCCTCTTGTGGTTTTTCAGTGATGCGTTAACAGACAGATAGACAAAAAATCTAAAAACTATAGATTCGGCCTCTGCATTTATAATAATGTTTATTTCAATAAGTTTTTCCAAATAATGTTTAATGTACAGATTCGGCTTAGTTACAATTTTATTATAGGTACGTATAGATTGATTGTGGTGATGTGTGAACTATATATGTTTACCATGAAGGAGAAACATAAAATAATACATATATACAAACCTTCGCATTTGTATTAGTCCGACTAGAGACTAACCAGACTTCGCTCGGGTGTGTTCCTTTGTGCATTTCGCAGTTTAGTCATCGAGTTTTATTTATATTTACGAACGCACGTAGGTAGATACATAGGTACGTACAATGTACATATACTGATAGGTTTTGAGCCGGGGAAGTTTATTTATTTTTTAATTTTGGAACCTAATTTTAATTTACTTCTAGCTATATCTATTGGAAAATTTGTATTCATGTATACTAATATTATAAAGAGGTAAAGTTGATGAGTTGTTGTACGTTGTAGGGGGTAATCTCTGGATCTACTGAACCGATTAAGATGAAATTTGGTAAGAAGATAGTTAGAGACGCTGGGTAAGACATAGGATACTTTTTATCCCGAAGTTTATACTTTAAGGGGGTGAAAATGCGAATGAAAGTTTGTATTGGGAAGCAAGCTAGGGACGACCTCGAGCGAAGCGAATAGGTATATACAGTATATACATATATTCATAGTTTTAGTTCATCGATCTAACCTGGATGATGGAGAAAGAGGTGCCAGGAGTTGGATGGCACTTTAAACCTACTAGTACGACAACTGTCTAGTTTGGATTCATTCAGTCTCATTGCATTTGTTTTTATGAGTCACAGTCGCCAATCGGGCAAAAACTTTTATATTAGTTTTGGAAAACGATTATTATTTCCGTTACACCCAAATACCTAGATAAGACCAAGATAATTATGATAGATATAGTACATAATACATGCCAAATTTATTTAAACACATTTTTTTTATTTCTTTGTTGCGGCCATAGAATAACGGCCATAGAATGACCATGCTTGGTCTATATTTATGATTGCCGTATGTTAAACTAGAGTAAAATGAAGTGAACCGTGTAGATGTAAGATGCTGCAGGTCGCAGTATTTGCTTAAGGGCTTAAGGTATTCCACAGCATACTTTTAATCCTATTTTGGAACCATCTAGATTCTAGGCTTATTGGCCTTTGATTCAGTCCATATTTTAACTGAGTATTGTTTTTCAAAATAAATGCCGGGGTAACATGGTATGGTTGTCATACATACCTATATCATATGTCTTCTCTCTAGGACACAATAAAATTGTATCAATTTGTTCGTTCGTTAAAACTATCAACCCAAAACGCAAGTTGCGTTTTGGGTTGATAGTTTTAACTCTTGCTTTAACTTTTATTAGAAAACATATAAACAGCGATGGCACATTAAACTTAACGCGAAATTAAAATGTAAATTATGTAATTGCGATACGTTCGTATGGCTATTCGACTCGTACTTATAAGTGGATTTCGAGTATCCATGGGATACGTTCTATCATTTTACCTTAGTCGCTTGCCGCGATAGTCACGTTTTCCCTAAAATTTTAAATATAATTAAATAAATATACGTGCAATATTGATCTTCACGTTTTTGCTAAGGTTTTTTAAAATTTAAATTTTATAAATTTAAACCAAATAAAATCAAAACTTAATATTAATTAAAATTATAGTTATAAACGCTCAACTAAACATTTTTTTAAAATAATTCCAGAATGACTCTACAAATATTGAAAATGACCACGTTGCTAAGTGTTTTATTTACTACACATGAAATTTTAGCATTTCAATTAAACTCACTTGTAACAGAGCCCCACTCTTTTACTCAAAACCTTCAAAGTATTCCAAATTTATCTAAAAGCGACAAGGAGGTAAGACGATTGTTTATTTCATGCTATTTTAACCTAAACATTATTTATGTTTTACTTTTATATTATTTATGTATAGCGTTAAGATATAGTGAGAGTGCGAGCATTAAAAGGTGAGTCGCTAGTTATTTATATTATTAGATTAATAATGGCGTTGTACTTTTTTGTATTTTGAGTTGGTTCGATTACGGGCACAGGCAAATATTGTCAAAAATATAAAGGAAAGTTTCCTTTGAGTGAAACTTGTGATATCTTCCATACTTACAGTACTTTTCTTCCATCTCCTGTTCATTTGTTCCAACTGTATAACCACAGATTACGCAATATCATACTAGAAGGTACAGATGCCCATTCCATACAAAGAAATTAGATAGCCTTGATTCAGGGCACTAAAATACATAAAACTAGTTACTCCTAGATACCCTTGGCATCTATATATAACTCAAGAACGGCGAGAGCGATTTTTATGATTTTTGTTTTGTTGGATTTGTCTTCACCCCGAATAACAGAATAACTATTAAAACATCGGAAAATTCACGATTTATTTTTTAAATATTATTCCATACTAAGTGCCAAAACGTACCCAGTGACGAAGCGAGGGTGAGTCGCTAGTTTTTAATATTGCCCATATAATAATGCTAAGTTTCCAGAAAGGACAATTTTCCATGATTATACACAAATATCATCATACCGATTCCCGATGGCTTATTTTAACAATATATTATTAATTTATGCCTGTTTTTAACCTTCCTAGAAAAACCCTCCTGTCAATAAAAACTAAATATTGGATTTAATTAAACAATTTTCAGTGACTAAGCATTTTTAACCGTGGTAAGTAACTCATAAAATGTTAACAGCTAATCAGTAACCTTATAAATCTTTAGCTATTTTTGTTCTGCTACGCCAAAGAAGTATAACTTCTGTACATACACACGTTTTTATTTTATTTTTGTAAATTATTTTTTTCAAAATGGTTATTTATAGCGTAGGTATAGACGGCACATTTGTAAATCCACCTCTGATTAACTGAAATAAGTCATTTAGCAAGAACTATCTCGTTTAAGATTTACCCAAAAATATTGTGTATATTACTAACATTTGTTTTCAGTCTTTATACTTCAACTCCACAATTGGTAGATAGCCGTAAAATTTCATCAAAATAAAAGATTGCATATAGTGATTAGGCCGGCTACTGTACCTCTCTTATTTCATGCATGATTTTCTTATTGGAACGAAGTTCCTTATCGCACGTTATACTCGGCATACTTGGTGTATGAGAGCTAGACGGAAAAAAGTGTAATATTTCGACGGTCACGACACTTTACTAAGGCGCCCCATGTGATGTGTTAAAAAATGTATATAGTACTAGCAATATAATAATAGCAAAAATGAGATATTTTTCCGCGGTAAAAAGTATCCTATATGTTGAGCCGGATAACCAGCTATCACCATACAAAATTTCATCAAAATCCCTCGAGTGGTTTTTCTGTGATGCGGTAACAGACAGACAGACAAAAATTCTAAAAACTATAGATTCGGCCTCTGTATCGATAATGTTTATTTCAATAAGATTTTCCAAAAACATATTTAATGTACAGATTCGGCTTAGTTACAATTTTATTATATGTATAGAAGTAGTTCGTGTGCACTCTTATCACGAGCCCTACATAAATCACGGACATTCCTTAAGGTTTGTGGCTCCCGTAGTACTCGTGACAATTATTGTCACCAGATGTTATGAACTAAGGGCAGTCCATAATGTGACGTCATCATAAGTACCAGGCGATCATAAGTGTTAATAAAGAATGTACAATGTACATATGTTGTAAGAAATTGTGTGCAATCTGTGCAGGCCTTTCTTTGACGAACTTTAACATGTACTATGTACGTTGCTTGATGTTTATGACACTCGTGACAATTTTTATGACCTAATTTATGAGAAAAGAGCAGACAGCGAAAGAACTTCTATCGGGTGCCCCACGACACCTCTTATTTTTGTGATTTTTTATGGTGTGCAATATAAAGTTTATATCTATTTATCTAAATATATATCTAAATCTTTTAAGCCTATCGGCGAAGTTCAGTATTCTTGTATCGTCCAATTACATACACAAATATTGTGGGCGGTGTCGGGTAATCACAATAGAATATGCGGTAGTAATTAGTATGGCGCAACTTGTTTTCTGTTATCTCATTGAATATTCAACTATCTAGAACTAGCTAAGTAAGCGTGACACTGACATAATTGAAAATTGTTGATTGAAAATTAATGAGTTATTTTTATGACACTTAAAAATGTTTAATTTGTTAAGATTTGTTTAAAGTTACTTGTGTATTATTATATTTGAATACTAGCGACTCACCCTCGCTCCGCTCGGGTTCGTTCCTACTTACGTTTTAGAATTTAGTGTACATTTCTCAGAGAAGAAATCTTTTCCCGCAGTAAAAAGTATCCTATATGTTGACCCGTATACCCAGCTATTTCCGCAGGGGTGTTGCAGTGAGTGCGAAAGCGATCCTGCACGCCCCATTGCACTGCGGCGAAGGGTTCCGCTGTGGGTTTTAGTGAGTATACCCAGCTATCACCATACCAAATTTCATCAAAATCCCTCCAGTGATTTTTCCGTGATGCGGTCACAGACAAACAAAAATTCTAAAAACTATAGGCTTCAGTATTGTTAATGTCTATTTCAATAAGATTTTCTAACAAATATTTGATGTACACATTCGATTTGGCTTAGTTGCAATTTTATTATATGTATAGATGACACAGGTTTACGAATTTGGAGAAATAAGAGTAATATTTCTGTTTCAGTACATTCAAAATATCTACTCGATGATAAATGCCTACAAACGAAATATGGACAGTAAAATATTCGTAGAAACGAGAAAATTAATTAATACGAAATATCAAACGTGGAAGCGCAATGGCGATCTTATCAATTCACTCTTGACTCTACCGAAAGACATGATGGACGCTGGACGTTAAAAGCATTAATTAGATATCGAACGATTGAGTCACTATATGAATATAATTTGTAAAAATAAAAAAAATAAAGTTTTGTCAAAACATATAATATTGTACCATATTATTTCTAAAACTAGTCCTTTCGAGTTTTCTCTATTTAATTTTATGAAATATTTACATTTGTCTAGTTACATAAACGTTTAGTAGTTTAAAAATGTTATACATTGTTTTAAATATATCAAAATATTTTTATTCAAAAGTTTGTCATTAACAAAAATTTCAGACTGAAATACTGTTTTCTCGACCATGTTTATGTTGTTAAATATTTATAATTTTTTTTGGAAATATTTTTTTGTGTAAGCATTAGCTCTAATATTTTGTATTTTTTATTATATATTTTTTCGATTTTAATTACTTAATTTATATAAGTACATTAATTACTACGCATTTAGCTTTGACAAAGATTTTTGTTGATTTGTACGAGCTAATGTTCACCAAAGAAAAAGTACTTTAATTTTTAATATGTACAGTAAACAATTTCATTAAAAATCTAACCAACGTTGAAACATTTGTATATTGTTAGAAATGAACACAATTCTGCAATCGCAATTATATATTTGATAGGCATGTTTGGTAGAACCTACAATTCAGTCCTTCGACAGGGGAATGCCAAAAATAACGATTTAAAAAAATTCTTAATTAACAGTGTACAGAAATATATATATTTTTTATGTCGATCTTTTTTTAATTATATGCGTAGATCGTTTCAGAATCTTATATAGTAACAAAAGTTAAAAAAGGTTTAGCATTCCCACTGCACATTACTGTGTCTATTTGTGTGTACCATTTTCATACTACATATTTTATATATAAAAGTATGACAGCATAAAAATAATATTAATATTAATCGAACTTTAAAAAAGAGTCTCTCATATGTTCAAATAGTTCAGGTGTAAAATGAAAGTTTATTCACATTAAAGATCCGATGATTTTGTTCTTGGACAAAATATATGTTGCAAACAAAGATTTATATCTCTAGAAGTGCCCTGCGGTGTCTAAACATTATATTTGTATATATTATTTTATTTATCCGTTACCATGGTAACGTGTTGTCTTTAAATAGTTATTTATGGTACAAGATGTTATTCTGTAGTTTGTTTTAAATAATAAAAAATGGTCACTAGCATGTGTAACATATTATTTTAAGAATAAATGACAAAGTTATTCTTAAAACAATATGCTAGATATGCATAAATTTGAATTAGCTCACTTATTCTTAATATATACAATTTTTTTCAAGCGCTTTAAGTACTATGAGGGCACTATGGTCTATGGATTAAATGTTTGGCTTGCAACAGACACTCCCATGGTATAATGGCAGCCGCGTGCGAGGCGGCCGCCGCTAGAACTTGAGCGAGAAGCCCGGCGCTACGTTGAGGGAACGGCTCTGCACGTGGAAGCCGAGCGACTCGTCCGAGTCGGCGCGCGCGTACTGCGCGTAGGCGGCGCCGCCGGCGGGCGGCTTGGGGCTGTGCGTGGTGCGCCGGTTGCCCTCCGACTTGGCGGGCCACGTGGGGAACATCGCTGGCTCGATCGCGATCGGCTGCTCCTGTATAATAATATCTTGTTTAATACGTCGTTGACGACACGTTTGGTTCAGTTTGTAGTGAACCTACTTGCTGTGCCATCGGTCGCGGGTTCGAGTCCCGCTGGAAGACTTCATTTGTGTGATGAGCGGGAATGGTTGTACTCTAGTCACGGGTGTTTATATTTATAATACATATGTATTTAAAATTATATATGTGCAGTGTATCCACTATCTGGAATCCATAACACAAGCCTCGTAGCTTACCATGGAACTAGATGGTTCTGTGTTAATGTCCCAACATATTTATTTATTGAATATGATTTTAAGTATTCGTTTGCAAGGAAATATACATACAGCGACTTATCCTCGCTTCACTCGAATGCGTCCCTAGGCGCCTTTTGTATTTATAATATTAAATTATATACAGACAGCACCACCTTTTGGTAAATTTTAATAATAGTTGTAGCCTCCGTGTGACTTCAGGTCATCTGTTTACTAAACATTTAAATCAGTTTCAGCCCGAAGAAGAAACAAAAACTTTCGCATGTATTATAGTAGTGGAAAATAAAAACACACTCAATTAACAATGTATAATAAATATTACGATATGTCGGAGACGAGTCATAATCACAACTAATCGGAACGCGAGCGCCACCTTTTTGGGCTCGACAGAGTCTACGTCGTGACATTCGACCGGGCACGGCTGAGTTACGCTTGGTCGGTCGCACAGTGAACACTAGTAGAAACTGTCTTGCGTTCCGTATTGTCTATACGTGGTAACAGTGAAGTGGTGTAGTGAAGTGCTGTTTAACTATGTACAAAGTGATTATTGTTAATTTGAAATACAACTGTGATTGCATCGACTTTCATTTGAACCAACACTTCCCATATAACGCCCACTGTATAATTCATGATAAAATAATGGAAAATAATAGAGAAAATTAATGCTGCTTCGATAGATATTTATTAAAAACCTGATATTTACATCATCTAATAAGCAAAACTCACATTTGCTATAGTGTATTTATTATATATCTCACAAAACAAATTACCTTAAAATATGCATGTTCTAATGCAGCATCAGCTGTCAATCTTCTGGCAGGGTTGTATGTTAGGAAACCTTGTAGCAAAGAGTGTCCGGTCTCTGAGAGCAGGTCTGAGCCGATGCGCTGTCTCAGGCCGCCGGACGGATGCTCTGCAAACGTCATCTTCTGTACCGCAGGAAGCTCCTTGTATCCCGGCCATAGTAGCTCGGAAGGCGTGCCCAGGTCCTAACGAATATTTACATATTAATAATTATTATAATATAATATTAAAATAACTTCCATAAACTTGCAAGCTTATAAAGTAAAAATAAAACACTATCAATTCTTATTAATACACAGTAATTAGATAACTATCGATTAAACTATAACATTGAGATCTAATGTTAAGATTTTTAGATTTATATTTATTACTTTTTTTTAGTGCCTGGAAGTCGGTTTTTATTTTTATTTTTTTAGTTTATATTTTTCCATTTTTAATGTAAACGTAATAAGCAGGTAATTTGTAAGAAAAAAGTATTTTAATGACATATTCGATTAAGCCATTAATTTAAAAATAATTTATTGTTGATTTTTTAAAAAACCGATTTCAATACAATTTAAATGGGACCACCTGGGAAATATATCCTTTTAAAGAAAAAAAGGTATTTCTAAATCGGTTCACGCGTCTTCGAGTAATCAATCGGTGAACATATATAAAAAGGAAATAAAAAAGGAAAAAAGATTATGACGAATTGAGAACCTCCTCCTTTTTGGAACTCAGTTGATAAACGATACCAAGAGAGAGGCGTACATTAAAACTAGACAAAACTTACTTTGAAAATTCTGTTTAACTGATCCACTTCAGACTTTCCAGGGAAGAGTGGGTTCATAGTGATGAACTCAGCGAAAATGCACCCAACACTCCACATGTCGATTGGTGTAGAATACTCTTTGCAGCAAAGCAGAAGCTCTGGCGCGCGATACCACAGTGTCACTACTATGGGCGTGTATTGGCGTAGAGGTGAACCGTATTCTCTTGCAAGACCAAAATCACCCACCTGTAATTAACATTTTAATTTTTGAAAAATTCCTTACACTTGCTATATATGCACTGCTATTTCTATTAAACATCAATGAAACATATTTTATAACAATGAACTATATGAGTACCTTTAAAATTCCTTTGTGTGATAGCAGCAGATTACTAGTCTTGAGATCTCTATGTAATATCCAATTGTCGTGTAAATGGTGGACAGCCTTCAGTAATTGGGTCATTAAACATTTAACCTCACCTATAAAAAAATAAAAAATCTTTTAAGATTATATAAAGCTTATTTATACATAGGATCCACAAGAATTCATCTTTAAAAACCCAAATAAACTATGTTAAGAAATTGACATATAATAAATAGTCTTAAAGATAAGTGGGGAGCGATGACGAGTAACTAGTACCTGGTAAAAACACTTGTTTCTTCCCCCTCATAGTTTCCATAAGGCTTTTCAAATCGTGCTCGACGTAGTCCATGACAATGAATATCTTGTCCATGTTGGAGCCGACCACGATCTCCCGCACCGTCACGATGTTGGGGTGCTGGCCCTGCAACACGCAAGTAGAATGTGCGACTTGTTAGTAATAGGGAATTTATCAAACTCCTCAACTTGGTAACAGTTGCAATAGAAAACGTAGCGATGACTTTCACGAAACCCCCTGTATTCGTTGCAATTTTCAATAAATTAACACTCCTATATAAATAACTCGATCGTCCAAGTGTTAAATAACAAATAATTAAAAGAACGATTTTACCACCCATGTGTATAATAAATATAATATATTAATGACCAAAATTAACTTCATGTTTATATTAATTTAATGTGTAAAATCTTGAAATTAGAGTACAGTTTAAGAATGAACTTTTAATAATGCATGATGTGTAAAAAGAGAATTTTAATCATTTGAAATTAGGCATGACTTAAATTACATAAAACTCAATATCAAAGTTTAACAGATCTCATAACATTTGTTATAATTTCATAATATGTCTTTCAAAACCCTTTTAACTTCACTCATTTTAAGTGCATAAAAGGAATTTCTTAGATTTTCAACTCTAAGCACATGAGATGTGGTTTTCGTAGAATCACCAAAATTATATAACTTTAATTGTTGTTGTATTGTGTAAACATGCGTCTTTGCGCCTACAATTACGTCAGTTTTTTTTTACTTTGCTTTGACCAATAAATTTCAGTCAAAGTTAAACAATGTGTCATCATTATAATTATTTGAATAATATTACTTTATTATGTACTATTATGTACCATATGTATTATTATGTACCATTTCATATGAAAAATAAAAAATAAAGATTTCCAAAATAATGTAGGACTTCCGTGCTTTTTATAGATGTAACGATTAAAGTTATTAACGTTTAAAATAACAATATATCTATAATAAGCAACTAGCCATGTTTCAGTACACATATTTCAATGTCATATCTCAAATGTCACTTAAGTTACACTTAAAATAACAAAAAAATATATAGATATAATATCAATTAAATATTTCAGTTATACACTAACTGACAAAAACAGTATATATATATTCATTATTATGTATAGTATTGATAGACTAGTTGCATTTTACTGTATATCTTATACAATACAAATTTCATGAACCTCATGATTCTTAAAAATCAGTCAAATAAATGATTCCCGATAAACCCATCTCAGTTTATGTCCAATTAAAATTTATATTTTATATAAATAACAAAATAAATTACAAACGGAGATATTGAATTTTATCACTATATAAGCCCATCGTAGTTGCAATTATTTGTTTTTTAAACAACTTCATATATCGCGGCCAATGTAACTCAAAATTAATGAATAGTTCATGTACAAAGATTTACCTCAAGAATAAATAATATTCAACCGTGTAGTTGTGCAGAAACTAAAAACCGAACTTCAATTTCTTCTACACATTTGATATATATAATCTCGTATAAACAAATGAGACTATATATATAATTACATATAAATTTACCAAAATCTCATTCATAAAAAAAAGTATGAAAACGATACTTTTTCACATGAAATACAAGTGTCGAGTAATAATAGAATTACACTAACAATGACATTTATTTGTCACTGTACATGGAACATTCACAAAATTAACTAAGTAGGTAGTTACAATGTAACATAACACTAGGCCGCAATGTATGAAAGCTTCGTTGGTCATGCAACTGGACAATTTGGTTAAGCACAATCTAATATTACGAAGAAAAATTATAACGATAAATCGTTCATCGTGTTATTAAAATATAAGTTATGAATTCTCTTCACAGAGTCATTACACTGACTTATAATTTTGAGAATTCATTTAAATATACATAGACAAATAAATAATTATAAACTAGTGAAAAAAATACAAAATTAAAGCCTTTAAATTTGAAGTATAAAATCTTAAAATTAACGTTGGAATATAACTTTGTCATATTCCACACGAAAAATGTAGATATATGAACATCGCTAGTTCTGATATGGCAATACAAAGTGTCGTATTTTTTAATAATTTTCTTACTTTATAATAAAATTATTAAACTTTTATCATAATAAACTACGGCTACACTTTCATAGAATAAATAATACTTTCAAAATCTACTTATAACATATACACACTCACATGAACATAAGTCTAATAAATGAAATTTGTTAATTTCTAATAAATGAAATTAGTTAATAAATGAAGTTTTGCAATTTGTATAACAATTACTTTTGTATATAAGTAAATAGACAATATTGTTCAAAATAATAACGTCAATGTACAGTACCAAATAGTTCCTTTTACAAATAAACGATTAAAACTGGACCCCAATGTAAGACTGCCTTTATTTTTTAGTCTTATCCATTTGAATTTCTTCTCTAATGAATTTCGAGATAAATACTATGAAAATAAATTCTTAAAGGAGCACTAACTTATATATAGTACTTTAAAAAATTATGTACATAAACCACATTTATTTATTTATTTATGCGCCAGAAAAAAACACACAAGTGAAAACCGATACCATGTGTACATACAAAGGATCACTTATCTCTTTAGAGAGATTAAGAGATCTCTTTTGAGATTTATAAGGTTTTAGAAGAAGTTTAAGCGCGTTTTATAATTATAAACTTTTACTTCTATTGTTTTATTACGAACATCTGTTAAATCATTCGTAACGGGACTGACGGCATAAATTGGTGAGATTTTGAAAGTACTTAAAAATATCAAAGGCATAAAATAAAGCATTAAAAAGTTACAATGTCATTAAAATAAACACAATTTATGAAACTCATTAAAAGTATAATACAAAATGGTCTAGAGATATTAAAACCCAATAATAGCCAATGAACATTGAAATATTAATTATAACGTTTAAATACTAGATAGAAAAAAATATTTTCTAGGTCAGCAATATAGATTTCTAATTTCTTGTATGTGCCACATCATCTCTCAGTTTCTAAGTGATAGTATTCTTGTACTATTATAACTACGCATTCTTTTTTATTTCTTTAAAATATAATAATATTTATACTTGATTTTTATAATTCAAAGTGAGCAAATTATTTTGTGAATATTTATTTTTGATTAAAGTTAGGTAATAAGTTTTGTGTTCTACAAAAACTATAATTATTCATTTTTAAGTTTAGCATTTTACAAGATGGCGATTATATTAAACTTTTACAATTTTTAAAAATCCAAAAATATGTCAGGTGGAAGAAGTTAAAGAACTACGCAACGGGATTAAGAATTCATTTTAACAGAGGGGGGAAAGAACCGCTAAACTTTACTTAGACATTCCGTTTTGGTATGGGTAAGCAAGTTCCATACTATAATTATTAAGCAGATCTATTAACTATTGAAAAAAGCGACCACTATTCTTACCAGCTATCATTTTTATTAATCTACTCAGAATATTGACCATGTTATTTATATGGTCTACAAAACTTTTTGCCTTTTCGTTATGGTTTACGAATCATATATTTCAGTTTCAATCTTACTATCGCCCTTGCTTGAATATGACCGCGCATCACTCAGGTTTTATACTTTATACACGGTTAAATGGCCGAAAATAACATATCATTTAAATAGATATTTATATAGTACTACCAGAACCCGGGTCTTCGCTCGCGTTAAAAGTACAATAAAACTAACTGTTTGGCTTTACGTAATATAAGTAATAATTTGATGGCTATAACGATTTTCAAATGTATGATTTTGACTCGCGTATCGAGGGTTCCGTCTCCAAAAATAATATCATTTAAATAATCATACGACGACAACATAATATGTATTTGACGAAATAATAAAGTTGAATATTATATTTTAGAAGGAAATCTCAGCGAACCACTACGGTAGTTCCCTTTATAGCAGCTGTATTTTACATATTTTCCGGGGTATAACTTATTTTTTAAATATTTAAAATATACAAAATATTCAATAATAATTTTTTAAAGTAAATTTTTATATTTACGAAGATCTACTTTTTTTTTAATAGGGACGACATTTTTTTTTTTATGACAATTTAAAGGTATTGATGTTATTTTAAATTAAAACATTCACACAATATTAGTTCATGCAGATATAAAAGCGTCACACAAGTGTAATAAATATGCCTGCGTAGATAGTTCGATGTGTTTGTGTAGCCACAAAAATCATAAAGGCTGTCCGGAATGCTTTGGCAGACATGATTGTTTATATTTGTCGAGCATCTAGACACGTGTGTAGCTGCCTTTAGACTTATTTTCCACTAATCGGCCAGTCGTAGCCCGTAGACGACCGAAGTCACTGCTACCAGCTAGGTTTGTAGCGTCTACATTCTACAAAAAAACAGCTCATTTTCAAAATAAAGTTCGAAGATTCAATGTCGTTGCTTATTAACAAAAAGAAAACTTAAACATTTTGATATACCCATTGTCAGGGGAGCCTCCAACAAAAAGTGCATTTAATTGTATTAAATCCATCTTTTACAGTGTATGCGAAGATACTTAATAAATTATGCAATAACTATTTGTGCTAACTTATTTAAACCAATCGCAGGAAACACACTATGCCCATTTATTACCTGTCGACTGGCCGATTAGAGAATAAATAATTTAAGTAAAAGTACCCACTCATACCTAGCTTCTGTATTTTAAACACAAAAGGAAATGTTTTAATATCTATATATTTTGGAAAAAATCATATTAAAATATCTCTAGACCATTATAATATTATAATAGGACATTTTAAAAACATGACGATTTATATGGAGCTTTTATATTTTTTCTTCTTTTTTTTATAGTAGCAGCACGACAAGAAAAAATATTAATCACAAAATATTAAATAACTAGTTTTTTGTTAAAACACTCGTAACCTAATATATATTTCAAGTTAACAAACGTCATAAGAATTAAAAATTATAAAGTTAAAAATAAAAAAAATATTTTGTGCAGAAATAGTCTTGCAGGAATTTAAAAAATATTTTTGAAAATGCAATCAATCATCACAAAACTCATTAATAAATAATAACCTTTTTTTCTCTTAATAGTTACAAAAAATCTATAATTTTAATCTGTACT